AGCGCCAGGTTTTGCTGGCAGAAGAAAACGGGGGGAACTCAAAGCAGCGCCGCCGGGTGGGGCCTCGATGGCTGGAGGCCGCTAAACTTACAGGCGCTGGGCGAGCGGGTACAGGTACAGGAGCCGCCTGCACGGCGCTGCTGCAGCGCTGCTGGCGATCCGACACGCCCCCTAGGCTCTGCACGCAGCAGCTGCCGCCGAATCATCCCCACCGCCCAGCAGCACGTTGGAGGTTGCATGACGGCGACTAGCCGCAGGCAAGAGTTTTCAGGGGCGGGGCGCCGCCGTCAGTGGGAGGGGGCTGCTGAAGCACAAGGCGCGTTTGCGGGGTCTTAGTGGTTCGAATGCGCATGGCTACAGGGGCAGTTGATGTCTGGCTTTGTTCAATGCCGTTATCATTGATCGGTGTGAGAATAGACACCACGCACAAGGGGTGTTTGTTTCCGTTGATGTCTGAATCGATTATGGTTACGGGTATGAGGACTTGTGATCTACAATGATTCAATGGCATATGGAGAATGGGATAGCTGCTCAATATCCATGTACTGTAGCTTGTGCCTGTCTTAGTATGACGGAGGTATCTATACATACAAGCAAAGAAACAGCCCACGTTTGCGCGAGAGATTGTGTAAGTTTGCTTCAGTACAGTAAGCGCAAGATGCCTGTCTGTCGTGTAAGATTCAGTGTAATATTCAGGAGACGGTGAATTGCCCAGCGAGATAAAATTACATGCTTCAACGGGATGCACGGGCGGAGCTGGTCGCTTACACTGGTGCAATGGATAGGTATCAATTGTCTTGGGTGAATGCCTCTTATCTGAGTCGCCAACAAGAGCCATGATAACGCCATCCCTCCAGCAGCACGTCGCTCAGCAGCCACAAGGGAGAGCAGCACATGTCGGCTGAAATTGTTCTTGAACTGGCAATCGATGAATCTAAAAAGCGTATATGCTTTAATTTTGCTGCTGCCATCACAGATGTCTCTTGTAAAGATCAACTTGTACCAGTACGTACATGCACCTCCCGCCCTTGGGCACCACTGCGCCGGCTCTATCTGATATCAGGTTCTGTATCTGACCTGCCTATCGCTGCCCTGATAGCGGGGCCTCCCTTTCTGTACAACACAGCGCGGAGAAGATGCAACCTCGACGCACCTCCAATGCAGAGATAAAGCATCGGTGAGCGCCAGCAAGTCGCACGGCATGGCGTCTGATGCCCTGCTTGCCGTCCCTGTACGCTGTCCCTGTACGTTGTCTGGCACCGCCGCATGCACCGGCTTTGCGCTACACGAACCGCCAGCGAACAAACCGTGAACGCTTCGCTTGTGCCAGCTGAGAATCCCATGCGGTCAAAGAAAGGGCACAAACTCAAAGCATTCAGCAGAGACAAGGCCCGCTAGACGGCACTAGCGATCGCGGAATCTCTTCCACCAGCCGCCTGTTTACTATCTGGGCGGGACCGTCGTGCCCTGGTCTCGCTTCGTGATACGAACCCGATACCCGGCTGCTTATGGAGGGCGACGTCTTCTCGAATCATGCGTCAAGCCCTCGTCATGCCCAGGCCTGGACTTATCAGACAGGCGATGATCACAGGTCTGGAATGGAACCAAAAGGAATTAGCATTGCTGCTACTGCTGCTCTACACCTAGGAGAGGATATCAAGGGATACGGGACAGGACAAGCGAAGCACTAAGAAAAGGCTGTGGCTTGGCTGCGCCGGTGCCCAACGGCGTGTGGCCCGGCGAATTTGGTGTTTCCAGATTGATTCCCGGCACTCAGACCCGCAGCCAGAGATAACATGTCTCAAGGCTTAATGCATTCGCTGCGTCTGAAATACAGCAAAAGAGCGAGCTCTTTCAGCAGAACAGCCCTCTTTGCGCCGGCTAGACTGTCACCATGACTCAATGCAGTTCCAATGGTGCGCACGAGGTCTACAGGTTTCCTCATCTCCGCCGTCCGTGGTCCTTTTCCAGAAGCATGGACGTCACCGCAGCCCACGTGGAACAGTCGGAAACGCCATCCAGTCAACCTACGACCTGTTCTCTCACCGACAGCATAGGGGTTGACTAAGTGGGTTCTGCTCGGCATGGTCAAGGCTTCCCCGGAGTTGAGGTTGCGGTACGAGCAATCGTTGCAACAGAGCATCTCAATCTCGAGGGACTAGGGGGTACGCGGTCGATGGCCAAGGATCGTGCCAACTTGCAAGCGATATGCAGCCCTACCTCTGCCATGATGGACGGCATTTGGTGGCATGGCTTGTGCGAGGCGAGCTCACCGGTAAACGCCACGCCACCAATTGGATCGCAAATCAAAGACACTCGCACTTGGCTCCTGCCGGGCAACCAGACCACTTTGCAGTCACCCCGGAGTTGCCGGTGTGCACGATGCGTTTTCTGTTCAACCACTCGTCCGTGTCCTCGTCACCGACACTGCCGGAACACAAAGGGAGCAAGTGGAAAACATGCCAACGGTGGTGATTACTCCCTGAAACTCAAAATAGGGTGCCTGGATTCCCCTCGAGCTACCGGGCCCTGCGACGGCTTCTGCCTTTTCCCACGTGTGTGCTTCAGCAACGCCTGACTGGTGTATCGCCGGCAGCACAGCATCGCACATTCATTACGTATTCTCAGACCGCCCACGTCACAAGTTTGAAGCTCAAAGGTCAGACAATGCGGACACATCTGCTGTCCGAGGGGGGCCAGCAACCGGACCGCCAAACTTGCGGTGTCCCTGATCGCCTGGATCTCAACAAAGATCTCAATTTCATCTAAATGGTCACGCCTGCTGTTGCTGCCACTTTACTAGTGGTAAGAGTATAGTGCTACTGCTACTCTATCTACTAGTATTCTGCCCCCAACAAGCAAGCCAGGAACAAATGTCACCGTCGAGCCTCTCCCGAGCTACCGAAAGGCAGGGCATTCTAGAGCTTGTTTGGTCTAGACAAGCGATCCGAGGCCCCAAGGGCACGTGGACGGACCATGCAGTCAATCGCTTCACGTCTTTCACCACGTGAGATGATGGTTGAACAGAGTTGCAGCCGTCGTCGTACTCGCATGTACGTGTCGCCTCATCCTTCGACAGATTGCATGATCCGGCGAATCGAATTGGTTCGCCAGCCAAATCTAGGCACTGGTCTGTGTTTGATATCATATGCAAATGAGACTCTACGCAGGACACGCACGAATATTACTGGACGTCGGTTAGGGGATAGGTTGGCCGAGGACTTGATAGCCTTGAAAGGGAAAAGGATGAAAACGAGTTCGACGCGAGCTTGCTGGGCGGACATCTGCTTCTGCCAATTGAATGCGATACCGCCTCCTTTTTTCTGTTTCATAACAGATTTGTGCGCCCTCTCACCATGCCGGATGTCGTTCCACTTCATCGGCTCGTAACATTTGCGACGTCACCAAGCGTTTTACTCCTCCTTTTTTTAGAGTTTCACTCGGGTATTTGCCCTGCAACTTATCCGGCGTGCAATGCAACGACGGGAGCAAGGTCCATCTGTCACTTGTCAACATCTCAATTCAGAAAACTGCTTCGAAAAGGGAGGGTAGAAGATGTCAATCTTTGCACCAATCCAGACACCTGGTGCGGCTAACATCGACGAGGGTGACATTTTCCCACCACATCTAGACTACTATACACCTACCCAACAGAACTTGTCTCTCACCCCCAGGCAAAACAGTTTGGGTACGTGTCTCAGGCCAGGGTATAGCCTAATTGATCCATGTGCCTGGAGGGGAAAAGAGAAGAGAGAGGAAAAGGAAGATTAACAGACACCTTGCGCCAGTAAGACGGAAAGAGAAACAAGCAACATAAACAAGAGGCGTTGCGTTTCCGCCAGCAGAGCACGCCACGTTTCTTGTCCAACCACACCCATTGGACCAAAGGACGGGACCCACTGCAAGATGCATCTCACTGCAACTCTGGATATGCCCAATGGGCTTTTTTTTCGTGTCTTTTTGCTTTTCTCTAATACGCCGTTGACCGTATGTATGCAGCAGCATGCTCGGGTATGTATGTGAGGTTAGCTGCTCACTGCCTTTGTGGCTCAATGGTGTAAGTGAATCTTTTTTTCTGACCAGGTGACTGATACTTGCATCGTTTTTTTGCTCCATGTAGTGCTACTTGTACTTACTAACCTTTTTTACTCTGTTCCGTAAGACCAAAAATGCAAATCTGTGCTTTTGTTTTTAGTCTGGACAATTGGGTTCTCACTTATAGCTTACCCTAGGCCTAGGCCTAGAAATATAATTTCCTGGGGAGGGGGTGTGAAGGTAGAATTAGAGTTTTTTTGCTTAATGACAATAAATTTGAACTAGCTTTTGAGAAGAGAAGAAATGTGATGAGAGAAAATACGTTAGGCGTACGAATGTTGTGTGCTTTTAAAGTGCAATGTGAGGCGAGATATCCGTGCATCTGGAGGATCCCAACGATCAAGGTACATGCCAGTGTGAATAAAGAGCACCAAATCAAGAGACAACACATCGTTACATTAAACGAATTCACATGCCACTGAATAACCGCATCACATCCCCTTAAACATACACAAGACAAAATACCTCGTCACCCAGGAATTTAACCCATCACCAGAAAGCCATGATTTACATATTAACAGCCGTCTATCGGGGTATATTTCCCTCATGTCCACATCTAATTGCTATCCCTACCAACTTCCATATTTCAATAGCTCCTGCGAGCCTTTTGCTTATTCAAAAGACTCTTGTCTCACCGTGTCTCCGAACTCCAGTATTTGTAGAAAAAAAGCACAATGCAATGCACATGCTAAATGAAAACTCGTATTCGAAAAGAGTAAAAACGCAAAGACTGGGGGAAAAAAAGAATACGCTCGTATGCAATATGCTAGATACATGATTGAGAAAAAAAAAGAGTTTTACTCTTCGTAAATAACTTGAAGCTGAATAAGGAACAAATATTGGACACAAGCGAGTGTCCACATACTATGTAGAATGGTCAAGTAGTCGTGAGAATGTAGCATCATGATTGTACGAAAAAGAAGAATTCGGGTAACAGCCTAAAGGAAGGATGCAAACATATCTGCATCCTCCTCAGGACGTTCCGCCTCCTTTGCGCCGCTAGCCCGTGTCTTTTCGGCCTTTCGTGCCTCATTCAGCTCTGCATCGACGTCCCAGACTTGCAAAAAGTCGTCCATATCGTTGAATATGTCTTGTACAATGTCGGTGGGGTCCTCGTCATCATGGCCCCAAGTCTTCGTAGCAGTCTTCGTAGCAAACCTATTCTTCTTGACCTGCAATGCATCGACTTTCTCTGCCGGGCATTCCCTGTCAGCGCTAGGAGTCACAGCAGGCGTGCTTTGAGGGTTTGTGCCCTTTGAACGATCAGCCACTGCAGCAAAGTGAAGACCAAACTTCAAGTCTCCCTCCAAGAGCGAATCGGAAGAAGAGCCCATGGACGGCGGGGGAGGCGGTGAAACTGCTCGGTCTCTGCCTCGTGTCATTGACGATGACGTGTCCGTCCCTGATGGGACATCCTCCCCAGAGCTGTCACTCCCTTCATGCGGTAGCGGAGCCCAGGAAACTCGCTTTTTGGGAATCGTGCTCCCCCATGACCTTTTCATGCAAGACAGCAGGGTGCCCTGTGTTTTAGAAGCGGTTCCACTTAGACCTGGCCCAGAAAAGTAGAATCTTCGGCGGGGGTTTGGAGAAGGCGACATGAATGTTGAAAAAGAGGCGACAGCGAATTGCGGCTCCGGAGTAGTAGGTCGTTTTGGTATTTCCTCCAAAGGTTCAGGCAGGACGTTTGGCGGAGGTTGAGGCGCGTCATTGTTTTGTGATGGTAAAAGATGGCTTTCGGTAACGGCTTCGGCAGGTCTGTGAATCTCTTCTTGCTCTTGCCGGTCTTCACAGCGATCGCCATCTGCCACAGGGGCTATCGAGCTGGGCTCACTTGTTCTTCCCAGCATGTCTCTGTTTATTTGCGGCGCAATTACATCTGAATTAGCTTGCTCAACAGGCATAGAGGGCTGTAAACCACTAGACATCTCCGGTGTAGTAAGGCTCGGCTCATCTTGTTGTAGAATACTGAGTGGCACATCTCCCTGAGTTGAGTTTATCACCTCTACAGATGCAGCAGCATCAACAGGTGGAGTTCTGGAGTGCAGTGTAGTTGAAGTCGAAGTACCGTGCTCCACCAGCTCTTGCGCATTGTCAGTTGAAGAATTATCGGATTCATAGTCTTTCTCTGTGGCATCCTCATTCGGACTAGGATGCGATGCTGGGGTACTCGAAACAGGTGGCAGTGCAGTTTCTTTTGCTTCTTTTGCTTGCTCGTTTTCGTTCGATTGCTGGTCATCTTCTTCTTGTGCGTGGCGAGTTTCATCTGCACTCGCCGCTAGTGATTTGCGCAGACTTGACATGTAAGGCTGAACCATCTTCTTGAGAGCAGGCCGCGAGTTGATTCTACCATTTCGAGGGCTCAAAGATCGGAGAGGTGATGACTTGTGAGGACTACTCGTCTTTGTAGGACTCTTACCCAAAGGTTGACGTTTGTTCGGTTTGGGTGAGTTGATAGGGGTCTTTTCACTAGGCACGGATTGCTGTGAGTTCAATGAGGCCGTGTTGTCAGATTTAGAAGTCGGTTGATCGGATCCTTCAGTATCATCGTATATCAAGGGATCAGCCATCCGAGAAGAATGCGTAGCACGAAACAGCTTGAGACGCCTACGAGGCGAATCATGGTTAGATATTGAACTGTCCAGGTGATCCACCTTTTTGGCCTTTGGAGTTTCAACTGCATTCTCTTCTCCTGATTGACGCTCTTCATAGCTCGACCCAGATTTTTGAAGAGTTGGCGGAACCGTATCTGACGTAGTGCTGATTTGGCCTCCATTGCTGGTCTCGGAATCTTCGGGAGATAGGGGTTGTTCGTCCCGTAGCTGGCGCTCTATCAAAGTTGCGTCGTCAAGATCTTCGCTGTTGCCATCATCCACGCCTAGCATTTCTAAATCTGCCAAACCTGGTAAGTTTGTTGATGTTTCTGATGGTCTAGATAGGTCGCCTGAAGCCCGCCGGCGGCCGGAGAATAGGCTTGATGCAGCCTTTCGTTTTGTTGGCGTTTGCGCTGGCGAAATAGATAGAGGAGAGGAAACTCCTCTCAAGCTCCGTTGAGAAAATGGGGATAACAAGGACGTGGATGAGTTCCCATTCAGGTGTAGACTCTTGCTGGGAGAGTCTTTCTTGGGAGTCCTGCGTGCATTGACCAAAGATGTATCCACGGAGGAACGGGTAGAGATGGTTTCATGGTGATCGTCATCTGTATCTGTATCTGCCTCTTCACTAGACAGATCTTGTGATCCTGCAGGGGGAAGTTGTGAGGTGAGCTCTCGAATGTGTAAGTATATTGATGAGGCGTCTGAATTGGCTCTGGACGTTCTTCCTCTTTGACTAGCATCCCTCTTGGGTGTTTGGTTCTTCCTGGGCGTTGGAGTCTCAAATTCGGGTTCGGTCGACCTGGTTCTTTGCCGCTTATTCGCCACGCTATCCAGTCCCGGTGATGACTTTGATTTCCTCTTTGGGGTTTTTGATGGTGAATTTGTTGTCCAGAACTCATCACTATTTCGTGAAAGACGTGCACTGTTGGGTCTCCAGTCGTGCGTCGTGTGACCTATCCCCTGGAGACGTGAAGAAGGGCTAGTGAGAGGCGTCTGCTTGAGGCTTTCCGGACTAGGAAGAGCACACTCGGCACCTTTCAGAGCTTCTATCGCATGCTTGACAGTCGCAGACGTGGCAGGTCGCTTGGGGGTCGAATGCACGTTTATATCGTCAGGTTCGCGCGACTTCTGTGAATTGGCGGTACGAAGTTTTGATCGCCACGGGTTCACCCATCCAGACTCTTGTTCAAAGGGACCCTTCAACGTCGCAGACAGCAGCAAGGGGACGTTGCCTTGGAGAAACCGCTGCCCGGCGGCTTCATATCTCTGCCTGCGCGCCTCCGCACTGTCGTAGTCTTCATCTTCCGACCCTTCATAGTAGACATCCTGCGGCTGCAAGACCGCCTCGCAGTAAATGGGAGCTCTCCGCAGCATCACGGCGGTGGCGGGCACTCGGGCATCAATGTCGAGAGATTCGGACTGGTCGAGGGCGAGGCCAGCAGCGAAGTCAGATATACTATAAGCAACACCGCAGGCTCAGAGCCACAGACGCTGAGAAATGCCTCATCTGCGTCTCAGCGTGAAATCACTCCGGGCTGTGGCTGTCGACAAGCTGAAGCTCGGCACCTGGCCAGAAAATTGCAGCTGCTTGGGAAGCTCTACGGTGGAAATGAAGAGCTAGCTGCAGGGCGCTAAATCGCGAAGACGCGACACGCGGCATCACGTGAGAGCGCGCTACCACTTACAGCACAAGCTGCAGCATGCAGAGGCGTCAGTCACTTGCGTTGCCGTTTTCGCTTATAAGCTGATGCAGAAAGGAGTTGATTAGCACGGAGTGGCTGCAGCGGAGAGCTCGGCGCACGTTTAATGACTTTGTGCTAAAATTATAGGTTGCGGGTTTGATGGCGACAGCTTTGCGAGATTTCGGCAATCTTAGTGAAGCCCATTCTATGTGATGAGCCGCATGAAGCTTGCCATGTAATTCTACGGCCTCCTTAAAGTCGGTGGAGCAGACTTGATGAAAGTATTTGGCAAATTATATAGTAACAGACATTCCCTTACACAACAAGACGTCATGAAAAGCCACATGTACTCTGAAACAGAAGATTTCAAAGTCAATAGAGACGTGATTCCGCTGCGCAGTTGGCACAGCAACCCCCGCCGCGGCCAATCAGCACCCCTGTTTTGTTTTCCCTTTCAAGCTCCGGCGCGCATCATCGTTCCCTACGGCCGCCCTAAGCAGAATCCCCTGCATTTGCGCCGGCCCCCTCCCCCATATCGGCAGCAGTCTCCAAGCTCCATCTTATCTCGTTGATACTTTTTATTCTGCATCTTTTGTGTCCGCCGCCTCTGTATAGCTTCTTCTTTCTCCTGCGCCGTCCCGCCTGGCAGAAGTGCGCGCGCTCCAGTGCTTCACCCATAGGACGCGACCCCGCAGAAACTTTTTGTATCGCTTCCTATGGCGTGAAGATCCCATGCCCCTGTTTTGAATAGACTCTATCGGCCTTCACCATGTCGCACGCTTGGCTGGATTCGTTGACGGAGGACTGGGTGTCGCAGCCCGGGTCCTCGCCGGTGCAGCCGTCGCCGGCCCAGTTTGCGCTGGTCAAGTCGTCGGCCAAGAAGAGCTCGTCGCCATCGCCAAAGCCCACACCGAGTCGCATCCCGCGCGCGCCCTGGAGACACCCCGGCGCAGTCGTGCCCAAGCCGCAGGACAAGAGCATGACGATTCTCGAGGGCGATCGCAGCCCCAAAGGCCGCGGCTCACCCAAGAAGCGCCTGCTCAAGTTCCCCGCCGACCGCAAGCGCGACGACAAGTTCCTCAAGCGCTCGCCGTCACCCGCATTCACCGGATCGGTGGTTGTGCGCAAGAGCATTCCGGATCAAAGCCCCGACACGCCGGGCATGTCCAACACGCCCGAATGGAAGCGACGACTGGTGCACGGCAAGATGCAGTATGGGGAGCAGCGCGATCTGTTCAGCTCGGCGGCCGCTGGGCTGCAGGACATGTTTAAGCCGCCGTCCTCCAGTGACGCCGACGCCGACTCGCCCTCGCCCTCGCCCTCGCCTTCTTTCTCCCACCATCTCGACTCCCCGTCGCCAAACCTTGAGCCTCCATCGCCCGGCCTCGAGCCTCTGTCGCCTAGCCCCGATCTACCACCCCTTCAGTCTCCTAGCACAGCAGATTTATACGAAACCGAAATGCCGTCGAGCCCACCTGCGCAGGCACCGACAATAAACTTGGAATCTGAGGGAGAGCCTACCTCGGATGAGGGCATCTTTTCGGACCAAATCACACCGAGTCCGAGCCCTAGAAGGCCTGGGCGGGATATCAAGTACAAACTTAACGTCGAAGAAGATTCGGACCTGTCATTGATGAGCAACGATAGCCATATGGACCTCCCTCCGCTTCCCGACGAAGACGACGAGGAAGCCGACGAGGACTATGACGAGGAACACGATGAACAGCTTGACGAGGGGCATGATGAGGGACATGACGAAGATTACGATGAGGACCACGATGGAGATCACGACGAGGAATACGACGAGGAGCACGACGAGGAACATGCTGAGGAATACGATGACGAGCATACCGAAGAACACAACGAGGAAAACGACCAGCAACTCTCTCAAGACTCTCAGGACTCTCAGGACTCTCAAGACTCTCAAGATTATAGCTACCTTGCGATCCCCTCCTTGATTGACGGTATATCCAGAAAAGCAAGCGGCCAGAGTTATACAAAAAACGAAGACTTTAGCCCCATTTTGATCGGTAGGCAAAGCGATGACGACGGAAAGATTGAATTCACGCCTCTTGAAATGCCTGCAGACGAACTACGGCAAAGACTCGAGCGGCTGCAGCTCAACCAAATGATCCTGGACCCTTCACACAATGCCTCCGACAGCGCAGTAGACGCAAAGCCACCAAATCCTAACCCGATGGATCCCTTCGATCACGAATACCATTTTGATACCTCTCATGACAGCAGTAATTCGTCTGGTGGGTCAATGCGGCACCACGCTCTGAGCCCTGATTTGGGCGTGGATTGGTCGGAAATGCTGGGCGAGGATTCACTGCAAGCCAGCACGCCAAAGCAGTTTCCAAGTCTGCGAACTCAAGAAGCCGATTCGAAATTGGCAGATTCAAAATTGGCCAGTGGCTCGCTGTTTGATAGCCCCGATGTGCCTCGGGCTCCGTTCCCAAGCCCCATCAAGAGGCAGGTTCGTGACATTGGCGGCAGTCAAGCAAACTCGAACCCATTGAAGCTTTTTGGGCCGTATGACACTTTTACCAACCAAACCTTGCTCCGACGCATCAGCCAGTTTGAAGAGGGCATGTCTGGTAAAAATTCGCGGGAGAGCTCGCGCGAGAGCTCGCGTGCCAATTCGCACGAGAATTCGCCAGAGGCATCGCCTTTTACGCCGAGTCATAACCAGAAACAATTCGACCATTCTCCTGCATCAAACAAATTTGTCAATCATTTTGGAGCTGGTGAGCTGGAAGGGTACGAGTTCACAAACGAGCTGTCTCACTTACCCGCCGAGCAGCATTCCGGCTCCCTTTTCAAGGAAAACACATCACCAAATCCTCCCTTGGCTGCCAAAGGTGCCTTGAAGCTTATCCCTCCAGAGTTATTGCTCCACGAATACTCTTCGCTGCATATTCGCAGAGATCGGAAAAACTCCCGGGTCTCCTCAGCTGCTTCTGACAGTAGATACGATTTCATGTCGTCTAGTTCACCTGACAATTCTGCTAGTCCCCAGGATGACGCCTACGATGAGTCCTGGGCGACAAAGCGTGATTATGGGTCTGAATCCAAGCGACCCAGAACGTCTCCCACTAAACACCCCACACCGAAACGACGCCGCACGCTTCATCGATCTGATATTGCATTTGGTACTGAAAATTGGAAGGCACTCTTGTCTCCCCAGCGCGAGAAATACCTCCGGGGGCTCGCAAAACAGCGGAAACGCTCACAGTCTGACCGCTCCGGCTCTGGCGACACCCATGACGTGGGACGAATGTCTAGGGCCCAATCTCGTTCTTCAGCTGCCACTTCAAAGTCATCAAAGGATGATGCTCTTCAGGGCAAGTCGCGCCGGCCAACGGCCAAGTCGGTCAAGGAAGAGGCTGAGCTGAATGCCCCCAGTGATTCTGAGCGCAAGCCTTCCATACGAACTCAGGATTTCGTCGATCAGGCTGCACAGATCATGGCCATGATTCGCAGCCAGGTCAGCCAGCCTGGGTTGACCAGCCTTGAAGAATCCGAGTTGGAAATCGGCCAATCCATGATGAATGCGACGATGGAAGAGTCAGACGGATCCACAGCCGAGCCCTTCTCCCGACCACCAAGTCGAGACGGGAAACCAATACCCAGACGATCAAGACAGCAAGAGGATCCCGAAGTTGTCAAACGTCTCAAAAAGTATCAAGAGCTGAGTGACATGGGTGATGTCATCACTTCTTCAGTGAGATCAATGAGTCTTGCAAAGGATGCAATCCGTGCCGCCAAAGAAGTTGAGCGAATGGTTGATAAAGCCAGCAACCGTGCTCGGGCCGGCGGTGGTGGTTCTAATTTTGAGTCGGCGAGTGAATCAACAAGCCCTGTTCATGATCTCTTCTCCAGCGCCTCGGCCCGTTCCACCAGTCATATTTTTCCCACCTCTTCGTCGAGGGGCTCTGAATCACGCAAGATGATTGCTCCCGAGAGCGTTTCGCACCTGATTCCAGACAAGATAGGTGGCATGTATCTGGATAAACAAAACAATATTTGGATTAAAAACAAGGAGTCGAAGAACTCTGCGACATCTCACGCCATGGGATCCGAAGACACGGAGGATGATCCATTTGCCAACATATCAGATCTGTCGGTCGACATAACGGAGGAGATGCAGCATCTGAAGCAGACACCTCGGGGCCGTGACGGGATACCACTGCAAAAAGAGGGTAGCTCTCGACAGAGTTCAGCGCAAACACATTCGCTAAAGAGCTACACGACTCTTGCAGCTTACGAACCCCTTGATCCTGAAGTAGCGGCAAGGGCTAGGGGAGAGATTGAAAAGCTCGATGCTCAGCCCGGAGACAGCATTAAGAGTACTGAGGAGGTAGGAGGCAGCAACCTGCATGTTCTCAAGGCAAAGTCTAGTATCGATGCATTGAGCTCTAAGCGTCGTAATATCACTATTTCATTTACCTCGCCCATTGCGTCCATCGTTTTGGGTGTGCTACCAGAGGATATTGAAGGCCTGGAGGACGATCCGGAACCCGACACATCGATTTCTCCTCAGCTGCAGGCGGCTCCTTTCAGCACCCCAAAGAATGTTACACCAAAGAATGTTACACAGGGCTCCTTGCGAGGTCTTCGCGCCGGGCCGGTGTACGGGACCATTTCTAGCACCAAGTTTACCCCTCGGCCTGTTTCGCGAATAGACGAGCAAGATGAGGAGAGCACGGTAGAGTTGCACAACCAGAAGCAAAGTCCAAATGAGAGTCAAAGTCAGAGCCAGAGCCAGAACGAGCGACATACTAGCTTTATAGGCGACAATACGTCTCTGAGCCTGAAATCTCTCGACGGCGGGCCAGGCCTGGGGTTCCTTATGAATCAAACTCCAACCCCCGCAAACCGCCCCATCTCGATGAGAGCTGACGATAGTCTGCTCATTGGACGAAACGTGGGAAAGTATTCGCTGAGCCCCCTCTCAGAGTTTACTGTGAACAATGCAGACCGGTCCTTTGGGCTCGAAGTGAGCTATGTCATGGCCAATAAGCGCATGGCGACGGGCGACGGCTCAAAGAAGGTGCTGTCCATGACGATACGAGACCTCGTGGAGAAACTTTCCGAAGCTGAGCCGCATGAGCCATATTGGGAGGATATGACCTCTCTTGCTCTCCCAGATAAACAGCTGACTAGCTTACACATGCTAAACGAGTTTTGCTCCAAACTCATCACCCTGGATGCGTCGAAAAACTCTCTGGGGCATCTGGATGGAGTCCCCGAGTGTGTGCGAGATCTCAAAGTGTCCAACAACATGCTGACGGAACTTACGTCGTGGGACCATCTCATCCATCTCGAGTACCTTGACATTTCTAACAATGAAGTTAAGAGCTTGTCGGCGTTGAAGAGGCTCATCCACTTGCGAAATCTCAAGGCCGATAACAATCTGCTGACAACCCTGGATGGGCTGGACACTCATGATGGCCTTTTAAATCTCAGGGCGCGAAACAACTTTATTGAGGAGCTAGATTTCTCAAAGGTCAAGTGGGGACGCTTGACAAAGCTCGATGTAGCTTCCAACAGGATCTCGTCGGTTCGAGGCTTGCATCTGCTCCCGGCGATTTCCAAGCTCGATGTTTCGGACAACCAACTGCAAACGCTTGTTTTTGAAAAGACCAACAGGGCGCTCCAAGATTTGGATATCAGCGGCAACGACCTCGAAACCCTGGATGTTCGAAATCTTGGCAATCTGCGGACGCTTTATGCTGACCGAAACTGCCTTAGTCGCATATCTGGCTTCCGTCACGCTCGTCGGGTGGACAGCGTCTCTCTGCGTGAACAGCGAGGCGAGGACCCGCTCGAGCTGGATTTCCTAACCAGTGCCTGCGAGATAAGAAAGCTGTACTTGTCTGGAAATTACATGCAATCATTTACGCTGAGGACTGATTTCCTCAACCTGCAGCTCTTGGAGCTAGCGAATTGCGGACTGGAGGTGTTGCCCGATGAGTGCGGCCAGTTAATGCCCAATTTACGAACGCTGAATATCAATTTCAATGCTATTCGGGATCTATCCTCTTTGCGCTTCATTCCACGACTGAAGAAGCTGCTGGCGGCTGGGAACCGACTTTCAAACACGATGGCGGTAACGGAACTTTTGACGGATTTCCCTCATCTCACTGAGCTGGATCTGCGAGATAACCCCATCACCCAGGGTTTCTATCCTCCTGTGCAGATGCTAATCAGCGCGGACACGCTGGGAAGCGCTGACTCGTTTGTCATGCCAGATGCAGACGTGGAGAGAGATAGGGCTTTTGCGAAGCGACGAGATGAGACTACAAAGCTGCGTCGCCGACTCTATGAAGTGGTGTATGTTGCTAGTTGCAAGCGTCTCCGCAAATTAGACGGTCTGGAGATTGATCGTGAGAGGATATTGACCAAGGATGTGCTCCTGCAGAGACTTGTTGACGATGGGCTTTTACCAGAGCTTGAAGACACTTTGGTTGACGATCACGAGCCCTCACAGCAGCAAGAGCAAGCGGCGCCGCGGCCACGTAATACAACCAGAGTGCCACTTAATACAGCAAGAGATTACACTCAAGATTCGACGAGGAGTCGATGGAATGCTGAGGATAGCTTTGCCTGATGTCACGAGAGAAGTGCTCAGAAAGGGGAAGTGAAGGTGCAAAGAGATGAAGGTTAAAAAGTAATGGTAATGTTTTGGGGACGGTTGCTTTCGATTAGGCGTTTTACTGGCATCTACATGAGGCGTGTTTGGATTCCATTTCTCTTTGGATTCTTTTTGGGGGGTGTTTGGTTATGATGATGGCAAGACAAAAGAGGGCAAAAGCCGTCTTCTCTCTCTTTTCGATAGGTGGCGTTTTATTACAAAGAATAATGGCACAAGGCCAGGCGAGGCGCTTGTAGGACTATGATATATTGACTTTTTAGCAACCCTTTTTTTTTTTTCTTTGTTATAGCCTTTGTTTGTCTCTCTTTTATTTGTCTTTGTCTCTGGAGGGCTGCTAAAGGGGGATAAAATAGATGCTGTATGAGTATGGGGTGTTAGGGGAAGTAAAAATGATGATATCCTGTATCGATTTTTGTGGTCGATATTTCTTTGCGTTTATTATAATGAGCTTGGTTGTTGAGTTGGTAATGGAAGTTTCTTTGCATTTGTTATTTTGTTAACAGTACTATGTAGTATTTGAAGCATATTTTGATATGGCATATATATTTAAAATTGGCCACTTTAAAGGCACCAACACGCAGTTGTAGCTGGCTTTCATCCCGCAGCCATTGTTGCACAGCTTTGTCAACGTCAAAACTGTGTGGATGGGCTGATGACTTAGTATGAGATGGAGGGAAATAGACTGAAAAGTCACTAGAAACATATTTTCAACAGAATATAGTCATCATCAAGAACATGTACTTTATTATGAGGTGTCTAATGTGAATACGGAGCAAGCTGAGAAAAGAGGCTACTCGTTTCAGCTTGTCAGCCTCACTAACGTGAAACGCAGCTCTGGTTGTGGTATTTCATGTAATATGCCCCTTGATACGTGTTATTACAGAGATCAGTAAGACGATTGATTCATATGACTGGCTAAATGTTCTGGTTGAATGCAGCAAAGATGAGAAGTGTTATGCATTCTAGGTTTGCTGTAGCTAATCTATGCCATAGCTAACATGTTCTGTTTAATAATAAAGAACCTAGGAATTTAAACACTTTGATCGATCTCAGCCATTGGGCACTAATACTATTGTAACTTTACTGCAATTGATATGAAAATTAGTGTTAGTGCGCGCACATGTAAGCTGTGCAGACATCGCTACCTGCTATAAGCGGTAGGTCGGCCGTGACGCAAGCAGGTTTCACAGCTGACTTTGGGACTTGAGGTGGGGGAATCTGTAGGGCGTTAATTGGATGCATGAATTGCTTGCCGTTTCGACAGCGATGACGAGAGAAAGTGGAGCGCAGGATGGGGGCTGCTGCGTGTAATTTTTGTATTGAATTTTATGTAGGTGCGGCACGTGTGATGGGCGGCGACATATCTGGGCTCCGCTGGCTGCCTGGAAATAGTTATTTTAAGTAGATGAGTTTTGACAGAGGCTTGTTGTTATAAGAGCCCTTAAATGTGATGGATTGTTCTTCTTTGACGTCTGAACTGGCGACTGGACTGGGTTAAAGTTTCTAGCGCACTGCCCGACTCAATTACAGGCCCGCCACCCAAACGCCGCCTGAAAGAAGCTTGGGCACCGATAAGGCCTCAAGAGTGGCTCTTCCAGCTGCCAAAAGCCTCATAACTCGCCTCAGCTTGGATCCGGACCCTAAAGGCTGATTTTGTCTTTTTGGCTTAGGCAGGCAATGTCGTTTGATCCGCTTTAGGCGAATCGAGGGCGGGCCCTGGCTGACGTTAATTTTATGTAAACGAAGATTCGGTTCCGGATAGGGCCATTTTTAGGTGTTGAGCTGGCCTGACTGTGAATTGGCTAATATTAGGAGCTATACGAGCGTGAAAGCCGAAGTAAGTACGTAGTAACACGATAAGAGGAGAGAAAAGAGAAGAGAAAAGGGAGAACAATCTCATCTTTGATGGGCTTGATTTATTGCCTCCCTTACAACCGGCATAACACGAAGCGGCGCATTCTTTATAGCATCACATAAAACATGGCAGCTAGCGCTTCATGCCATTATTGGCGTGATGCATGTGGATTGGTCTTTTCTACTTCATGCCTGGAGTCGCCAGCTTCTGCCTTGTGTGTAGAGCAATGAAGAAAAGAATTAAAGTCTAGGTCGAGACTATTGGAGTAATCAAAGCTTCAATTAACCAGCTAGCCCATTAATTACTGCCTATCCGGGACCCTGGATCGCCCGCTAGTGCCCGCTGGAGCTGCCCCATCAAATCAAGTCATGCATCGGTCAGAGCCCAAGTGATGCCCCTCGGAACCTGCGCGTAGCTCCTCCATTCCTGCGTCTGCCACTCTTCGATGCCATTTCTCTTCCACAACAACCAGCAACAAACACTCACATACAACCACCAGACACATCGACGGCGACAGGCCACTCTCAGCGGAGAGCATGGACGTGTCCGACGCCGTGGCGGCCCCTCCACTGGAACGCTCCGTCTCGCAGCAGAGCAACACGTCGTATCGCTCGCACCGCAGCATCCGCACCGGCAAGCACCAGCTCCAGCACCAGAACCAGCACCGCGCGCTCCTCAGCCACCTCAGCAGCTCGGCCAGTAGCATTGCCGAGAGCGACAAGTCCCTGACGAGCTTCCCCAGCTTCTCGCCCGAGCTGCCCAGCGCCGACCGCTTCGGTGACGCCATCCATCACGATGCCGGCTACAACCAGCTCAAGGCCGCCATCCGCCAGCCCGACCGAACCGTGCGAGCCAAGGAGAGCGCTTCGACCTCCATCGTCGACAGCCTGACCTGGCGCAGCTCGGCCCGCGAGGCCCTCTTTGAGGATGCGCCGCTGTCGCAGACCGTGCCCGGCGCTCTGCACAAGGCCGACGACAAGCACATTGAGCGCCTGATTGCACGGCACGGCGCAGTCACGCTGGTGCGGCAGATCGCCAGCGACCTTGCTCAGCGAGATGCGCAGATCTCCAGCCTGCGGCGGCGGGCAGACGAGCGTGAGCGGGCCCTGAGGAAGATTATACGCGAGTGTGGCCTGTCCAGCTTGGAGCTGGAGACGAGGCTGCGCGTGGTGGAGACGGAGCTGCGCAAGAATGGCCACATTTCAAGAGACGGAGGCGGGCTCAGCGACCTGATGAGCGATGCCATGGGCGGCACCGTGACGGAGAGTGCGTTTGGAGGGACGGGCATCGCAGGCGCTACAATAAGAGCCAGCAGCGGCTCTGCTCTGCCCAGCAGCTCGGACAGCAAATCGGGCACGGTCAAGGGATGGAAAGACTACATCTGGGGCGGCACATCGCGGAGGACCAGTCTCAAGGATGGCGCGCCCAACAGTAATAGGCCTACTGTCATACGATCGCATTCCAGCCTCGCCCAGCGACCCGCCCTGCACAACGACCTCTTCGACCCTCCCACGACTCCGACCAGCAGCGGCCCTGCCAACAACTCCAGCCGGCCGTCCAGCATACACTCGGCCTCCACTCCCGATCGCAAGGGATCTGCGTCGCTTGCGAGCCTGGCGCTGAGGCTGGTGGCCGGCGGCGCTGTTGCCAGTCGTGAGGCAGAAGCCAGAGGGCGTGCTGCCAGCAGTGCTGCCAGAACAGAGACGACTAGGGCGGGCTCGGCGGCTAGTAACCACACCAACCGCTCATCCCGAGCCGTGTCTGTCGCTGGTGGTCCCAAGGCATTGATGGCCATGGGGAGATCGACGCCGTCCAACTCCTCCGCCGGCGCATCGAAAGCCCAAGCGCAAGACCCGCGCGGGAGCGGCTCTGGAAGCTCGCCTGGCCCATCATCCCTACGTGCAGACAAGTTTGGGCCAGTCGAAATGGACGCCATATTGCCCCCAGAATCTCAGCCTCCGACGCTCACGCGCATATACAACAACTATCCCAACAGTGAATACTTGACCGATCGATTTGGCTTCATCTACGACCAGCGGCGCAAGAAACGGCAACGGGAAGCTTCGCAGATGGCAAACCATATTTCAAACGGCCACCGCAAAGAGTTGCTTGGAAACGGCCGGACAGGCATCTCACCCAACATGCTGGATGATGTGCAGAGTTCCAAGATGAGCGTATCCAGCGATCCACGCCCAGGAAGCCCAAGCAGCCAGGAGGAGAGGGCTGCTGGCGAGGAAAAGGCGAAGCGCTGGCAGGACTACCTCAAGATTGCAACCTTTCCCACCGAGCTGCTGAGCCATACGCCTGGCATAAGCGCCACAGCCGTGTCTGTGACCGAAGGCGCTGATGACCGAGCCAGTTCCACATCCAGTCAGCGCTTGATTGAGCGCTCAGCTCGTTCGCCTGCGATAACACCGACCGAGTCGGGACTTGTTCCCCTGGCGAGCACGACGACGGCGATTGACCACGAGACTACTCTCACACAGCCCCCGTCTGAGGATCCGACTCTAGGGACGCTGGTCAAGGAGGATACGGAGCCGGTAAAGCTGCTTCTCCAGCAGCTGAGCGATCTGCACGATAGTCTTCAGCGAGACAAGACTGTCCAGTGGAACGAATTTCTGCGCAAGGTCCGGGCGGAGAGGCAGCGTGAGGGCGAGGCGGCGCTGGCTGCGGCCACGGCGGCTGCCGAAGCCCGATTTGAGCGCCTGGGAATCATCCAGCCGGAGGAGCAGGTGGCTGACGGAGAAATGATTGGCATCTCGAATCTGGGCAACAAGGGCAAGGTTGGGCGGGCGAAATGGAACGGCTTCAAGACGCTGGTGCTGGGCGGCATCCCCGTGAGCTATCGGGCAAAGGTGTGGTCAGAGTGCTCGGGTGCAACGGCGCTTCGCATTCCTGGCTACTACGATGGGCTTGTCTCCCAGAGTGGCGAAGACGACGATCCTACGGTGGTGAGCCAGATCAAGATGGACATTAACCGGACGCTCACAGACAACATTTTCTTCCGAAAGGGCCCTGGCGTGCAGAAACTGAGCGAGGTGCTGCTGGCGTATTCGCGACGGAACAAGGATGTGGGCTACTGTCAGGGAATGAACCTGATTACGGCCAATATCCTTCTCATCACGCCCTCTGCCGAAGACGCTTTTTGGATTCTGGCATCCATTATTGAGGAGATTCTCCCTCACGGATACTACGACCACTCGCTGATATCGTCGAGGGCAGACCAACAGGTGCTGAGACAATACGTTCGGACAGTTTTGCCCAAGCTGTCGGCGCACCTTGACTCGCTGTCAGTCGAACTCGAGGCCCTCACTTTCCAGTGGTTCCTCTCCGTCTTTACAGACTGTCTTTGTGCCGAGGCGCTTTTTCGCGTTTGGGACGTGGTGCTCTGTACCAATGATGGGAGCACGTTCCTTTTCCAAGTTGCTCTGGCGCTGCTCAAGCTAAACGAAAGCAATCTGCTGCGGTGCGACACGCCGGCGGGGGTGTATACTTATATCAACCACCAGATGACGGAGCATGCCATTAGCATTGATGGACTGATCCAGGCGAGCGAGGGGCTAAGACGAGTCGTGAAGCGGGAGGAGGTGGAGCAGTTGAGGGCGAAGGCTATCCAGGCTGAGAGGGATATGCTTGCGGGGAGGGACACTGGGGACGCAGAGACGGCGGATACGGATGCAGCAGAGGCTGTTGAGGGTGAAGGCGATGAAGACTCGAGCTGAGTCTAAGCAAACTCACTGCATTCAAAGAGGGCGGTGTTTCAAAAAAAGGGGGTTGAACAAAACGGAAGTTGATCAGAATGGACTGGGGGGGCTTGGGAGCAAAGCAAAAAATGTTGAATATGATACCCATCACAAAGTGTAGCTAAGCTTGTTACAACTGCCTTTTCTTTTTTTTCCTTTTTCACTTATACCATATTATCTCTCTTTTTAGAATGTCATTTGGGGGGGGACTGGTTGGCGGAAGGGGATGGGAAAGCATACGGCAAGCTAAAATTACAAATTACTGCTTTTTTTAGAATTGGATGAAGACCAAAATTGTCTTGTTTTTTTCTTGATTCTTGTTTTTGTTTTTTGTAAAGTTCTGGGATGTGTTGGTAGTGTTTAGAATATGAATGAATACAGTCGAACACACGCTCTTACGCTTACACTATGTATAAACTGACATCTTCATCTGCTTTGCTGTTGATATAAATAGACCGATATTTGGCTAGACGTGGCATGATATCAACATCCAGATCTGCTATACCAAGATCCATGCCTATCTGTGGCAATCAGGCCTGGCAGCTGACAGCCGCACATCACCGGCATCCATGGCCATTCACCCGCCGCTCACTTTGCCGTCACTTGGTCGCGGTATTTCAAAACGCGTTGACGTGAACGTGGACGAGCCCGTGCTTTGTTTATTTACATCGTTCTCGGCCAATCACCTTTGCGTGCGCTGCAACTCGATGGCAACTTTGTATCAGAGGAGCTCAACACCATCGCTTCACTAACCTCCCCCTTCTTTTGCTCAACCACAATCTTCCATACTTTGTCGAAACACGCAGCCCAACAACGATCAACGATGCAAGACGTTTCTGGCGAGTTTACTGAAGAGCAGGCAGAGTCTATTGATTCTTGGAGACACTCTGTGCCCAGCCGCATGGAGCGCGAGGATCCCTTTAGCGACGATGGCTTCACGGCTCGGCCCAGCACGCGCGTGGTCAGCATAACTCAATCTGTATTTCCCACATCGTACCTTGTTCTCAGTGTGCTGACCCCTTGATCAAGACATTCCGCGAGCCAGAACGCCCAATGCGCCGCCCTTCCACTTCTGCTCGCCTGGCCTTTATCCGCGCCGCCATCCCCATCCCCATCTTCCACCGGCGGCCATGCACCTCCACCGACCTCGAGGGACCGCTGATTGAGCGTCCGGAGACCGCGCTGGGAATCCGAGACGACGACGACGGCGACAGCGCAGCGGAGGCCAAGAACCCTCGGCGCAGAGGCCTGTTTAGCCTGTTTAGCCGCAAGAGAAAGCACCGCAGCCCGTCGCCGTCGGCGTTGCCGCCTGTTCCGCAGGTGGTGCTGGATGTGCCGCTGACGATTCACTTTTTGTTTGTGGGGGCCAAGACGGCGGGACAGACGTCGTTGTTGTTGTAAGATGAGCTTTTCTTTTGGTGAGCAACTGATATTGACGATGAGAGCAGCCGTGCTCGCTATGGCCAGTTTATCGATGTAAGCAACACCAACACTTGAAGTCAAGGTATGTACATTGATAGACAAGAGAGATGCTGACCAGAATCTTCAGTCCAGCGCCATTGCTCGCACCTGCTACGAGACATATGTCAACACCCGCATGTACAACTCCCAGCCGGTGCGCGTCGAAATGTAGGACACGTCGGGCGCGCCGGACCTGAGCACGGTGGAGCGGCTGTCGTATGTGCAGTGGGACGCGATATTCCTGTGCTTTGACATTCAGCAGAAGCCGACGATGCACGCCATCTTGCAGTGGGTGAGTTGCACTGCTCTCCTTTTTTTTATCCGACTGAGCTAATCATCTATCAGTGGTATGAGGCTGTGCAGGGAGGCTTTCTCGCCCAGCAGCAGACAGAGGTGCTTCTTCACCTGGTCGGCTTGAAGAAGGACGTTCGCGACAAGTGCACGGATCCGAGGCACAGAGTGGCGTGCCCGTTTGACTCGGACGACTTTGTCCCGTTTCCCAGCTGCTGCGTGATTCCATCTGACGTATGTTTGGGGTCACTCTTGGGCTTTTCTTTGTGTACGGCTAATAGTGAGTATAGGCTGCATGGCATGCGAGACGCATCCGCGCTCATCGATATCTCGAGTGCTCTGCCATGACGGGCGAGGGAGTCGATGCCATGCTCGAAGATGCTGCGAGAGAGTCTACTAGGCGGGCGCTTGAGATGGCGCAGTATATTCAAATGACGCAGGGCAACAAGAGACGCATGTTTTGAGCACTTGACGTTGATCGAATGGGTTCTGAGAGTCTACAGCAGCTGGATCTATCAAAGTGTTGATGAGGGCTTCAAGCCATGTACAAGGGACGCATCTTGCTTTTTTTATTGTCTAGGTAAGAGGTTAGCCAGTGCCTCTATTTGAAAGGGAAATTACGGGAATTGTGTACACTGAGAAATGTCGAATTTGGTACATGTACGGTATATTTGAAATGAATGGAATTGGTGGAATGCCTTTTTTTGTCATGATGGACGCAAATACGTGCCGTCGAGAGCACGTGGGGTCTGTGCGCTGAAGCTTCGGTACCTGAACGCCGTACCGCAATTGACTTTATTTCAACCATCACCACGCTCGTTAGAGGTACAAGATAGCTGCCTATTACTATAATTATAAATAAGGTATTTCAAGTTTCATTAGCTCAATGGCAGAGCATGATACTTCTAATATCTGTATCTTAGTTCGACTCTAAGATGAAACTAAATTCCCTAATAATAAATAGTCTATTAATTATATGCTTCTATCCCTAAATTTTATTTTATAAGAATAGAATTTTGTTGGCGGAGTTGGGTTTGCCTACTCCACATTAAAAGAGATTACAGAAGCACATATTTCTGGCTATTTTTGCATCTATAAGTATAAAGTTTAATACTAAAATAATTTTAGTAGCCGAAGGCTACATAACTCCTTATGAAAAATTAGGACGCTTTCCTTTATAAAAGATTATAAATAAGAAGTAAGGAACAAAATCCTAAATATACTTCACATATACTAGACAAAGTTAATCAATTTATAGTTCCATAGGATCTAAGGTTTAACGTTTTTAATCTTTGTTTTTAACATTAAAGTATTATTAACTTTTTATGATTAAAATGGGAACATTTAATAGAATAAGTAAAATTAATATGTTTCATCTTACATGAACTGTTTTTAACCAACTCTGACGCTTGTTATAAAATGCTCTTCTCGTAATTTTACTCGTCAGTGATTCAAGTACACCAAACCCTTTCATAGCGGTTCACATTCTTACAAAAGCGCAGAAATGAACGTGTCCACATGAAATCTCAATAGAAGAGCATCTACAACGCTTCATCATGGCTCGCTCTACAACCCTCTTCGGCATCGCTGGTGCCGTCGCCATTGGCTCCGCCTTCACAATCCTCTCCTCTCTTGGAAAGCGCAGTCTCTTGACCGTAGTCGCTTCAGGCATAGCCCTCCTCGTCTTCGCCTCAGTAAGACCCTCCAACTATGGAAACAAGGGGCGTCAGCTAATTAAACATGTTAATAGACAAGACACATTCAGCTTCTCTCACGTCGTAGTCCCAAACGAAATGCGAGACTACAGGTAAATGCCAGTTCGCAGGCTGTTCGCCGGCCGCCAATGGACTACAACTTGTTTGTCCTCGGCTCGGGCGGGCACACCAAGGAGATGCTCATGATGATGGACGACGGCTCCCACGACTTTACCAACTTCCATCGCCGCTACCTCATCTCCAGCGGCGACGCCATGTCAGAGAACCACCTCGAAGAGTACGAAGATGGCCTCAAGACTCTGTGCAAATCTCACAAATCTTCACCCGGCACCTACGACAAGCGCATCGTCACTCGCGCCCGCAAAGTCCACCAACCGCTCTGGTCAACGCCCTTGACCGCCCTGCTCAGCATCCTCGACATTTTCCCCGCGCTGCTCGTCCCGCCGGACAGTGAAGCAGGCAAGAAATTGCGGTATCCCAGCCGCGTCTTTTCAAACGGGCCGGCTACGGGATTCTTTGTTGCGCTGGCGATACATTTGCTAAAGATGTTTTACCTTGCTCCGGAGAGCTCTATGAAGGTTGTATATATTGAGTCTTGGGCTCGCATCTCGACGCTGAGTCTGACGGGCAAGCTACTGTTGCACACTGGCATAGCGGATGTCTTTGTTGTACAGCACGAAGAGGTGGCGCTGCGGTACGGCGTGCAAAACGCTGGAGAAATTGTGTTTAATTCTCGCCGCTTGGATGATATAGAACCAAGCCCCGTCAAATGCTAGCAGACTTTTACCTCCTTTTAACCTTTATACCTCATATCCCCATCGTCTTTTCTCTTCATACACATGATATAATACAAGAAATGCCAAAATCCGGCTTCTACACACATTTATATACCCATCTCAATCATACCGTCACCGGCACAGGCTGTGCCTCCGCCTCCACGCCAACCTCCTCATCCTCCAGCCCAAACGTCTCAATCTCGGAGCTCGCCCTGGCCTCCCGGTTGGCCGTCTCCTTGCCGGCCCAAATCTTCCAGTTCTCAAACTCATTGTCCTCGAGCTGCATGCCAATGTCCAGCCTCGTCTTTCCAAAGTAGGCGCCGACGTAGCGGGCCTCTTCGATGGCTATCCTCTTTTCGATTTCTTCTTCCTGGCGCAGGCGGTAGAATTCGCGGCGGACAATGTCGTATGCTTTGCGCTTGCTCATGTTTTGGGTTTCCATTAGCCACAGCTGTCGTTGGACCACGCTAGAAATAACAAAAATTAGCTTTGACTTTTACTTCTTCCCAATCTTCACAGCGTTATTCACCTTTCACCCGTCAGCGGCACACCAGGCTGTCTCAGCCCCTTGCTCCAATCGCAATGCTGGTGGTCCTTGCCGTCCAGCTCCAGCACCACCCTCGGCCTCGCCAGCTCCCACGGATGGTCCTTGTAGAAGCTCGTCCGCAGCGCATCCTCCGGGTAGGCAATATTCTGGGGGCGGAACAGCCGCTTGGGCTTGGAGGCGGCCTTGGAATTGGGGTTTGGCGCGCGGTGGCGCGGCGTGACGTTTCGCACGAGCGTCTCGGACGGCGGCACCGAGTTCATGACGGCGAACCAGGGCGGCGTGGGCACGTTGTAGCCGGGCATGAGCTGGTGCTTGAGCTCTTGGCTGACGGCGCGGTAGACGCCCGCGGGGCGGATTTGCCTGCCGCCCATGATGGGATGTTGTGCTGAATTGGATGTAGTTGCTTTGTTGTGTAGAGGCGTCGTTTATGAGAATTCGAGTGGTGTATCAGTGCGATTGTATTCACGAATAGAGGTGTTTTAGAGTGGAGGTTGTCGTCTTGAATTCAATGTCTGTAAGTCGTGCGATGAATATGGCAAACCAGGAAATTTTGGGGTCGTCGGCGAATCATTCGGCCGGGCCCGCAGCTCTACAAATTCATCTTTTATAGCAGCGTTCAAAGCCATTGAGCGATGAATTATTCATAAATGGGATCTGTTTACCCGTATGATTATTCCTCTTTCTAAAAAATATAATTCAAGCTGCACTGCGTGAATTCCATCCCCGTGCATCTCCAAGGCGGCGGATAAAGCAACTTCACGGCTTGCATCTCGAGCTTAGTCATCCATCTTGAAAATACATCACGTCACAACCGCACCTCTAATAGGGCAGTTCTCTTAATGAAAAACGACCAACTTTAAAGCCCAGCTTCTCACAATCATATAAAAAGGGCACCCAAACAACCCTCAGCATGGCCCCGACAGAAACCGCAGTCGAGAAATCCATAGCGGACCACCTCACCGAATGGGGCTGTAAGTTCTCCTCTTACACACATCTCATCCCCAAATTCACAACCTGATATCGCACAACTAACTCTCACCAGCCTCATCCCTCCCCCCCTCCCTGCTCGCAACCCTCATCACCGCCCTCCACGCCCGCCCCCTCCAGCCCCTGCCCCTCACGCTCTTCACCCCAACCCTCCTCTTCAGCTCCTACCTCAACCTCTCGGGCTACCCCACCGCCAGCGCGGGCCTCGCCGCCGCCTGGTCCGGCCTGTACGCGCTGCTGGCCCTGCGCCGGCGCCAGGGGCTGCGGGCGAAGCTGAGCATTCGGGGCGTGGTGCGCGGGACGGCGGTTGGGCTGGGCGCGGCGAATTGCGTGGCGGGCGGGTGGGTGTATATGCATGGGAGCAAGGATCGGGATAGGAAGGCGAGGGAGGAGAGGAATCGGTGGGGACAGTATGATGATAAATGAAAGGTTGAGTGTGAGGGTGTGAGGGAAAAGGGTTTGATGATGAACAGAAAAGGAGAAGAAAGGAGCATTACATTGTACCATTACCAATATCGTTGCTGGGCCTAAAAGCATGCATACATGTATATTATCACGACACAGAATGAAACACAAATCACACAAATAACGCAGCTCGCATTGCCAATACATGTTTGTTTCGTATTGATCTTACCTACAGGGGCCAATGTTATAAACAAAAAAAGGCCACCAAAATTCGCAAACAATCCGCTGTTCTCAAGCAAACTAAAAGGCTGGCAGTCTTGGGGATCCACTGCTTTCAGCCAAACGCTATCTAGTATACAGACATCTTGATACAAAAGAAAGGGACGAAAAACCTTTGTGTAGTATCCATAAAATCCAACACTCGTTCCAATTCACCGCGCCAATAATAAAAGAGGATATTGACAAAGAAAGAAAAAAGAAGACAAGATTCCACAAAGAAGGAAAATAAAAATAAAACGCCCATTGCGCAGATCATCTCAGCTCTTGAAGTTTCTGCGAGCCCAATTCCGTCTCCCAATCCCGATAAATATGGTTGAAAAGCACAAATCTGTACACCGGTCCTTGTACACAACACCAACACTGGTAAATCCTAAAAGCCCCGCTCTATATCTGCAGTATTATCCCAGGATTCTCTTGTCTTTCTCATCTTTGCAGATGATTCTGTCGGATTAACTTTTGTGAAAAAAGAAATAAAAGAAGAGTAACGTCGGACTTCTGGTCATGCAAAAGTCATGCCAAGTGAAGCTATTCAACGACGCTACTTTGTTGCCTTTGAGGCAGTGGTTTTGTTGGAGGGCTATTTGGTAATGCTGTCGCGGGCAATGACCATCCGAGAGCCAGACACTAGCCAGATGGCGGCGACACAAGCAGTGAATAAAACGGTCCTCATGAATGACCGGACTTGAACCGGGGTGAATCGCGAGCTTTCGCCGTGGAACGACCGAAGTGAGCTGATGGTCAAGGAGCCAGGCTCAAATCCGGTAATGTACTCGACGTCGCATTCCCGGATCTTCGGTTGGGCGTAAGTCTTGTATTCGTCAACGACACTGTCAAGGGTCCAGCCAGACAGCTTGCGGACGGCGGCGACGACGCAGCCGGTGCGGTGCTTGCCGTGATTGCAGTGAACCAAAAGAGGGTAATTTCGGCGGTCCAGAACAACGTCGAGGATGGAGGACATTGTGCTTGAAGGAATGGCCTCCTTTTTTGTTCCCTTCATGTTGAAGATGATTTGCTGGATACCGTTGGCACCGACAAAGGACTCGAACTCGTGGTCGATTTCATCTCTCTTAACCAGTGTGCTATAGCGCTTGGTTAGCTATTGTACTGAGATATGGAGCGGATAAAACATACACTACCGTCTTCAACTTCAAGCCCTTCAAAAAGGCATAGTCGTCTGCCTTTGGATAACTGCTGCGATAAACGCCAGGTACAACTACACCGAAGTTGATGGGTCGGCCCTCCATTGGAGCAAGGGGGAACTCGGGTGCGGGATCTGCGGTGATTGAGATGACTGATCCGGTTGCTGCAGCGGCTGATGTTAATGTTAGAATTCAAGAGATAAGAAGAAAACCAAGACCAAGAGGGCAGCTTACCAGAAATGGTACCAGCTTTGGGCAACATCGAGGACGTCGTCTGTTGGCTGGTGGCACGACGCTGGAAAAGAGGGCGAGCGTTTTCTTCAGATAGTAGCGATTCTGACACTGGACTCTGAGTTTTTATCCTTCTCGTTGCCAAGGACAAGCCTTCAATGACAAGATATGATTCGTCTGTGGGAAGCTGAGTTGGAAATAAATCGGGAGACTTGAAGGGCGCTGCTATCTCTGACGAGAAGAGTGGGATGTTGCTGTCGGGCAAAATGTCGAGTTCCATGCCGTTTTATTTGTTCGTGGCGCCTTGTTTACACGCCTTTGTTTATCTTCGTCTTGTCGTCTAAAAGAGACTTTTTTCTTTTTGTCTTTTTGGCTGATTGTACGTATGGAACTCTATATCGTCGGTTCAAGGTTCGGTGTGGCACTATGCGCGAATGGCGTCGGAACAAGCCTCGTGCTTTGTTGATAAGGGTTTGTATTTTCGAGAGATTGGCGTCGTGGAAAGGGCCAAAGGGGTTCTCAAACTTCAGAGGACGTCTCAAAACAAAGAGATAGGGACAATGATGGAGCAAGGTGGCGTGGGTAGAGTCTGTTTGTGGTCGAGATTTTCCTGTGCTCGACTTTTTGCTGGCGTCGTTCTAGTTAAATGGGCGCAGGACGGGCAGCAGGTTACAGAAGGGTATTCCGTTTGGGAAATGTGAGCTGGAGTTGGGAAGCCATCGTGTCCGAGGGTTTATGGAGAAAGCGGGAGAGGCCAATGTAAAAGTACGAAGAGCTTCGGTCAGGAAGAACAGGCAAGGTCGCGTGGGAGGATGGTGGGAGGTGGGAAGATCGCATGCCCTGTTGAGACGATGCTGAGAGCTGTAAGTCGACGGAGACCGGGGCTCAGGTTTCAATTTTGGGGGGAATCCTTTGGGCCTAGCACAGCAACTGAACAGGCGAGCACAAGCCGTAGCTACCGGAGTCTGCGAGGCCGGTACTTGGGGGGGACTTGGGCAGTACCTCGGAACATTGGCTGAATACGCCGTGGGAGCAGGGCAGTACAATCCAGCACAGAACGGCGTCGGCGTTACAGTGGTCCCCACCCCGAGCTGTCACTGCTCTCACAGGCTCTTCATACTCCTGAGCGCCAAGTTTCGGACCCGGAATTGGTAGCATCACAGTGGGGAGCCAGGGCAGCGCATTCACATGGTCACTTTGCGTACCGAGGAGGTACCCGCGCAGTAGAAGGGTGGGGTGCATTACATAGCGCCTCGGGGGACCGTTTAGTGCATTCGCCTTTGCTGTATAGCACAGCATGGGCCTGTGCTTGCTGCGGTGGGCCCTGCATACAGTGCTCGTCGCAGCAATCCAGAGCCATCTCCGTGCCAGCCAGTTGGGTTCGGCCATTGGGGCCAATCTTAGCGTCTCCAGCGCAAGTCCTGTTCTTGGATCGCGGCTGCAGCGGACATGTCGGTAGGCCTAGAAGAGCAGAGAAAAGGAGCCCAAGAAAAGGGACTCTCGCGTCCTGTCCTGTCCAGGAAACCGCGGCTAGGTACCAAGTACCCAGCACGCGTGGCTTCAGTCTTTCCAATGGACTCATTCATGTTGGCACTTGGGTGTACCTTGCAGGGGAGGCTTACGAAGCAAGCAATGATTGACCTGGAATACCTGCTCGCGCAGCCTTAGCCAGTCCCCCATTGCACTGAAAGCAGGCCGCCCGGTCGAATTGGAAGCATCCGCGGCGACGTCTGTGGCGAGTCTCAGAGGATTGTCGCTGCCTGCATGCACTGCGCAACGGCCATCACTTTTTTTTAGACGTGCCTGGGCCTGGCACCTGGTATGCATACAAATTTACAGCCATGTACTGATGAAATCAGCCATCCAGCCTTGGGCTTTTCTCTACTTGAATGTCCTTTGGGCTGCTCGCATGGCGCTTTGGGCTGAGCAAGGAGAAAAAACCGGCCGACGAGGCACAATGGATTCGATAGCAGCTGCAAGTCTGACTTGTGGCTGCATATAATGATGCGTGGAGGCCGAAACGGGCCTCACGCGACTCGAGATACCTACTTCAATCCCATAGCTGTGTGGCCTCCTCTTGACAGCTCACCCAACCATTTTTTTTTTTTTGTTAATTCTTAATCCTCCCACTGCCTGGTTTAGAACCGTGTTTGTAGCCAGAAACGCCACTGAGGCAAAGACCGAAAGACTAAAGCCCGCGGCGCAGGGGGGCCCCAGCCTCGCCAGCTGCATCTAATTGGACCCTGAGACGCTTTTCGTCATGTCATTGAGCAACCCGAGATTTGCTGCGCGTCCGTTTTGATTCGCAGCAATATGCAGGTGTGTCTGCCCTTGCAAAGGCTACTTTGTAACGGTCTTCTTCACCAATGTCTGAAAGCGGAAATGACGCACGCGGGAGGTCATTGCAGGTCACGAGCGCAAGACGGACGCTGTGAGCTGTACACGCCAGTACGAAGGAAATAAAAGAAGCTGGAGCTCGGGATAAGCGCGAGGTCGAAATGAGTGCGGCCTCGTACGTCAATGGCGAGGAGGGGAGAAGAGAGAAAAAAAGGGACAGGCTTCTCCTCACGCACCCTCCATATGATGTGCCCCCCGCGCGGGCTGGAGAAGGATGAGGAGAAATGCTAGACAAGAAACAGGAATTATAAATAGAAGGATGCATGATGCTATCGATCCTCCCTCCCTACTTGGATCGCCAAAGTCAATTTCCAGCCACAAAGTGCGGCACATGAATCTCAGACATTGAATTTCTGTCTGGGTCCAGCCAGAGCAGTAAATCTCTCGTTAGGGGGCTTCCAAGTGTGAGTGAGTTCCAACGAGTAGCAGAGAGCACGGAGTACAGAGCACAGAGCACCGAGCACAGGCACCACAGGAGAACCCCCAACCCCCAACTTTCAACTTGGCAGCTTTGCACTAGGACAAGTACACGGGACTTGGGAGATGACATGTAGCCTCCACCCCACGTGCAAGAGGCTGCTGGACTGTACTCGATTACGAACTGATGAATTCGAGACGACTCCACGGGCGGCGCCCCGTTGTTGGTTTCGGCGAGAAAGGAGCGCGTAGATCATGGTCCGGCACGGTGATTGAACTTGTCTCCCACAGATACGTTAGAATCTCAGTAAAAAAAATCTTTTGTGTATCGTACGATCCGGCACGCTGCATTCTGTAGCCACTTTAATGGAGCCTGCGCATGCCGTATGCGCGGAGCAGAAAATGCTCGCCTCCAGCCGCGTGTATCAACCGAGAGCTGTGTCTTGCAACCTTCCTAATGTGCGATGCTGCAAACAATTCAAGTCATCAAGCACGCATAAACGTTTAATCATTCCCGTCACCATTCGGTATTACACACCACAACAAGAATGATGAGTACCTATTGGGTTGTATTATTGTATATTGTAGGTACATAATCCTGACGTGTCTACTATTCAGCCGCAGCCCGCCAGGATCTATAATTACACCTAGGCCATGTACAAGAATGTAACTCGTCTGCCGTGCCGAATGCTACGATACAGGTCCAACGAGCCGTCACCTGATGACGGGGCATACAGGCTACCCAGCATGTACCTATTTTGTAAATATTACCATGTAAAACATGTAGTAGGTATTCATCTTTTCTCCGTGGAGAATAGGGGTTTCGCAAGATCTCAGCTGCATTTGCTCCGGCTCGGCTATCAAATGATGTGCTCTGCCGCTGTTGCTGCCGCTGTACATTGTGCCCACAGCCCGTAAATTACGTGTGAGGCCATTAAGGCGTAGGCAGACTTGGAAAATACGTACCCGTGAGCCCGCAATCTGGGCCTTAATCTAAAATCTAAATAGAAAATGGAAGACGGATTGGTTCTAGCCCGTGATTCATTCTTCGCCTCCAGCTCCATCTTTACGTCCTCCATAAGCCATCAAATCAGTACCTCCAAATAAGTGCTAGCAGCAACATCTCGTCCGGCACTCGTACTTTGACCACACTACACCTACCAGCCTGAATTACCAATCCGCTTTATTAATGCGCCAATTCCCATTTCCAGGGATACGGAGTTCGGGGCACTCTAATGCCACATATTCTTGGTTGGTGTTTATAATACGGGGTAATGTCTCCGTAAATTAGGGCATCGGAAAATGGAATTGGATTGAGACACCACTGATCCACGCGACACAGTGCCGTATGCAGCGCATCAGAGACTTGCCCAGCTATAGCCGTATCTGCGCAGCTGCAAGTATCTTCCCCAAATTCCATCCTTGCGACGCCTCTATCCCATACTGTACCTGACCCAACTCATTTATTCTCCTTTTTTTTTTTCGTCCTTAGATTCCTCTTTGCCGCAGAGCAGTTTCAGCCACAGAAGCAAAGAGAGAGAAACGAGAAAATAGGACAATTGGGTACCTGTGCACGCTTGTCACAAACTGGCAGCACCGAAATCTCGTCCCCTGTTCAAGCGCTGGGCCACACGCGACAAGCTACCGGTTTTCGTCACCGACGACACGGCTCGACCGCAAACTAGTGGTCGATACAACCCAGCAGCTGCATTATTTTGCTTCGGGTGTTGGTTGATGAGGCTTTCGGCTGCAACGGGCCGGTAGGGAATCAGGAAACAAGGCCGAAAGGTGAGGTGTTGCTGATGCTGCCCTGTCGGAGGATGTTGGCATCAAGAGAAGATGCCCAATTTTGATGGCCATGCGATGCAGTTAGTCTTGCGAGGCCGAAGCGGCACCGATTCAAGTGCTGTTCTTGTTTCTGTCTTAGTCTCGGCCACGCAATTTGTATTTCCAATAGGCCGTGGCCACCACAAAAAGTCTCCGCAGGCTTGAAGCGGAAATAAATAGTCGTGGCGCCAATGTCCGAGTCAGAAAGAGCGAAAAGAGCGAGAGACTGTGTGCGTCGTCGCTTTGGAATGGTTCCAAAAGGAAATCTTTAGCAATCTCTATTGGCTGCGAGGCTTTAGGCACAACCTTCTTTTGGCTCTTCGTCTTGTCATTGCTTCGGGTTTCTGGCCTTATATACTGCATGCACGGGACCGTCTGCATGTCTGCCGTCACGAGACATGAATGTCTTTTTCTCGCACTGCGGGACAAGGGATTGACGTGCAGATGCAGATGCAGGTGCCGATGCAGCGCCGCTTTCCAGCGCCCGTTGGCATCCTTGAAGTCTGACGAGCAAGCATCATAGGCTGCGTGTTTGGATGTTGCCATCATCTTCTGACCCGGTGCTTGCTGATGTGCATGTCCGTATTGGTCATCGTAATTGTAGTACTAGCAGCACAAAACCTTGTAGGGTATGGCGTTTCTAATCAGATAAGTCTCTCCATCGTACATGTTTGATCGTTATCAGATCAATGGCTGAGGCAATCCATTCTCGCGCATCCGGGGAGATGGCTCTCACGCTTCGCTCGCTAACCTCGCTACGCTATACACGTATATGCCTCCCAACATTACTAAACCTCGTCTCAATATCCAGTTCAGAAGATCTGAATACATGCAATGCCTTATTGAATTGACCAGCGCATATAACCCTTCTCTGTGCTCTCAATTGCTCTCCTCTCAAGACCGCATGTCGTTGCAATGCGCTAAACCCAGCTTATACCCATGATCGTCTACTTGTATCCTGCTCTCCCCGACGTATTTCCCGAACAATCGCTGCGGCTTGCGGGCATTTGATTCCATAAACTGCCTGTTTCCCACCATTCTCCAGTGCCGGAACTCACTGCCGTTCCCCAGCGGGGGTGAGAGACGCTCGATTGCCGGCTTCGGGGCTCACCCCCATTTGCCCTCGACTTCATCCCAGCTCTTCTCTCTCGTTTTGGAGATTCGAATGCAGAATACAAGTGCATACAACTATCTGGATCTCTGCGCAACGTGATACTGAGCTGTAATGTCTGCACCTCATTGCACTGCTTGGCACTGATTCTCTTTCTACTCCCTGCCCGAGGCCATGTCAAACAATCTCGAAAATGAGCTTCATGCCACTGAGGTACGGCAAGTCGTTGCAGCCGATACGGGCGTTTTCGAAAAGTCGGTTCTAGAGCCTCCAGCGGAAGACACTCAGCCACAGGCTCAGACAAAACCTCAAGATGACAACGCGCCCATAGATGGCGGGACTCAAGCATGGCTGCAAGTGGTGGCTTCGTTTATGCTCTACTTTAACCACCTGTATGCCTTATCGACCACCAACTAGCCCCCCAATTACAAAGACTTCAGAAAACATTTACTAACTCCATCATTTGATGGCGCTCAGAGGCCTGCTCAACAGCTTCGGCGCCTTCCAGTCATTCTACGAGACAGACCTCCTCAGGACCTCCTCCCCCTCGGCCATCTCATGGATCGGCTCCATCCAAATCTTCTGCCTCATGTCCGTCGGCGCCATCATCGGCCCCCTCTACGACGCAGGCTACTGCCGCGCCCTGCTCGCCGCCGGCACGCTGCTCGTCACCCTGGGCTTCATGTTCACCAGCATCAGCACCACCTACTGGCAGGTCCTGCTCGCGCAGGGCATCTGCCTCGGCCTGGGCACGTGCTGCCTCTCGATCCCGTCCATTGCCATCTTGCCCATGTACTTTAAGAAGAAGAGGGCTAGAGCCATGGGTCTGGCGACTGTCGGCAGCGGGCTTGGGTCGACGCTGTATCCCATCATGTTTCAGAATCTGCGGCCGCGGGTGGGCTTTGGCTGGACGGTGAGGATCATGGGGTTCTTGGCCTTTGTCATGTGTTGTTTTGCGTTGCTGCTTATTCGGCCGAGGACGCCTGCGAAGAAGCCGGCGTGGCAGGAGAATGGCTTTTCGATTCGGTGGTTCTGGGACGCCTCGGCGATGAAAGAAAAGACGTTTTTGCTCTACAGCATCGCCATCTTTTTCAATAACCTGTCGTTTTTCAACCCGCCGTACTATTTAGAGAGCTACGCCACATCGCACGGCATGCAGGGCTCCGCTCTGGCTGCGTATTTACTGCCCATTCTCAACGCCTCGTCCCTCCCTGGCAGAATCATACCCTCATTCATTGCCGACGTGGTAGGCTCTCTGGATACGTACATTGTCGTGTGCGCCCTGAGCAGCACCAGCGTCTTCTACTGGATCAGCGTGACAAACGAGGCTGGCAATCTTGCCTTTGCCGTCTTGTATGGCTTCTGGTCCGGCAGCGTGGTGTCTCTCGGATCTGTGGTCCTAGCATCCATCACCCCGGACATGAGTCGCTTGGGGACGAGGCTGGGCATGGTGGCTATCCTCAAGGGTATCGGGTCGCTCATCGGGCCGCCAATTTCGGGTGCGATTCTGAGGAGCACGGGCAAGTATATTGGCATTCAGCTCTTTTCGGCGTGTGGCATTATGCTTACTTCTCTGCTTTCCATGGTTCTGCGGTTGGTTATAGCGAGGGCGTTGTTCAAGGTTGTGAGGGATGACGATGAGGCGTATGTAAATGCGAATCAGCACAAGACAAAGGCAGCTATTTCGGCTCAGGTTGTTGAAGAAGAAGGGAAAAACTAGACTGCTGAAATTGAAGTTATCTGAATCTCAGAAAGTGTATATAGACGGTTGGGGATTTGTGGCTTTTCTTGGCATAGAGACAACATGGGAAGACTTTTACTAGTTTGATAGCCTATTGGGGTTTCAACTTGACTCTCCGAATACCTTCCCAATAACCCTTTATAAGCTTAAAGCTTTCCGGTTACTCCTCTACAACCGCGCGATAAAGTAATATCCAACTCCTGCTTAAGCCTTCAAAATCAAAAGACCATTCCTCCATCAGGAAATTGCGTATGCTACCTATAATCAATGCCTTGGTCGAATCCATCAATCACGCTACCCCCAAAAATGCATCTCGAGCATATACTACGTACATTGCCGACATCTTCATCCTTCTCTCTAAAGACACTTCATTTTTTACATCACTATTTTGTTATGTTTCCTATTTCGCAAGTCGTATCGCAAAATAAAGCGGGCGGATCCTACCACGAGAGTAGTACAGGATCAGTGACCCTTGTCCGGCTGAACAGCCGATACCTATAGTACAAACTCGAAGGATTCGCCTCACTTAATAAGCAGTCCGATCGCACCCCATCTCGTAACACAAGAACAACGTTGCTGTAAGCGGAAAATCAGAAGAAGAATAGAATATCATGGCATTACACAACAACGTTGTATATCGAGTTACACATATACGCCACGGAATTAATACGCTTTTCGTCACGTACTGTGGAGATATTCCACAGACAATCTTCCAGGCACCATATGCACACACTCATACTCCCCCTGCAAGTCACCCAATACGGCAACGACACCCTCATCTAAGCAGCCACGCTGCATGCAACCCTCCAATCACTATAGTCCGGTTCGGTGCCTATTCATGTACATGTGGGCTAGTGGCATAGCACATACGTTAGCACCCAGCGTAAGGTACACTTGGATATACGCTGATAGGGTAGAATACGACAACCTGGCACATAGTATGTACGTAGGATGGCATACATTGAGGCGCATTGCCATGCACGAGGTGTGTGTGTCTGTGTGTGTGTGTGGGAGATGTCACATTCCGACCCTCTTCCTCCAAGTAATAGTGTACAGGGCTGAATCATGGCTATTTTGACGTAGACATGCGTTTGCTCCTCAACAAACTTACGATCTTGCTCACCTTGTTCCCTTTTCTTGTTACGCCACACTCGCCCCAGGAATTCGGAATCTTGGGGTTTCTTTATGGCCATAGCTGTTGGATGCGGGTGCCATTCTTGGGTGCCTAGGTAGAGAGGGTGTTGGGAGATGGGTGAATGTCACGGGAAAGACTCATAGTAGGCTACAGTATTTTTAATTGTGAAATGAGTCAAGTTCATGATCTCGTGACTGTATCCCATCTATGCGTCTCTTTTATCTACAAAACGGTGATTCATCAGAATGGTGCTTATTAGATGGCTGCCTGTGATAGAGGGCATAGCAAACATGAGGTCATTCGGGCACTCGCTCGTATCAAAAGAAAATTCAAGGGTAACATTTGATCTAACTAGGCTAACTCCAAAGAAGAACGAAATAAAATAAAAACATGTAAAAACGCATCTATGCTGTGTCCAATCCCATGCCAATATCGTCCAATCATAAGCCCATTAATGGCATAGCGTCTATCGAAATAATACATGGCCTAATCAAGTAGTAACTTTAACCCCCAAGGCTGAATGCCAAGGTACGCCGCAGGAATCCTACGTCATCCATGCAGGCACATGGGGAAAATATGCAAGCAGGCAGAAAGCGGCAACGCAGAAAAGAAAAGAAAAATGAAAAGATGGAAGGAAATGAGAATGAAGGGGGAAAAAACAAAGTCAAGGAAACTGATGAAAGGGGCAAACCGAAAAAATGGTGTCGTAGTATACAAAGGGCTTTGGGTATTCAAAGTGTGAGTCTAGATGCTGTTGCATCACTCACTTACACAGCCCCAGAGCTAGCTCTAATATGGTATTCGCAAAAAACAAGACAAAGGGAAGAGGGGAAAAAAGAAATTAGACAAAAGAATCAGGAGACAAAGCAGAGAGGCCTCGTCACTGCTGATGTCCCCAATATCGGGGATCGTTTTGTTGCTCCTGGTACTGCGAGTATTCGTCATAGTTTCCGTAGTACTCGTCCACGTAGTCTTGCGCATTGGAGCTGGACGCGCCCATGTAAGAGGAGCCGCCATATTGGCTGTGGGAGGGGTCCTGCCAGCTGCCTCCGGCGCCGTGTTGCTGCTGGCCGTAGTAAGAGCCGCCTCCGTAAACATCGGAGCCGGTGGCGCCGCCGCCGCCCTCAAGTGACAAGGAACGCAAGTCGAATCCGTCATCAGGACTAAGCGTTGAGGGATCCAATCGGTCCAGAGCATCGCCGTAGCCATCGTCTCCTGATCGAGACTTGTACCTGCTGCTGCTGGGCCCCCCGTGCTGAGAATGTTTGCTACTTCTGTGCGCTGAGGACTTGCCGGATCGGCTGCCAGGGCTGGTCTCGCCGCTGGCTGGCTCAAGGCCGCCGCGGCTATCAGTGGAATTTCTGCCGCTGGATCTTCTGCCTCCTCTGCGAGAGGGAGAGCGGGTATATTCGCAGCGGAGACGGCTGGCAATGCAGCGTTCACAACCGCTCTTCTCGCCACTACACTTGAGCTAGAAGGGGTATGATGGTTAGCGCCCGGTTCAACAAACTAAGTGGTTCAGTGGCTTCGGTATGGCTTCTGCGGCGTAATACCTTTTTAGCGTGGCAGTTGTTGCAAGCTTGGTGCTGGCTTGACCGGGCAGAGATGGGGTCAGAGGCTCGTCTGAGCTCCTGGACACTGTTGGTCTCTGGGTCGTACTTGAAGGTGTTGAACATGGCTACAGATGTGATCTGTTGATGAAGGCCGAGTGTATGTACTGTTAGGGGAGAGATGGATGTGTGATGGTGCTGATATAAAGAAAACAAAAAGAGTCTATTTGCTTTATCCAGATGCTATTGGTGTAAACGACAGAAGAATGACTGAGACTGTTGAAAGCTAACAGAGTTTCCCATCGATATATCCTTGGTCAATAGTAGGACAATGGAGCTTCTCCTGTCAGGTCAGGTAGATACAATTGGCCAAGCTGAATGTATAAATGTAGATGTTCGATGCAATGGTTCAATTACCTGTTAATTCAGGCCGAACAAAGGCCTCTTATATCTCGATAGCTGTGCTGGAGGATTGATCACAGCCAGCCAGGCAGCCGCGGGCCTGCTCCACCAGAGATGTCGTCTGGCTCGGGGCCACCCCTGGCACCCCTCCACGATCCCTCCACTCCGACTCGCCCCGAGGAGAAGAAGAGCCATTCTGGTGACGGCCAGATCGGTGCGGCGTCTGCGCCAAATCCGGGACCGCCAGCCCGTTTGGGCAATGCAGGGCGTGCGAGAGACGCAGGCGACGGGGCGTGTGAGACGAGTTTGCAGCCTGGCAGATGCTGTGCTGTGCTGTGCTGCAGAGCAGAAGCTGCGGCTGCAGATGCAAATCATGTGTTCGCAGAGACGCCAGAGAAAGGCTGAGATGGGTGGAAAGCGCCCAAGCTGCCGGCTCAGTCGCTGGAGTAGCGCCGCCTGTGCAGGAAAAGAATCCGGCGGCCGCGATTGGCCAATTGGCTCCTTTGTCAGCAGAACAGTGGGGCAAAAGGTAATGAGTGGTGGATAGAGTGGGGCCAAAACTAGGCTCCCGCGGGTGGGGCTGAAGAGAAGAGCAGCATGGCGTCTATTCAGTACACGTATTGCCATCAGCGAGGCTATCAATGCGAGGTACTCTTGCGACAGATGCTGCGTATACATGGCATGCCGGAGAAATTAGAGCAAAGCTGGCAAGTGCCTATGTAAACAGACAAAAGAACAGATTGAGAAGATGAGATTGAGCAAGACGGTAAAGAGGAACAGCGGGCAAAGTAAGAGTCACACCTTTCAGAGGGGTAAGTCCAGTATAGAGCTTGTTCCCAACTAAAGACCGGGTAGCTCCGGTCCCATGATGTCTTTTACCGCAAAACAGATGGACAGGCACAATTGTATTCTTTTCGATGGCCTTTTGGTACCAAATCACCAGTCGCCAAGCCCGGAATGACTCCCAGAGCGATCCGCCTAGGCAGTTGGCACACCTGCTACACCTACATACAGCACAGTCACCAAAATCCACACCCAGCGGCGAGCAGGATCTGAGACTCCCGGCGTGGCTTGTGTACTACAACAAAAGTTCGCAGGGGACACTAAGACGCTGTCCGTGGAAGACTCTAGCCGCCCAACCAACGAGGCATACATGCGGGCTTGCCATCGAACCACGGCAGCTACCAAGACTAGACCATGGTAGTGGCGGTGCATCCGCGATTTGATTGGCATGGCTCCTCTGCCGTTTGCCGTTTGCCGTTTGCCCCATATGCACCTGCATGCGAGATGGAAATAAAGTTGAGGTAAAAAGGCAAGCGAGGTCAAAGTGAGGCTGTGGTACATGGTATCATGAGGTGTCGTGTAGTTGTGCACTAGGATGCGATGAACAAGACATGTAGCAGGGCAAGGCAAAAGGCGAGGTGAATTCAAGTGAGGCTGCGGCCCATCATATCCCGGCAATGAGGTATTAGTTATGGTATTGCGAGATTAATGATTAATTGAGGCAAAAGGGTGAAATAAAGCTCAAGTGAGGCTGTGATGAATCATCTCCTGGAAATGAGGTATTATGTTGTTTATACCCGAGATGTAGAAGAATGGTGGAAGATGATTGGCTGGATTGTTAAATTTGGCCATGAGGCGCCTTGGTCGAGAACAGAGGAGAAATCTGACTTGTTTGGTATCCATGAAATGCCACATTTCCTGTACTTTGCATGTATCTACTTGCATACCTCTTGCATCGCCAAATGCAAGGTACGCACCCCCGCGACCATCGTGGCGGGATTGCATTGCCGCGTTGGAAGTTCGGATCTTCTTCGGTATGATGCATTTACGCCCCAGCTGGATTCAGTGCATGTTGTGCAGTCTCTTCCAGCTGTTATTGTCTTGTGCGACGAATCAAAATATTATTAATATTAATATTCAAAGAAAGTATTGATAAAGTCGTCAGAAACCCTCGTTTGACCTATGAAACACTCCTTATTTGGTGACCGAGAACGAACGCGAGCGTAACACACAACCCAACACAGCCATTCAACGGCGCCTGCGCCGCTCCGGTTTCCACTGCGCGAGTAAGCTAGACTTGCCTCTTTCAGTAATCTGGAGTATAGCCGTACAAGTAGCGCCGCTCGGTATGGCTGAGCCGGCTGGTGCCACTCATGGACTGTACACCGTTTCATCCCATGCTGATACTGATGCACTGGGCAAAACGAGCGGCGGAGTGAGTGTAGCACGCGCCTGGCTAATACAAGTACATGTATGCTGTCATACGTATGCTCTGCTGCATCCTCACGGAGTAAGCCCCGTAGGGCTGCAGCGGCGTACGACGCACCGTGACGAATTCATCCTACTCATTCGTTGTTTAATTTAAGTTTGTGCACCCCGATCATTAACTGTATCTTGACTGCGTAAGTAGAGTGCGAATACAAACAAGACTGTATAGAGGGGTGTTGGTGCAGTAGGAGTGGCAATCTCATCGCTGATCGTTGTCAATCTCGAGAGGAACAGGCGATGGCGTTCTGTTGATCCGCAGAGCGGTGGAAAGAGCGGACAGCCTTGGTCATTGATCGGAGCCGGTGTCTAGGCTATTTGGTGGATATATTGAAGACCGGCGATTTCCATTTCAGGTAAAAGACTCCTCCATCACTGGGTTGGATGAATATGCCTAACCAGTGCGCCTCAGAAGCGTCGAGTTGAGTTGCATATTGATGTATTCAACAGTCGATGAAAACAACTTTATCCTTAACCACCCACATATATAATATTGCTCAATAATTTTTTCTCTCAAATTCACAAACAGGAGTAAATGGTGTAGTCTGTTGCCAGGTACACATTTCCAAACATGAGCTAAACTGGTCTCCCTGAAGGATCTCTGTCTCATCCCCTGGCTTTGGGCTTACCGGAAACAACTGTAGCGCAGCCAAGGCGTTCTGCCCAGACGTCAAAACAAAGCCAAGACCACCTCGTGTTAAATGTTGTTTCACACATTCTGTCTTATTCCCATCTCTTTCACCCTACTTCTATAAGACCGCCACATTATATAAAATACGAGAAAAAAACCCCAGCAATACGAGCTTTCAGACTTCGATCCGTCCTTTTTAAGTGTGGCTGGCCAGCGCCACAACCGAAGCCCCATTCCGGGTAGCCTTTTCAGCCAGCTCGGATCCGAAACTGCATGTACATGTACGTGCTCACTTACATCTGCAGCAGAAAGACATGTTAGTGTGTTGAAACGCACCCTTCCTTTTTTTAGAGCGTACATGTTCTACTAGCATGGTCTCCCTTGCTTGAACGCATGCAACCACCTGCATATCATGCACGACGTCGGTATCTTCCACATCGCAATACGAAGTCTTATAAACTTAAATCCTGTAAATGATTTACTGTAAGCAAGAATACAGGGGTTTCGGGAACCCGAGGACACGTGCTCTTGTTTCAATGGGTTGGAATAAACCAGCTGTCAACCTTACCGAGGCTATAACCGCACAATGCTGAATAAAAGTCGTGTAAAAAGGTGTTCTTGAGTCATTGATACGGGAGGGACCGAATAGACATGCTGGGGTTGATGGACCTGTGGTTGGCACTTTTTCAAGTCCACGTAGCAATTGCCCGAGTCCCAGGCAGAGCAGCAAAAAGTTCCCGTGTCTAAACCAAACGGAGTAACTGCATGAGCCGATTTTGTAGCTTTTCCCAAAACTAGCAATCGCAAATGGATTTTTACCAATGAGAAAGAAATTGAGAAAAAGGTATCAAGACGAATTCTAGTGTCGCTGTCAACTGCTGTCAAACTGCGGCTGTTCCCACCCCCTGCTGTTGCCTAAATAAAAGTGGATTCGTGAGTCACGGGTAGATCTCGTTTCAACGACTTATACCGTAGATGTGGTCGAGATTGCTGTTTACCAATCAAACAACCCTGGTTCTTGTTCTCTGCATTCTATAATCGTGGCATCATCGTGTGGAGAAGCTGCATTTTCCCGGGAGATGAGCGTCGGAGATTTTTTTTTTACATGTGTTATCTATGTATGGTGATGCTGACTGGTGGAACTATTTGGGGGTTCTCAAACTGCTGCGAACTCATGCAATCGCTCTGTTAGGGCGGGCGCTTAAAAGGATGAATTTGAGTCTGTTGATACCTATTAAACACAATGGACACCATATGCTATGAAAAAGGGCTGCGCAAGCTGTAACATGATAAATTCTACCTAATGAAACCGTGTTCTCTCTATATCTATAACGCCTAGTATAAATCATGACTTCTCCCCTGTCTCCAATTATTCTGCCTTGTAACAAGCAACAAGCAACCCAAACAATACACTTAGGGGTGACGATGGCGGTGACTATGGCCCTGGTTGTGACTGTGGCCGTGACTGTGACTGTGATCGTGATCGTGATCGTGGCCGTGACCGTGCCCATGGCTATGCTCTTTTTCCTTGACAATGAGATGCCGGCAGTCTTTCCTCAGCTCATCCAAACTGACATCATACTCCAGAGGTTCCTCAATGGTTCCGGTAGTCCATCGCACAAACACTTCGTTATTCTTTACTTCCTCATCACGGGATAAGATCCAAGAGACAATATCGTGGGCGCGGGCCTGGGGCGAGACTTCAATATCATACGTCTCTCCATAACGGTGCCATCTTGAACCCTCAGTCTTATCAATTACCGTGAGGGTGAAGGGCTTGGGTTCTTCAGGCGGAGGCGGACCATAGAGGTATTGGCCGTTGATGCATGGAGGAGCAAGCACATGTTTCCAGCCGGGAACCTCTGTGGTGCATGGACTCACCCGGCAGCCATTGAAAATAGCGTTTGTCATGGCGATTGGCATGGCGGTTGGCGTAGGAGGGTAGAAGCAGACCATTTGTGGCCCTAATGGTTCTTCCTCCTTGTCCTTTTTGGCGACATGTCCGTTACCGGGTCTTCGACTTTTGTAAAAGTCGCGATTGTCAGACCCGTGATCATGATCATGATCATGATCTTCATGGTGACTGTCATATCCGTCACTATCGTAATCATCGTAACCGCCGAGGGAACGTCGTCGTTCTCGGCGGCGTACGACCTTGCGCTTGTAGTAGCGCTCTTCCGACTCTCTGTGGTATCGACGAGACATCATTGTGGTTACCGTTGACTTTCTCTTGAGAAAGTTGAACATATATTTGAAAGTGAAGAAGATGTTTGAACTGTGGCGATGGATGTAGTTTCTTCAGTGCGGATGCTGAGTTGGATTGTGTTCTTTTCCATGATGCCTTCTTCTTCTTAAATACTTCAACTTGGAAACCTGGGCTGAATATTTCTCTTGTTTTTGGAGACATTTCACTCCACGCCATGGTAACAAAAAGCTTTAATCAATCAAAAGCTGGGCGTAATAATAGATTAAAATGATGCATGTGAACAGCTCTCTTTGAAGCATCTTGTTTGTATAGCCTGTCAAACCGGCCAGTGGGCCATGGCAATAGGCCGGCTAGTGGAGTAGAATTTGCGGTTCGCATCATTCGGGAGCGAAATCCTTGTGTTATTATGAAACTGCTACAAAGAATGGTTGTTCCTACAATGTGGTAGGACCCAAGGCAGTGGGTGGTGCTTTTTACAGAGCTGTGATTGGCCCCCATCAACACAAAGAAGCGCTTACACGGTAAAGCCTGGGTTTCCACGTGAGCGCATCGAAAAGAAAGAAGGACAAAAGAAAAAGATACTAGAGTTGCTATTTTGGTCACGCTTTCAACTTGGCTACTCCGATGAAACAAATTGTTTGCCGAAACCTGAGAAACAAACCGGCTTCAACAAAGCGACAACTCATTCGCCAATCGAAAGCCCCGGAAGCAAAAAGAAGCTGCGGCGTGATTGGCGTTATCGTTAGTCTTTATCTGGCTTTGGAGCGGGGCAGCCAGATTCGGCCCCATACGCCACCCGGAAAAAAGGTGTTGCCCGCCCGGAAAAGGCCAGCGAGGCTTCCCCAAAAAGTCTCCAACGGCGCAATTCCATCCACCTACTTTGTCCTTTGGAACCTGCATCTCTCTCACAGGCCAGCACCGAGGCTCTTCCTTTTTGTTGTTTGTTTGCAATTCCATTTAGTTGATTTGGAGCATCACTGCGGTTGCAGTCGTCGTCACAATGGGTATCAGTCCGCAAATGTAAGTGCGCCGCCGACTTGATTTGCTTTGTTTTGTCGTGGCGAAAAGGAACAAAGGGAGGAGGAGAAGGAGAAGGCCTCGTCGGAGTTGATGGCGCGAAACAATTGCCGCGTGACAGATGCGCATTCAAGCAGCTCGCTAACTTCCTGGATCAGCACCAACCTCATGATCATCCTTGGAATGATGCAAGTCACCAAGAAGATCCCCTTTGAAGATGAGAACGTGCTCAACATTGTTCGCGCCGTCTACATTGGCAGCAACCTCATCATCGCCGGTATTTACTTCTACATCCAGCTCCAGATCAACAAGAAGAAGGGTAAGGGCAATTTCCATTCCTCAGATTACAGCAGCACGCGAGACGGATCCTCGACGCCGAGTGTTTGTCGCTTGACTATTCAATGACTGCTGCTAACACGGGTATCTCTCCCAGACATGACCACACTCAAGTATGTTGAGCCCGCACCGATGGGTTCTTCCGAAGAGGGCAAGCTCGTCACTACCACGATCTGCGCCTACGACCTTAACCAGCTTCGCCAGGCCTGGCGTGGCCAGCTGATGGGTGTCGCCATGATGTCCTTCATGCACCTCTACATGAAGTACACCAACCCCTTGGTCATTCAGAGCATCATCCCCGTCAAGTCCGTTATCGAGAGCAACCTGTTCAAGATCCATGTCCTCGGCCACGCTGCCTCTGGCGACCTCAAGCGACCCTTCAAGCAGGCCCAGGGCTTCATGAGCGCCATGCAGCAGGGAGGCGGCTCTGTCCAGAGCGATAAGAAGGCTGTCGAGGCCGCTGAGAAGGCTGGCCGCGGCGGTGCCAAGGAGGAGTAAAATGGGCATCTACATGTTATACACGGGATGTACCATGATGGGGCATGTCATAAAAGTGGCTCATTGGGCGCGAATCTGGATTGAAAACGTGTATTACCTTTTTTTGGGACGCCTTGGACCATATTTATTAGCTTGTAATACCTAAATTCTCCATCTCTCGCATAATATTTCCCGATGCAAGCAATCTGGTTCCGGCGCGGCAGGCTTGAGATTCTCCTCTTGATCGAGCGCTAAAATGATCTCTGCCACTCAAGCCATGCTCTAATTGTTCCTTCAATCCTATAGATAGGATTGTAAAACCGGTTTGCGTATAGCTAGCACATGCCAAATATCGCGGTCTTATGTAATGAGTCAAGTCACGTTTTCTCGCGTTAAGTGGCGATTTGCCGTCTCGACTTTTGCCCCTCCAAATGGCGTCAACCGTGTTTGAAGACTCTCACACTTCAACTAACTCATGTGCACAATCCCCTGTATAGGCCTTGAGCTGCCATTCTGCTTTGACGATTGATTATACTCACTATACATTATACCCTTTTGTTTCTTTTTATCTTTGTTGGTTTTATTCTGCATCCACGATGGAGCGTCCAGTCACGCCCCCGGCTGCCTCGGACGGACAGAGAGCTGCTTCGTCGCAGACCCCAGAAATGGTCAGACGCATTGTATGTTGTCCGCCGGGTTTCATTAATGAGTTCCTCGGCTGACTGGATTACTTGATACCCTACAGGGAGAGAGTCGGCTTCGTGCCAAAGCCATCCGCGAACAACGGGAGGCCGAACAGAGAGCCGCAGGAACGGCAGTAGCGCTACCCAAATCGGCGGCTGGATTCATACCTACGGAGAATGTTCACGTTTCGAAACTTGCGAATGGAAAGCGACCGTACAACGACATGTCAACTGGCGATATTGCTGAAGGCAACAACCGCGATGGCCGCAACATGGGGGACGAGGCGGCTTTGAAACCGGCGCGCAAGTTCACCAAATTCGTAGACTACAACATGAGCTCGATGACAGACACAAAAGGCGGCTTTCTTTCCATGGAAGACGATCCCAACAACTATGCGCTGGGCGCTCAGAAGCCAGGGCAGACAGACGAACAGAGACCGAAGGGAATGACTATCCAGGAGTGGGAGAAGCAAAAGACGATACAAAACCTGAAGAGACTCAAAGCAGGGCCTTTTGAGCCTGGCATTAGCGTTTTGGATGACCAAAAGACGAGAAAAAAGTGCAGAGAATGCAACAGCCTGGAAATAGACTTTGTATGGGAAGAAGTTTTCCATATCTGCGTGTGCAACAACTGCAAGGATAAATACCCTGAAAAGTACTCTCTATTAACAAAGACGGAGTGCAAAGAAGATTATCTTTTGACAGATCGTAAGTTACACTTTTTGCTATTCTGTACCGGGTTTTAGAAATCACGATACTGACGAGACGCTTGACAGCTGAGCTGCGAGATCCCGAGCTGCTTCCTCATCTGAACAAGCCAAACCCGCACAAATCTCACTGGCACGACATGATGCTCTTTCTGCGTTTCCAGGTGGAGGAATACGCCCTCGGTACGAAATGGGGCTCGGCAGAGGCACTGGACGCGGAATATGAAAGACGCGAGACACAAAAGAAGGCGCGCAAAGAAGCCAAGTTCAAGGAGAAACTACTGGACTTGAAGCGCAAGACGAGAACAGAAGCATTTCGACGACAAGCAGGGGCGCTGGGCAACAAAAATGGGGCGCCGAGCAAATTTGGCGATGCCGTGGGAGGAGGCGGCCGTCATGTGCATGAATGGGGACGGACGGTCGAGAACGAAGAGGGGATGACGGTCAAGACTTGTGTAACGTGCGGAATGGAGGTGGAGGAACTGGAATTCTGATTCAACGATGCAGCTTGTTGAACGACGCAACTACAGATGGATCCAACTGCATGACCTGGCTACGATTCGGCATACCCTCTTGCAACGCAAATCCGCAAGATCTACTGGCACCAAAGCTGACCCAAACGCGCTTGTCGGCTACAAGCCAATATTTTCTCGCCGGTTGCCTAGAATCGGCCGTCCAACAAAAGCTTATAACAATTGTTTGCCAAAAGCTCTCATCGGCAGTCCCATCAACATCATTGTCAGAGAGCTATCTACTCAGATGTGTAGCGATGATGTGAAAGTCGTTGCATATGTGACAGTTAATACAGGGCCAAACATGTGTTTCTCTACTTGGGAATCACAACAGAACATAATGAAGTCACACGCAAAAGCATTAGCCGGCGGCTACGACACGTCACGACTACCAGCACTCGTCTGCAGATGCATGTTGGGAGCTCTTTACTTCTGGTGACCAACACTCCTCAAAATGCTCATCAGGATTAAGCGATCGGGGATAGATTTGACTGTACCGACATCATCTGCCAGATACGAAACGAGATTGAGAATAAATATGCACATTCCATCACACATCAATCACTCATACGCGGCTCGGAGAGAAAAATGACAGGTAACATTCTCTCTCGCCTCTTATAGCTGCTTTTGGCTGCCGTAGGGCTGTGCCACGCTGATTCATTCCCCATTCTGACTCCCGTGCTGCAGCAGCGCAAGACACGGAGCAGAATCACCGAGAACGTACTGCTCCTTTTCGATGCACGGAGCAGCAGCAGCGCTGAGAGCTCATAAGCTTATGCTGGACCGCAGAGACCATCCGGGTCACCGGAACCTATACCATGCCTATACATGTGATGCGGCGATCGACCGCTACTCCAGTCTTTGGTAAGGTAAATTCGATCAGATACTCTGACAAGCGTTGCGCGTTATGCTCTCTTCCCTACACTTGGTAGATTTATGTACATTTCATATTTAATTTTACTCCGAATTACGATGGCTTAGAATGACTGACCTACAGCTTTGACGACGAGTGAGACGCCATGTCTTGTGGTTGGATGAAGCTCCTGGTTGATACGAGCAATTGTTTGCCCTTCGCTGCCTTTTGAAGTGACGGTCTATAATTAGGTGGCGGCGTCTGTTGGACGTTCCTTTCCATGGGCTCACGGCCCTCGTTTAGCGATGTTGATCTCGTTATTTCCTTATGTTTCTTGCGCGCCTAATTCCTTTCTTCATCACATCGCATACATACGAACATACGCAAAGCAATAACAGCAGCATCCGATCACCTCGTTCCGTTCATAAACGAGATTAAGGAATGTCATCTTCTGGGTGATGGCTGGTTCTCCTTTATTTTTACTTCTCTTTTCTTGAAAACCAAATGTGCAACTCCTAGAAACTGTTCACCTTCACCACGCCACTTGGAGCATCAAAAGGTTATAAGAAAACGGTCAACAAAGGAGCAACTGAAGACAATGCTAGCAGCATGTGCAAAGCGATCCAATCGCGGACGGTCCGATAACACTGTTGCTGGCTGAGTTCTCCACAAGGCCAGCCAGCACGACCAGGGGGCAACAATAAAGCCGTATGTGGCCTTGCAAATCAGAACCTGGTCCAGCGCTCGGTTCCTGGTGCGCCCAGGGCTCCAATTCTCCATTGAAAAGGCGGCACAGAACGCCCTCTATCGACGCCGCTATTACAACACACAAATTGGCATTGCCACCACTATCACGGCGTACTGCGCTACACCTACTCACGGCCTGGCTTCCCCAATGTTCCCCACGCGCTTGCGGCGCTGGAATTTCAAAATAGGTTCCTGCATTGGCCTTAGTACGGCCCCATTTGCGCAGCTGCGAGGTGTGAGGCGTGGTGGAGAACGGGTTTGAGCAAGGGGGTCGCTTTACCACAATCTTATCGGTAGACCGGCCATCGCTGCTCATAACGCGCTGCCCGGCCTTTGCACGGGGTCGTGTTGCGACGGTGACAGAAGTCTGGAAAACCTGCTGTTGCTAAGGAGAAGGGAGGCCGTGTAAGAGAAGCGCAGGCATGGAACACGGGCCGGGGTTGGGCAGGCCAAAGAAGGGCTATGCCTGCACTTGACCAGTGCTCCATAGTGCTCACGGCCTGTTCCACACCCTCGACTGCGACGGGCGGCTGTCCTGAACGTGGGATGATGCTGAATGCTGTGACGTGCATCCCGTGCTGTTTGCTCCTCTGGTCCCCGGCATGAGGCTCCTCCCATCGGTACTGTTAGCGGTGGCGTCGTCCGTTGTGCTGCAGCGAGTGGATCTGCCGTTGAAGTTGCCAGAGAGCAAGCTACTTGCTAGCACCAAGAGCTGTACGAGGTACATACATATAGTACATACTTGGCTATGGCTACAAGAACAGGGTGCAGCCCACCTCCTATCAGCATTCTACCTCGGCGCCTTTTGATACAATCCGGACAATGGTGCCTCGTCACTCATTCATATAGGCGTGGACTTGGGTATTACATGGATGGACGGTAATCGGGCTCGCAACACGGCTTCCAGATGGGATTGGGGGCGATTGATAACTTCGGCGCCGTGGCCAATCGAGTTAACTGGTCGCTAGCTGCCGTCGCTTGTTGTTTGTCTAGCCCTCAAGCTCTCTCATACTTTTTGTTGTTGTTGAACAGTATTGCTAACCCGACAACTCTCCTCTGTTGCGTGTAGTAATCGTTGGAATTCGCCTCGTCTGTCGAGCAACTTTCTCTCGCGGCACATTTGGCCGCCTCGGCCTCGATGACCTGATCACCTTTATCTGTCTCGTTATCCTCATCATCAGCTGTGCTTTCGCCAGCATTGGCATCAACTACGGCCTGGGGCAGCATGAAGATACGCTCGACGAGTGGAATCTAAAAGAAGCTATTAAATGGAATGTCATCATCAACGCCGTCCTCATCTGGTCCTTTTCTCTTCCCAAGTTCGCAATCGTCGCCATCCTCAAACGCATTCTCGATTATGGAACCAAGACGACCATTTTGTTCTGGGGACTCGCCCTCACTAGCCAGGCCTGCTTTCTTGCCACGTCGGTGTGGTGGTTTGCTCAGTGCACTCCCGTGGCCTACCAATGGGACAAATCTATCGAGGGAACATGTGCGTCTACGAGCACTTTGACAAAGCTGGCTTTCGCGACATCGGCCTTTTCCGCCTTCCTCGATCTCTTTTTCGCGCTATATCCCGTTCCATTTATCATGAGGCTCAACATGCCTCTACGAAATCGAATCGCTGTATGCTTTGCCTTTGGGCTCAGCGCCCTGGCATGTGCTGTGTCGGTCTACAAACTTGCCATTTTCGAGGAATTCTTTGACATGATGGCCAAGGACCGAACATGTGAGTGCCAACTGACCGAGAGGGGGGGAGAGAGTTGATGTGTGGAGATGCTAATCGCGATACTCCAGATTCAGTTCCCTATCTTGATATATTTGGTGTTGCCGAGGGAGCCTTGCTCATCATCGGCGCATCACTACCCACATTGGGTCCTCTCTTCCGAGTCATCAAATGTAAAGTCACGACGTATGCAAGCAACCATAGTGCGTCCCATCCTTCAGGCGATCGCAGCCAGAGCAATCCTGGAGGCCACAGCACCAGCTGGCTGCACAAGCGGGGCCACCGCGAATTCGACGACGAGGAGAATATCTCGACAACAGGGATGCACTCCAGCGTGGATGACATCCCCCTCGTGTCCACAGCGAGGCCAGTCGCGAGATATCGTGAAGATCCCTTCAAGGATGGAATGTCCATCGATAAACCGGAGGGGTACTAGGCGGCCGCTGGGCCAGGGATAGTGGTGACGATCATCTGACAAACGACCCAATTTACGACTCATTGCAATTTTTTCTTTTGTACTTCGTGGATATTGACTAGCCTTCCCCCTCCCTCTCTACAGGCTAAAGAGGGAGGGCTTGGGATTTGGGGAGGCAAAAAACAGCCTAGCTCATTGGGACGGAATCCCAAGTTGACGCATCAGCATTTTTTCTTATTTAACTTTTGTTACTACTTCTTGTTTCGGAGCATGCGATGGAGACACAGGCCTGTACAGAACTTGTGGTGGTGGTGGTCACCAGGACAGAAAGAGAGGGAAACTTGCAGCTCTGCAGGGGGCTAGTCAGGCACGGAGTCGGATTGCTGGGGTTCAATATAAGGTGTAATGTCCGCATACAGTCGAGCTATCGTCATTTCGGGAATAGGGCGCCGGGAGTTGTCACTTTTTTTTTTTTTCCCTTTGAAGCCCCTTTGCCACCTTTACCAGTTGTGAGGATGGGAAGTTGGGGCCGGGCTATTCGCTCCGACGAACGGGCGTAAATTATACCAGCTGGGGCAGCATGTATAGTGCTGCGGGCAAAATACAAGACAACATGAGAAGAAGAAAAATGTTTAATAACTAACTATAGAGGGGCGGTTGGTTTGTTATGGAGGTGTTATCAGTTACTAAGAAATAACAAATCACACATGGCTGTCACAATCACAATTTCTGCCCCCAGGTTTAGAGTTTAAACGGAAGGATTTCAACACTGAACCAGCAGGATCAATTAACTGGGAAATAAAAGATACATGGAGGCTTGTCTTTTTCGCCTCGGCGAAGTGGCCTCTCTCGCCGTGCGGAGCTCTTCAGACATCCCTGCTAGCTAAAGTTAAGCCGCCGTTGCAGAAGCTAAGCAAGAAAAGAAGAAGCCAGTGTGGGCTACAAACGCAGGTACCAAGTTCGCTTGACGGGGGGGAAGAGAGGAGAAAAGAAGCCAGGGGGGAATACAAGGTGAAGAAGAAAAAAAAGGAAAGAAAGAGAGAGAATTGGGACGGATTGTATGCACGATGAGCCCTTTTGGGGCTGAGGGCTGATCTGAGACATTTCCTTTTCTTTTTCTTGTCAAGGGTTTATGTGAGATGAAGCAGAACATGACCCTTTTTTGATCATATATCAGATGTGTGCTCGTATACCATGGCTCGTGGCGTGCTAGGACGGGAAGTAGTCGCCGTTTGACGGTACGGGCAGAGGCTTGGGATAGCGCAGCCATCTCGATGGTGGCCTTGGCTTGTAATCTACTTGTACCGAACAATACTAACTGTCATAGACTAGATAGTGCGTTTAATAATAAGGAACACCTATAGAGGGCGTCCCGTCCATAGTGAGCGGCAGCCTACCTACCGCATTAGGAAGTGCGGAGAATTCACTAGCACAGTTGTATTCCAGGCGGACAATCACACCCTCTCCTTGTTTTGTTTTTTTTAGGCGTCGGGCGTCGGTTTCTTTTCTCCTTGCGCGCGCGTGTAGAGGTGGTATCGGTGCTACGGTTTTCCATGTTTTTCAAGTTTTTCATGCTTTTCGAAGAGCACTGACCATCACATATTGAAGAAGGCCCTTGCTCTTTCTGGCCAAGAATACTACGTGTTGTGGTTGCGACGGAGGACATGCTTGTTGGATGTAAATTAGCGGTGTTTCTTTTAACCCGGTTTTGATGGTGCTGCTGGTTTGGTTTGATAGAGTCTTGTAGAGGGAATTGCAACTTCCTCTTTTTGATCTGGGGACAGAAAGAAGGTCAAACATCTCCACGATAGATTGGAGAATGTCTAATTACAAGCTCCGCTGAGAGGGTCCCGGACTTGTCTTGTGAATAGCTTCAAAAACCCCAGAGGTGCAGCCAGCCAGCCTCGTTTACGGCGGATGTCGCAAAGTGCCCGTATATTGCGGTCGCCGATCAAGCTGAGCGCATCCAGGCGCTCGGTGCGACCCCTGGAATTCTGCTATCAGTATATTGGCACTATCATATACAAGCTGCTCCATAATGCGGGGAGAGGCCAGGCGTGTTGAGCAGCGGTCCGACTGCGTATAGCTCTTTTGCCTGCTTCTCTGATGGATACAGAGCTGATGTGGAGGAGTAGAGGGGAGCCGGCGTAGTGGTGCGGCCGAGGATTAGAGACGTGGCTAGCTGTGGTCATGGCTATCGCTGACAGCTCCACGGCGCTGGCTAGTAATATCTGCAATCTTCTTCGGTAAAGGTTCTCTCCAGAGCTCTAGAGGGGGATAACCGAGTCATGAACGGAGAGGCCTCGATTGAGTGCCCGCATTCCAGACAAGCTACTGCAAGAAATTAAAGCCAGGTAGAGAGGAAATTATGTGATAGATCAACAATTGAAGGTAGAAACGTTCTATAGAGAAGGAGTCTGATTTGCTGGCGAGCTGGCGCGAGGCGGTGACTAGAGGGCTTTTATTTCTCCATCCGCTTTGATTCTCGACCAAGTTCCCGGAAAACGGGATTCGGGGCCTCCTCCTTCTGTAGTAGAGCAGCAGTAGCTGTAGGAGGTATACAATATGCCCCAGGTAAGTCGACTAGTAGTAGAGGTTGATCCATAATACATCTCACGAGACCACTTTCATCGTGGAGTTTCTCGTTAAACGAAGTCGGTTCCTCCGGCATCTAGATGGAGCCCAATAGAGGGCATCGCATCTCGTGGAGTTGAGGTCTGATCTTATTTCTCGCTCGGCACGTGGCGAGGTCCGAAACTTTTCATGATCTTCAAAAGCTGAAGGTATCATCGATTTTGATCTTGTCCATCGTAGGATTTAAGAATGTGAACTTTTGTGGTTGACTTTTGGGGTTTGAGACTTGTTGAGTTGTGATGAGCTAGCTGCACCGCTACCCGTTTTACGTTGCGCTTCAGAGATGAGGATAGTAGTCTAAATAGTTCCATACTAGGGACACTGTCAAATATGTCATACAATACAGCGATTGCCGGATAAGGAGCCAACTACAAGTACACATTACTTCATACGCAATTGCATGGGTCAGATTTCTTGACAAATATTCAAGGCCTGCGCTCATCACTTCTCACATTGCGCTGAAACTGGACCCGAGCCAGGGTAGCCTGTTCTAGATTCGAAATTGCAGAAGCGGGAAATCGACCCAGCTTGAAGCTGTCTGATGATCATTTGAGGCGGTCAGTGGAAAGTATTGTGTTTAAATTTGAATGGAATGGCTGTTACAGGTGAAAGATTGGGGGGAGCCACAGAACGGTGGAGTCTTTTATCGCCGCGGTAAGTGAAAGCGGTGCTTTTGCCCCGACCCTTGACTCGAGGCTCCGGGGCTCGCGTGTATCCCTGCTTTTCGCCTGGGACTAGGAAGCGCTCTTCTCCGGAGGGGGGATTCTAGATGCTGAAGAAGCTGGAGGGCTGTTTCATGATGGGGAATGATATCACGATATGATGCTGTGATGTTGTATCGCTCCGCGTATAGCCCGGCTAATAGACATGTTGAAGGGGATAACAAATCACAGCTTCTTACTCCTATACTGCTAGTTTGCACGTGCCAGGGTCTGTTATTGCATCATTATTCAGCTGCCGAGTGGTGAACAGAACGCTGTGATTTTCTAGATTGTAACTGCGCTGTATGTGTATTCCGTGATGTGCTGGATTGAGCTATCGCTTAGACTTTGGTAATTGAAAGCCGCTGTATTAGGTGCGCTATACAGCTTAGAGCTTAGATGCTTGCACTGTTTCAATGAGTAAATGCTGATCATGGAGATGTTATGAGGTTGGTGGTTAGATCATCAACTGGCGCAACAAGCGGCTTTATTGTAGAAGGGTTTGTAGTAGCGCTTGCTGCGACCTATAATTTGTAATTGGATATTGATAGCACATGTGTTCTTTAAGAATGAGAGACCATAAGTGCATGGACGTAATTCTGTGCAGTATCTCTTGCTCATTGATGACAAAGGCTTTGGTGTGGATTAAAAAAGCTGTAGACTTTTTAACCCAAGGAGAGCTCAGCTTTATTCTTTCAATGTCCTCTCTTTGTAACCGAGAGCCTTGGGGTGGGTTAAAAACGCTGTGAAAAGTCAAGTCCTAGCATGGCGTTCGCTAAGCGGTTCTAAGGTGTTGCCAAACAACCAATGAGTGTCTAGAAGCGCCTCTAAACAGTTGCAGCCTCTGAATTTATATTTCAATTGCTCCCGTCTCGGAAATAATTGCCCATCCTTAGATATTGAAGGTATAGCCATTACTAAGTAGCAATCCGTGCCGAGTGCCGAAAAGTCAAGACTGGAGCAATCATCAGCACACAGAAATAGACTCCCACGCATTCCAATAGCAACAAAGTCATTGAGTCAGTGCTCTTATTCTACTCATGTATGCGTGCATGTATTTGACCGCTCCCAACTCTTTTTTTAGAACCTCTTTGACTGGCTTATCTCATAGTTTGCCAAGTTATCTCCGACGCCTCATCGGCATAAGACTAGCTGCAGCTGTCAAAACTTGACTTGCAAGATTGTTGGTTACAAATTGCTTTGTCGAATCTTGAGTCCTGTTCAGACTAGAGGCGGAAAAGAAGGTTGTTAATCGGCTGACCTGCGGTGAGTATAATCAATATTAAAATATATTTGTTCCACGCGCGTATTCAATCTACTGAACATATTAATTGACCAACTGGTCTAGTAAAAGCTGTAGTTGTGCCTTAGTCACCCTCATACACGTGTAGTTGGTTTTCATTATTTCCTAAAGTGGAAAACGATCAAGAAATCCATCAAAGAGAGTTCTATTTTAAATCCTATCTGGAAGCCCTATGCTTTCGAAGCTTGCTTTATTTTTGGCGCTATCAGCAATACGATTCTAGCTGGGCGGTTTCCAGCAGTTTTTAAAGAAAACCAGTTAGGGCTGACAAATGATCGCCGAAAAGACGTTGCGGAGATAAGCTACTCAGTCTTATGCCCATCGCGACAACTTCAATAGAGCCGAAGAGAGTCTGCCGGGACAAGAGCCGAAAATTTCTTCAAGGCTTTTGCACGGCAGTTTATTTGTTCGACTTCTTTATAAAGAGAGGCACGAAGGAGATGGCAGAAGCTGAGGTCATCAGACCTGCAGCGGGTAAAAGTCACGGTTTGGCAGCTCAAACCCCATCGGAACAGACAACGATGGCCGTGATCGTCAACGAAAATGCGGGGGGCGCAAAGCCTTCGATATTCTCAAAGCTCTTTTGGACGCCGCCGTGGTCGAGATGGAATCCGGAAAGAGACTTTGAAATGAATTGGAGCTTGACATGTCTGTTTGGATTTGTACGACCCATGTGCCCCTTTAACTGTTGGGATGGTGATGCTGATGAATACTAGGTGGCTGCGTTTAGTGTCGCGAATCTCTACTATACCCATCCGATTCTTCATGTCATAGCGGTAGATTTTGATATTTCAGAGGAGCGTGCGTCGCTCGTTCCAACGCTGCTTCAGACTGGCTATGCGACTGGCTTGCTCTTCATCGTCCCGGTGGGAGATCTTGTGCTTCGCCGGCGGATGATTATTTGCTTAGTTTTTGTGACCTCCATGATTGTAAGTCGCAACTTCAGCTCCCTTCTTGGTATAGAGACTGGCGATTAATGGTTTGAACATCAGTGGCTTGGCTGCTGCCTGACGAAGAAATTCGAAGTCTTCCTCGGCCTATCATATATTGTTGGTCTCTTCACCGTCACGCCGCAACTCATGTTTCCCCTGACGGTGCGCTATGCTCCCGCCCGGCATCGAGCCACGATGACGGCCATTGTCATGTCCGGGCTTGTCTTTGGAGTCCTGATTGCGCGTTTGTTTTCCGGCATTGTAACCCAGTATGCGGGTTGGCGCGTCATGTACTGGGTGTCCTTTGGCCTGCAACTTGCAATTATCCTTCTCGTCTTTCTGTTCATGCCGGATTTTCCTATTCTGCGGCCTGGCGGATCCTATCCCGGTGTTCTTCTCAAGATGGTACAGCTGCCTTTCCAATATCCCGAGTTGACCCAGTCGTCCATAGTGGCCTTTCTGAACATGGGAATGTTCACGTCCTTCTGGACGACTTTGACGTTTCAGCTGGCTGGCCCTACTTTCAATTTGTCGACTCTAGTCATTGGTCTTTTTGCCTTGGTTGGCATGTCGCCGGTTATAATCAGCCCTCTGTTCACTCGCTATGTGATGGTACATCTTCATCCAACCGGCTCTTTGATCATAGCGCAATTGATATTGATCACGGCTGCTTGCATCGGAACATTTACCGGCACATTTTCGCTGGCAGGACCCATCATCTGGGCCTGCATTGGAGACTTGGGTAACAACATTGCGACTGTGTCCAACCGCATGCTGTTTGCACATGTCGAACCCACTGCGCAAAACACCGTCAACTCGGTCTACATGGTGTTTACTTTCTGCGGCCAACTGTTTGGAACAGCGGTGGGAAACAAGCTGTATGCGGATGGCGGATGGATTAACAGCGGTGCTCTGTCCATTGGTTGCGTAGGAGGGGCTCTGGTGATTGTTCTTCTTCGAGGGCCGCATGAGAAAGGCTGGATAGGCTGGAGTGGCGGCTGGGAAGTGAGAGCGAAGAGGTTGAAGCAAAGAGAGGCTGAGGCCACTCGGGTATCATCTGCCACGGAGAATCCGACCGACGAAGAGGCGGCTATTCAGCAGGAGGCAGAGGTGAAAGAGAAGTCGTGAAGAAGTGAAAGGGCTATGATGATATCACGAGGGAGAATTTCGACGTAATGTCCAAGGATACGACTAACTCATATAGAAGACTTGAATTTGATAAGCATTTTGGCATAAAACGATAGCGACAATTGAGATATAGACTGACCATTTCTTCGTCTGGAATCCATGCGAGCAATGATATGTTTTCAACCACTTCTCCTTGCCTCATGATGGTTATAGAGCTTGGTCATTTCAAGTGCTGTTATACGAAAAGTCTCTATAGAGATACAGGTTAGCTTTAATACCATGTACCGTAGATGGATGAGCCGGAGTACATCAGAAATAGAAAGAGGCTGCAGAAACGGAAAGAATTAGGTTATCATAGCATAAAGGTGAAAGAGGTGGATCAATATAAATGTAAAATTCCATTTCCAAGAGACGCTGATATATAAGCAAGAAATAAGTAAAACGCCGTTCCAGCCATTCTGGTCTCTATGCTTCAGTGGTTCATGGTGGAAAGGCTCATGACGATTCCAACCGTTAAACTCAGCGCAACTCCAGAGCCCACAAAAACCTGCCACTTCTCGCTCCATACATTTGAGCGAAGCAGCCACGCAAGGCTCCCCAGCGGAAAGAAGAAGCCTATCAGCATGGCGCGGATCATAACGTCGAGCACATTGGACATTCCGTTCAAATCATCTTCCGTGGATGCATTCGCAGATGGCAGTCCTCCAGCGTTATTGTCGATCCATGCATCCTCCATATTACGTAGCGTGTCTGGCGAGGGCATTGAGTCTGGTGCGAAACCCTCTGTGCGGATCAGAGCAAACTGCGTGCGCAACGTCTCGATTTCCGACTGCGTGAATCCCGTTTGAAGGAGGCGATCGAAGCCCCGCGGTCGCGGACGAGTCCATGATGAAGGATGGCCAGTTTGATGAGATGGGGCCGTACTTGATTCATCCGGGGGGTTGGCAGCGGCAGCTTGCTCTTCGGCGAGTTCTTCAGGGGACAGCTCATCACCGATAGAGCAGTTGATGTATATCCTTACGGGAGCCAGACCATTATCTGTGGCCTTGCCCTTTCCTTTAGACGAGCTCTTGGGGCTGTTGTGACGTGATTTTGATGATGGTGGAGGAGGTGGTGGCTTGATGACGGAGCCGAGGGCTGAAGCGTCTGGGAGGAGGCGGCCCTGATAGATGAAGCGAAGGCGATTGCGCGACGAGAGACGCTCTCTTATCAGATTCTTGAGAGAGAGGACGGTTGTCGTCTGCGGAGATGGGACGTCCAGGTCCAGATCTGGCAGCGAGTTTGAGAAGCGGATGGTGAGATGATATGGCAGAGATGTGGTGGAAGATGCGGGTATCAGCGGCAATGCGGGTGCCAAGGCTGCCATGTTGGGGGCATTACGGTTGGACGCTCGGCGTAGACTAAGCAAAAGGATTCCAATACTATGCAAGAGAGCTCAAGAATGCGGATTCATATCAAAAGCCGTCAAGATGGTTAGGAGCAGCAATTGAGATGGCTAGTACGGCTTCTTTGATGGAGGACGATCCAACGTCGTCACCGTCGATGGCAGCTACAGACTTGGTGGGGCAGCGGCCGGTTCAGGGCCCTTTAGCGGACCTTGGCGCTGGTGGGCCGCTGGAATCTGCTGCTGCCGCGACTGTTATTGCGCTGACCGCCTGGCAGAATCGCCAGACTTTCCAGAAACTCCAAAAGCTGCAGCTTCGAGTCGCTTCACTTCTGCTGCAGCGCTGTCAATCCCATCGCCGTCGCTCCCGCTCGCTGTTGTCACGCAGCCTATCGATTGTCCTACAGCTATTTGCGAGCAGCCCAGCGGCAGGGCAGGCCCAACCATGATGCGCATGAGGGGGCGGCTTCTGACCTGCTTCTACTGCGGGAAGCGGTCGTCAATCAGATACGATGGCCGGATACGCGACTTTCGGTGCACTTACTGCGAGGCCACAAACCACCTAGACGAGGTTTGTGAAATCTCCCTTTCTTCTGATGGATTCGCACAGATTCGATACTGACAGACTTGTGCGAAAACAGTATGGCGACATCACGGATCCGCCTGCCCTTGAATCGTCGACTCCGAAGCAATTCGCCAAGCAGATGCCTTCCCGACCTGCGTCACCTACAAACAGCATATTCTGCGAGAAATGCCTTAAAAATCAACGATTATTTACAGCGTCATTGGCGCAGTACTTCCCCGACGACCCTTCTCACCCAGACTATGCCGATCTCGAGCGCAAATACTATCGATACCGCAAAGACTTGGAGAAGCGCTACCCCCAAGTTTGTTCCGACTGCGCGAAGAAAGTGGAGGATCGCATAAACCAGGCTGGTTATACGGCCAAGACGGACCATCTCAGGCGGATGATGGAGAAGAGCAGAGGCAGAAGAGTTCCTAAGAGAATGACATCCCTGGATGTGGCAAACGCGATGGGACGTTGGCTATGGTGGGGTGGCTTGTTTATTCAGATGGCTTGGCATGTGGTGAGCGTATCACACGTCTTGGAATCCAAAACGACGAGCGAGAGCGGCATGGTCGACCCAGACGATCAGAGCGCCGCGAAAGAGATGATTACTTGGCTGAGCTACCTGCGTGGGTTCCTACCTGCGGCCGACACTCTGATAAGATGCAGTATAAATACGGGATTTCTTTCAGCTTGGTGGAATCCGCACTTTGTGCAGCTCAATCGCGGCTTCACCCGACATCTATTGGGGTTCACGCAGTGGTATTGCTTCCAGGGGCTCATCATTTTCTTCCGATACATCTTCCGCTCTGTTCTCCATTTGCAGGGTGGTCAAGCTCAGTCCGATAGGGCGCAAATCAGCGCGCATTTCGCAATGGCCTGCATTATGGGCTTGGTAAGTGATAATTGTCTATAGCTAGTATTGCGAGGTAAATCATCTAACGGAGGATTCCAGATCTATTCGCTTGCGAGAAAGTCTATCAAAGTCGATACGACGCCCCTATTCGGTGTAACTGACAAGACAGTGTCTGCAAGTCAAATGCCTAAGCCGACACCTAGAAAGAAAATTAGGGAACCAAAAACGTTAGCCGAAGCACTCACCGAGGCCCTTGAATCAACAAATCCTTCGCCGATGGCGATGAAAAAACCCACTCCAGCAAGAAGCTGGGAGTCAGTAGACCTGTCACCGATTAAACGACATAGGCCAGCAAGGGCCTTCGAATTCGACTCAACAGCCCCCTCTCCAACCAAGGACCCCACACCGCGACGATTCCAAGAGCTATTGCCTCCCTCTCGTACCGCGAATCCATTTCGAACGACTCATGATGAGCTTTCTTTTACTGGTTTCAGCATATCAGACAAGTCCCCTCACAAAGGCCTTCGAGCACAGGACCCTGACGAGATGGACTGGTCTCCTCTACCAAAACAATTGCAAAGATCCCAATATCGTGCATTCCAAGATTCCCCTGTGCCATCCAAGCTTGGCCCACCACGACCGTTTGGCCAAACTCCTACACAGCCCGACGCTGGGCCCTTTTGGTTCAAAGTACCCTCCGCACCAACAAATCCAGCACAGCGGCTCCGCAACCCTCTAAATGCTTCAATATTCAATAGAGCGTTATCAGAACCAAGGAGAGAGGAAGGAGATTTCGGATTTGGCAAGCATCGGCTGGAAGAGATGCGAGAAGAGCCGTCTAGAGCGAGCAGCGTGGACTTTAAGGGTCCTAGCTTTTTTGCACCGGAAGATCCCGACGATACGGATGCATTAGCTGACGCTCTTGGCCAGAGCTTCACTTTTGCAAATGATGCGGATGAAGAATCCGATTCGGAAGAAACTGTCGTCAACGAGGAACTTCCCATTCTCTCTAGCGGGCAAACTTCGCACATATACGACCTCTATTTTTTGGTTACCATGTTTTGCCTTTGGTTCATCCCTTTGATCGTCACCGTTCCTTATTGCAAAGAGGCACAACTCACAATCTTGTCCATTGCCGGTATTATCGCTATTCGTAGCATCGGAGGAGCTACCCAGCAACTCTTGGGCGGTGCCTCCAATTCGTCTGGTCTAGCCATGTGCCTCGCTTCAATTACAAGTGTGGGCGAGCTAAGTGCCCTTTGCTGGACCGCATGGCAGCTATGGGCGGATCAAGGGGAGATTTTCCAACATGGCGCAGCCGTGTTGGCGTCCATGCTGGGGCATCAGGTTTTGAGGGGCATTTCTTTGAGACAAAACTCATGATATCGGACATGGACTGTATAACCCCTGTTGTTTTACCCTTTTCCGTGACAGACGGAACGGAGACGTTGGATAGATTGGTTCCACTGGTTGATAAGACTGTAATGGTGGGGATAGACGGATGGAAACTCATTTCATACAAGCGCAGCATCACGGATAATAACGGCGTTTTTTGGACTAGAAAGGGTCATGGCATTTTGGACCTCTGCATGTATAGGTAGTGACAGGGATCGGAGAAAAGGGCTATTGTAAGATTGGGACTACTGGGATAATGATGAATTTGAGATTTTGGATATCTCGACACCTACGCATTTCTGGCCGAACTACTTTCTACTTGAATGACACTATCCTTTAACATATCCGGTAAGGTTTGGTGCCGGATTGCTATAGGTGGCTAACACTATCTATCGACTACCTAACCTATCCGTGATACTATAATCTGATTTCCTAACTGGATTCGCAGCTCCGCGGACCATCCACCATGAATCTGACAACCCCGCTGAAAACACGCGGTGTAAGCTTGGCCCCCGCACTGGTTTCAACCCAAAGCAATGGTATAAGAGAACAGGGAATCCGATTTCTGTTGATGCTACTTACTTTCCAATCGTATACTTTTGCTTCGTAGTTACTGTATTCATCGTCATCTTGCAGTGTTTAAACAATGGCCTCCCTAGAGTCCACTCAAGGAACTGTCCAATTCCGCCATTCCTCCCTCCCCGGCGGCTCTGCTGAAACCTGGTATCGAATCGTCGGCAAACTCCAGCCGAATAGCACTCCGCTGGTTCTTCTCCATGGTGGCCCTGGCATCCCGAGCGTCATCTTTGGGGACGTCTTTGACAAATATGCGGCTCAGAGCGGCAATCCCGTGATTTTGTACGATCAGGTTGGCTGTGGCAAGAGCACACATTTCCAGCAGACGCGGCTGGATACTTCCCTTTGGACGCCCAAGTTGTTCGTGGATGAGCTGGAGAATCTGCTCAAGGAACTCGGCGTGACGACTTTTGACTTGTACGGCCATTCGTGGGGCGCTCTTTTGGCAGCTCAAGTCGCCATCACGGAGGCCCCTTTCGTGAGACACTTGCGAAGGCTCATTCTGGCGAGTGGTCTGTCGTGTTCTAGCCTGTGGGAGACGGCGCAGCGTACGTTGTTGAAGCAGATGCCTCAGTCGGTGCAAGATGCTATTGAGAAGGGGGAGCGTGAAAAGGATTACCAGTCTGAGGCGTATCAGAATGCGATTGGGGCTTATTACAACCAGCACGTGTGTAGGACGTCGCCGTGGCCGGAGGCATTGAATAGTGCATTTGCTGAAGCGGGAAAAGATGATACGGTCTATTTCACGATGTGGGGACCGTCGGAAGTTACAGTAACTGGCAACTTGAAGGGTACGTGCATACATATGTGTGTAGATGTTGTTTTTGTCTTTATTAACTGGAGTTATAGACTATGATCTGCGGCCGCAGCTGAACAAGATCAAGGTGCCTACTCTGCTTATCAATGGCGAGTACGACGAAGCTACAGATGAGGTGATGAGGCCATTTTTCACAAATATTGAAAAGGTCAAGTGGGTTGTGATGAGCGATGTTGCGCATATTGGTTATTTGGAGCAGCCGGACAAGTACATTTCCATTGTGGCTGATTTCCTTGCTGTATGAAAGATGGCGTTATGAACGTATAGATATATGTATTTATACATGATTGTTAGTGTTATAGTAAAAATCGACGACTTCTTGACTGTATATACCTTGCTGAATTATAACTTGCTGTAAGAGATCTCTCACGGATGTTTACCAGTCCAATACTTTTCGATAAACTCCACAACCTTTATCGTTTTGATATCTGGAAATTCCGCATTCAAAGATTCACTCTCAGGAACATCCAAATGGCCAGAAACAATCGCCGTTCCTATCCCAGCAAACATGGATAGCACAAGCGGGTAAGCATCAAATTCCGGCGTGCTGTAGAGCGCAGCATGAGCCTTGTTCCCCGGAATCGGCGTCACTTCGCCGCCTTTCAGCTTCTCCACTGAGTCGTACGCAACGCGGAATTTAGTTCCCCGAGATTTTTCTGCTGCGTGTAGGATCTCATGAAGAGAGGCTTTATCACCGATGATCCAGGAATGCTCTTTCCATGTTCCTGGCTTCATGGAGATTGCGCGGCTGACGAATTTGGCGACGTCGGTTGTGTGTGTCCATACTGCGAGGTCGTCGCCGCTGCCGGGGATGGTTGCTTGGCAGGCTTCGATGTCGACGAATGGGACTTCGGAGGGCATCGTTGTGGGGGCCCAGGGTTGGCCGAAATAGTCCATGAAGTAGCCGTTGTGGAAGAGCGTCCATTCGAGATTTGGGTGGCTGCGTAGCTCTTTTACAATGTTTCGCTGGAACGTCAGCATTGGCATGAAGGGTTGGTATCTGCGGGGGTTAGCCATCTCTGCTGTGTATATGAATGAGATGAATTAAAATTGTAGCCTTACTCTTCTTCTCTTTCAAGGTCAATTAGATATTCGCTCGGGGCGAATCTCTTAACAGACTCTGAGTTGCTGCATGCTCTGATGAGTCTTACTTGAGCATCAAAGGCTGCAGAGCCCGCTGGTGATACTGTCGACAGGACAACTTCAATCTTGTGCTTGTCTAGAACATTTTGAATTTCATCTTGGTCGTCATAAGAAATGACGATGATGTTTACGGCCGGAAGATGGTTGAATACTGATGTTGGCTGCCAAATGGTTAGCGGGCAGGACCATTATGAGACTATTTGCTTTACCTTTCGCGTGAAGACGTAAACTTGATGCTCTTGCGAATCAATCAGCCCTTGGAGAATTGCCCGGCCTACGTGTCCAGTAGCTCCTGCGACAGCGACGTGCACCATTGTAACGATATAATTCTGAGAATGCGCCTTAATAGACTCTCAAGGGATGGATGATATTTCCTTTAATATAACGGATTCAGATTTCAGAGCGGGGGAAATCGTGGTGCAGCGTCGCTGTGCAGCGGGCGCCCAAGATTCCAAAAGGGCCGCTAATAGACATAGCAGGTCTGCCTATTATTGCTTCTGTCCTTGTGGCGTTGCTTGTTGGGGAAATGTGAGATTTTAGGCCGTAGGTGGAATAAAAGCGATTGCAAAGAAGTAGCCCAAAATCAACTCTGATACATGGTAGAGTAGCTGGGCGGCTGATATAATTCTATGGACCCAAGCCGCCGGATTACATGGCTCTTCCACTTTCAAACTCTGTAGAGAAGCTGGAGAGTAACGTATATTTCATGATCGCAAACAGGTAACAATCTAATACCTAGGTACCTGAGTGAGTAATGACGAGACACAGTAGAGGTATGGGAAGGTGGCCGCAGGAAGAGGCTATAAGTAGAGGGGCAAAATGTAATAAGGAAAAATCTAGAATGATAGATCGCCCAAGGCGAAAAGAACAAACAATTGTAAATGCCAACTTGATTTTCTTTTTACAAAAAATCTGGTTTGGCTAAGTGGCATAGATGAAGCTGCGCATATTACTAGTACATGGCCTAGTACACCATTGCTGCAACTTACTATGGCGCTGTTTACATATAAGAAGTATCGATATCATTTTCCAAAATTGCGCCAATTAAAGTGCTAATTCATGACCTCGGCAAACCATTTCATTCTATTCCAGTCTTAAAGGCCATTCACCGAGATTCAGTAAACTTCAACTCTTCTTGAACTCGGAGCTTTCGGGGCGCTGGGGGATGAGTTTAGTTGCCGCCAATGGTAGGCTAGCGTATGGGTTTCAGAATTAACCATCCTCTGTTTCTAGAAACAGAGCTCATTGTACATGTATTGTTATTCAAAAAGTACACCGTAGCTTTATTTGGCACAAATTTTCATGTGTAGGTTAAAGAATCGTGCACTGCCGCCGTATACAGCTTACAGCATTGCATTGGTTGTATAAGTTGCATCATGGCTGAACGACATCTTACGGAAACAAGGAGACGCCGAGTAGAATTGATCGGCATCTCAGTTGGAGCTCATTTTAAGCTGTAAGTAACTTATTTATAGCTCCTATTAATTCATGTAATCAATGAGAATTCATTTGTATGGCTTGTTGAGAATATGATCCGAGGTTCGCAACCAGTCTTTAATACTGTGGCGGCACCTCGGAGGCTCGGACATTTTCGAAAGCTCTAACGCCCGGCACAGCGACACGGTAGAGCACCACGCCAAATCAGGCTCAGCATCATGCCATTAGATATAGTAGTTGCCTCGGAGATTTTCTGGAAATTCCATCACGATACCCAAAACGTCCCGAGACTTCGGTAAAAGCGAAGCAAGCGACGCAAGCGAAGGGGCAAGCTGCCATGACGTTGCCCAAGAGTTATGGACCGAGTCGTCTCGCATCTCGGAGAGCCCCAAGTATATTAAAGGAGATGAATGGGTATATATAGACCTCTGATGGCCGCTACCATCATGTAGATAGGAATCCATCAACTACAGCATTCAAGCAACAACACTCCGACTGATAAATGCCACTCAATTATAAACTCTGCCCAAAAAACATCAACTCCAATAATCTATAATATCTACACCTTCTATTCAGAATTTCATCATGTCTTCAACTACTTATAAGTCTGAAGCTTTCGATCCTGAACCTCCTCATTTGAGCTTCCGTTCTTTCGTCGAAGCTCTCCGTCAGGATAACGATCTTGTGGACATCAATGAGCCAGTTGATCCTGATCTGGAGGCCGCAGCAATCACTCGCCTCGTCTGCGAGACTGATGACAAGGCCCCTCTTTTCAACAATGTCATTGGAGCTAAGGATGGTCTCTGGCGAATCTTAGGAGCGCCAGCTTCCCTGCGTAGCTCTCCCAAAGAGAGATTTGGTCGTCTCGCACGACACTTGGCCCTGCCTCCTACTGCGTCTGCTAAGGATATTCTCGACAAGATGCTCTCTGCTAACAGCATCCCCCCTATTGAGCCTGTTATTGTGCCCACTGGACCTGTCAAGGAGAATTCCATTGAAGGCGAAAATATCGATTTGGAGGCACTTCCAGCCCCAATGGTGCATCAATCAGATGGTGGCAAATACATTCAAACTTATGGAATGCATGTCATTCAGTCTCCTGATGGTTGTTGGACCAACTGGTCAATTGCTCGGGCCATGGTAAGTGGAAAGAGGACATTGGCCGGCCTTGTTATCAGCCCCCAGCACATTAGGAAAATCCAAGATCAATGGCGCGCAATTGGCCAAGAGGAGATCCCCTGGGCACTCGCCTTTGGCGTCCCTCCCACTGCCATCATGGCCTCTTCTATGCCTATTCCTGATGGAGTCAGCGAAGCCGGTTACGTGGGAGCTATTGCTGGCGAGCCTATTAAGCTGGTCAAGTGCGACACCAACAACCTCTATGTTCCGGCCAATTCAGAGATTGTTCTCGAGGGCACTCTATCTACAACCAAGATGGCGCCTGAAGGTCCCTTTGGAGAAATGCACGGTTATGTCTATCCAGGAGAAAGCCACCCGGGCCCCGTGTATACAGTCAACAAGATTACATATCGCAATAATGCCATTTTGCCCATGTCTGCTTGTGGCCGTCTGACAGATGAGACTGTAAGTGATTTTTTCCCATCCACAATTATCAAGACCACAGACTAATTTATTAATTCTAGCAAACTATGATTGGAACCCTCGCCGCTGCTGAGATCCGCCAGCTCTGTCAGGATGCCGGTCTTCCCATCACTGACGCTTTCGCTCCTTTCGTCGGTCAAGCCACCTGGGTCGCCCTCAAGGTCGACACTAAGCGCCTTAGAGCGATGAAGACCAATGGCAAAGCCTTTGCCAAACGGGTCGGCGATGTTGTTTTCACCCAGAAGCCTGGCTTTACCATCCACCGTCTTATTCTCGTCGGCGACGACATTGACGTCTATGATGACAAGGATGTCATGTGGGCCTTTACAACTCGCTGTCGCCCTGGCACTGATGAGGTCTTCTTCGACGATGTTGTTGGGTTCCAGCTTATCCCGTACATGAGCCACGGCAATGCAGAGGCCATCAAGGGTGGCAAGGTTGTTAGCGATGCACTGCTTACAGCCGAGTATACCACTGGTAAGGACTGGGAGTCTGCAGATTTCAAGAACTCCTATCCTAAGAGTATTCAGGACAAGGTCTTGAACAGCTGGGAAAGGCTGGGCTTCAAGAAGCTGGATTAAATCGCGGATAATGACTTTCCTGGTTCAGCTGTTGATGATGAATTGTAGATTGTATTATATTGTATAGAATGTAGACTAAAAGCACTAGAAATAAGAGAGAACCAGATAGATGCATATGCATGTGCATTACAACTCTGCCTCGTATTACACTGCAGCAGCACCCAATTGATACCTTATTGACACCTACCATGCCGGCATGTACTTGTAATATCGTATCCGTACATGTACCGTGATTTACACCGCGCCGGCGGGGCGTCCTGCCTGATAGAGTTGGGCATCTGCATCAGGCCTTCTTTTAATATTTAACCATTCCACTCTACGTCAATTGCCATCGATAAAAACCTCGTTCCTCATCTACGAGTGCAACATTTATACAATGCCACGTTTTAGAAAGCTCCTTGGATCATTCGACAAATGGCGCGACAAGCGCAGGTCGTCGAGAGAGGTTATTGTCCATACGCGAGAGAATAATATGAAATCGCCGACTACAGATCCCCCGAGAGAAAACAATGTTGCGCATCTGGAGCAGCGTGAGGATCAAAACCCGCCATCCGTGGCCATCGAGCCTCCAGGAGAGCAACAAGCGGTTACCGAGCAACACGACTCCTCGTTACCCGATCCAGAGCCGTCGGATACCGCAATCGTTCTGCCTGAAATTGCAAAAGCTTCCATCACCCCGCCAGAGTGTATTTGGAACGAGGCTTACGACAGCCTGAAATTAGATGAACCCAAACTGGTGCAAGCATATGAGAAGATCTTGTCTTTACACTTGAGGGGAGACTCGGTTGTTTCTATGGATCAAGTGTCCGAGAAAAATGTCATCCAGGAAGAAAATGTGTCAATCCGGAGGGCGCAGATGTGCCAGTTGATCGATAATGGCTTGAATAAAACCATGCAAGAAGCGAATGTCAAGGGCAACATAGGCACAGCTATGCAAGTTGCCAACGCTACGAAAAAACTGATTGGCGACACAATCAAGGATATACCACAGGCCGTCCTTCCTTGGGCTATAGTTTGCGTTTCTCTCGAGGTAAGCCCACTAGCAATAATACCCACGGCCACTGATACGGAATGTCGTTGAACTAAGCATTCTGGCAGATGTTGACAAATCCTATATCGCAAACCGAAGCCAATCACAAAGCTATCAAATACATTGGAGATACGATAAAGTGGTACTGGGAACATGCCACACGACTCTTTGGAAAAGACCAAGCAGAAAATCACATGGAAGGTTTTCAGCGCGAATTACAGTCGGCGTTTATCGACTTTTACAAAAAGCTTCTAAAATTTCAATTGCAAAGCATTTGTGACTACTACAGGCATCGAGGTGTTGTTTTCTTGAGAGATCTCGTAAAACTCGATGACTGGGATGGCAGTCTGAGATCTATTCGAGAGAACGATGAGTCTCTTCGCAATAAAGTCAATGGGTTCCTGGGATATAAAATAGAGTCACATCTTGAAGATTTAACTCTTCAAGCCAAGGGACAGAATAAGCATCAAAGGACACAAGAAGACCAACAGTGTCTCAGAGACCTATTTATCACTGATCCGCGTGACGACAAGACGCGTATCGAAGAAACAAAGGGAGGCCTATTTGAAGACTCGTATCGGTGGATTCTTGAGAATCCCACATATCAGGAGTGGCACAAAGGTGATCAAAATCGGTTGCTCTGGCTTAGTGGGGATCCGGGCAAAGGAAAAACGATGCTTCTCTGCGGTATCATCCAGGAATTGATGCAACAGCCAGATACGCCTTTAGTAACGTTCTTTTTCTGCCAGGCCACGATACTGAGCAACAATGACTATGTATCAGTTTTACGCGGCCTGATTTGGTTGTTAGCAGACCAGCAACCTTTTCTAATATCATATATTAGAAAGCCATATGATAATACCGGCAAGGCACTCTTCGATGGAGCAAATGCTTGGTATAAACTGTCACAAATCTTCAACAATATGCTGTGTGACAACAACTTGCCACCAGTCTACATAATTATCGACGCCCTTGATGAGTGCACCACAGGCCGAACCGAGTGCTTGCATCTCATTCAAAAGCTTTCGACCTTGCCAAAAGTCAAGTTACTTGTATCCAGCCGCAACTGGCCCGAAATTGGAGGCAAGCTAATTAATGAGATGAACCTTAGCCTTGAAGTAAATGCTGGACTTGTTAAAACGGCTGTGGAGCTATACATTTCTTATAAAGCATCCCAACTCTCTATTCTACGCGATGAACTCCAATTAAAAGAGGAAGTTTGCTATCGAATGCGAAGTAAAGCAAACGGCACATTTCTATGGGTTGCAATGGTCTTTAAAAGCCTCGGTTGTATGGGATATTTTGACGATACTTCCAAAATCATAGAAATGCTAGATGAAATGCCTGAGGACCTGACTCAACTTTACGCTACTATGCTGGAGCGAATTTCTCTACTAAGAGGAGAAAGCCCAAAGTTGTGTCGAACCGCTCTGGCTATTGCAACATTGGTTAATCGGCCGTTGCATCTCGATGAACTTTCAACTCTAGCAGGATTTCACGATCGTTTGAAGAAAACATCTCGCGTCGAGGAACTAATAAAAAGTTGTGGCGCATTTTTAACTGTTCAAGAGAACAAAATCTATTTCATACACCAATCGGCAAAGGAATACTTGGCCAGCGACGTATCATCACAGTCTTTCATATTCCCTGAAAGAACGGATAAAGTCCATTATAGCATCATTTCAAATTCATTAGACGCTATGTCACAGATACTGCGAGAAAATATCTACAAGTTGGAACACCCAGGAATTCTCATCGACGACGTTTGCCCGCCAAAGGATAATCCACTGGATCCTATACTTTATTCTTGCGTCAATTGGGTTGCCCATTTGTGTGAAATAGATGATCAAAGCCATTTGGATGGTCTTATTGATAAGGAGAAAATTTTGGGCTTTTTGAAGACACACTTTCTCCATTGGCTCGAGGCTCTTAGCTTGACGCGAAATCTATCAGTCAACACAAGCCACGTCAAACGGCTCAATAAGTTGCTAAAAGTAAGCATAGTACACCCAGCTGCAGAAAGTAAACCTTACTAACTTGCCTTAGCAGAATTCTACGGAGAATGAGCTTCAAAAATTCGTTTATGATGCCAGCAGATTCATGCAATACCACTCTCGGATCATTGAAACTGCGCCAATGCAGATATATTCATCAGCTGTTTTGTTCAGCCCCACCGAAAGTCTGGTGCGGTCTGACTTCATTGGCAACTTATCCTCTTGGATAACATCAACGCCTGCAACGGATAGACACTGGAGTTCATGTCTACAAATAATCGAGACCAAAGATCCGGTAGCAGTGAATTCTAGAGATATGAATCTCTTGATCTTGAATCACAGTTCTGAGGATGTTGAGATCTGGGATATTACCCTAGGCCAGCGGATTCACGTCCTCAATCATGCAGAAACTGTCCGCGACCCAGTATTTTCGAGCGATTCAAAGCACGTGTTAACGTTGACATCAGTTCAATTGATATTTTGGGATACGATATCTGGCGAAATGATACGAGATATCAATATTAAAGGACTATATGTTACTGCTTACCGACTCAAAATCTCTAATAATGGGAAATTTATAGCGGCCCAGGTGCCTGATGGATCTTTTCAGATATGGAACGTTGTTGAAGGCACGAAATTCGAAGTTCCTTGGCCGTATGATTCATCCTTTCGGGTCATCAAATGGTCAAATGATTCCAACCTTCTCTTTATTGCTACGCTACATTCTGCTCTTCTCTGGGATGTGGCGAGGGGCACGTCCAAAAAATTGTTTGACCGAGATCGTATTCAATGTCCATACCGGGTCAGCTTTTCAAAAGATTTTGGTCTTATGGCTTTTATGGACGAAGTGTCCGAAGGGATTGTCATTTGGGACATGATTAAAGACGAAAAGGTTCAGATAATCAGTGCACGCATTTACCGAAAAGAAGCTACATACATTGAGTTTTCGGATAATGCCACGCTTCTTGGTATGGCGCGAGGCCAATGTCTTGAAATCTGGCATATCGCTACCGGAAGACTTCATTCTTCTCTACGATTTCGATCACAAGATATCAGACAATTGCGGTGGTCCAGTGATTCAGAGGCCTTGGCCGTTATCTTTCAGGACAGCGTTCAAATATGTGATCTAACTGAACCTATACATTGGAAGCATATGTACATCACAAATCAGGCCTATCCAATCATGTTCTCGTGTAATTCTATGCTGGTGGCTACTTTGAGGGAAGATATCGAAATCTGGGATTCGACAACTGGAAGTGTGATTCAAAGATTAGCAATACCCGTTTGGAGCTCTCCTCTTATTCGTTTACAATTTTCACAAGACTCAAATTGCATCTACACGAACGACAATTCTCATGGTTGGGACTCTTGGGGTATTGCGTCGAGTAGGCCTTCTCTTGAACTTCCGTTTTCCCACGAGCAAAAATTTCAGTCAGCGTTCTCACTTGATGGAAGATTTTTCGCATTTAATAGACAAGGGCTTCACCTATGGAACTTGGCCGCAGATGAAAGGGCCTCCTATTCAATAACTCCATCAAAGGCAGAAGTTGCTCATTTGGCACTATCTAATAGTGACGTATACCTGGTCTTAGTTTCTAAGACTAAATGCAGTTATGTTACAACAAAGATTAATATCGATGTATGGGATGTAGAAGCTGGAGAGAAACTAGAAACAGCAGACGACAGCACGTTACTTGAAGGGAATCCAAACAGATACGAACGATGCGGAGCCTGTAGCAGCTACGGAGACCTTTATGAGTCGAGTTCAGTCGCAATATCCGATGAGGGCATAGTGATTTATATACCACCATCCCGCCATGAGATGGTAATTTGGTCAGGAGGAAAGAAGATTTACGAGCTCCCTATATGTTCCATGTACTTTGAGCCACGTTTCGACATTGAGACGCCATACATTCTTACGCAACTTGGTCGCATACATCTCGATACACTCATATCTCGAACGGCAGGATCCTCTCGCTCTAAGATTATATATGACTATCAGTGTATGACAGAAGGTTATGGTATAAGTTTTAACGGATCTTGGATCACCTGGAATGGGAAAAACACTCTGTGGCTTCCGCCAGATCACCGTCCAGCATGGCAACGAGCTATATCCCACCACTGCATTGTCTTAGGAACCCTTATAAAAGAAGTCTGCATTATCAGCTTTTCTGGTCCTCCAGCTTCCGAGATACAATACTGAAACGTGTTATTGCTTGTCTACGTGGGCTATATTTATTATCATTGAATGTTACATTTTTTCATTGGGCTCATGTGCTTCCACATGAAGTGGCCGTGTCACTTTGACTAAATAACGCAGTCTACAAGTTACTAGGGGGCATGCGACAAATGACTTAAAGCCACTCATATTGCCTCAATTGCTCAAAGGCAGATTCATCTCATCTTGAAGAGATCAAGATTGATATCGTTTCTGCGCGGTCTTCAAATATCATGGTGCATGTCGCCTATCAACTTTTATATTTGCTGTTTATGAAGGCTTGTCCGTCAATATCGTCTAGCTAAATATTATCTCTATCTGCCAGTTGAGTAAATTTTACGTGTCGAAAAGAAAATACTAAGTCACGTTCTTACATTGACACTTATTCTTCAAATGATTCGAAAAACCCGGACTTCATCGTGAAGTAAAACGACTAGTCTGATTAACACTCTTGACTCGTGTCGCAATCTTTCATCAAAGCTGATTGGGCGTCGATAGAATGCGCCACTTCGAGTTCCCTAGAGGAGGATCAATATCGTACACGCGAGAAGGTTCGAAGTTTCAACCCGACTGCTTTGTAGTGGGATGTTTAGATCTGCGCACACCTATCTTCTCCTGCAGGAGTTGTATGCATGCCAATATTGATCGTCATTGGGATATAGATTGAGACGGACGCGTCTTGCGAAAGTCTTATCAGGAAAATCCATAACATTGTGGCGTCAAATGCCGCAGTCACTTTACTGAGTGCAATTGCTCTGACCGCTATATACCTAAAATTTAAATCTAAGAAGATGTTTTTACTCTGGCTTACTTTTACCTTTTCCCTACCACCCATCACCCGTGAAAAGGAAAAGCGACGATGCTATTGACTGATGACGTTTCAGCAAATTTAGATGATGAAGTTTCGAGATAGCTTAATTCCAGGCTGAACGATGTTGGTTAGAAGCATATGAGTAAAGCATATGTTGTCAATCATTCCCAGCATAAGGTCCATGAATCCTCGAGTAACATTTGCCATGGAAATTACTATAAAGTGAAATCATCAATTTTAAGAAACAAAACATATTTCTTACGCATTTCTGTAGGATACTACATAAGCTAAAGTATTTTCTTTCCAGTCGTCTAATTTGTAAGTTTAAATCCAACGTAATCGTTATCTGTCACATCTTTGATGAAGCGTTGGTAGGTGTGGAAACCACCTAGCCAAGAATGAACAGGCACATTCGATCCTTCAACAAAGTTGCCGGTGATGAAAGACTTGACCGTTTTGATCAAGCTGCCCTCTTCTACCTCGAGGCACTTCTTCAGCCAGCCATCCTTGGCTTGTTCCTCCGCCTCAACAAGGACAATCTTGTTGTCGCCGTTCTCCTTCTTCTTGGCTTCTGCCTTTGCAATGAGTCCGGCGATGAAGTTGGCCTGAACCTCAATGATAGGAGGGATATTGGCGATTGGTGACTGAGGGCCAATGGAGAAGAACATGTTGGGGAATCCGACCTCGCTGAGTCCAAGGTAAGAAGTTGAGCCCTTAGCCCAGGTCTCGTTCAAGGTACCGTGTGTGCCAATTGGATTGATCCGCTTGAGGCTGCCGTCCATGGCTTCATAGCCAGTTGCCAGAATGATAACATCCAGATCCCACTGCTTCTCAGTGGTTAAGAGGCCCTTTTCGTTAGCTTCAACAAGGGGTGTGAATTGGTAGTTGACGATGTCGACGTGTTTCTTGGCAAACGTCTCGTAATATCCTGTCATTGTAACAGGGCGCTTGAGGTAGAGTTCAGTTGGCGTCAGCTTCTTAAGCTTATCGGGGTCAGAAATATACTGGGCAATTTTCTTCTCGAAAAAAGCGCACAGCTCTCGGTTGGCCTCTTCGCTTGTAACAATGTCCCCAAATGGGCCATACATAAAGGCGACTCCGTTTGTTCCGTTCCAAATTTCCTCCCAGGTACGCTCACGTTCCTCCGCGCTGACGCTCATAGTTGGAGTATTCGGAAACGGTATGTTCTGCCCAAGAGGATGGTTGTCGACTGTCTTCCAAATTTCATCCCAGTTGCTATTGACAAATTCTCTTTCTTCAGCTGAGATAGGTCCGTTATTGTGAGGTACCACATGCTGTGACGACCGCTGGAAGGAAACCAGATGTGAAACATCATCAGCAATATTGACCATGAGCTGAGCTCCAGATGATCCCGTGCCTATGACACCGACCTTCTTGCCCTTGAGATCACGGTGCTCAGGCCATACACTAAGAAGTTAGCCTCGATGATCTTGTTAAAGGTAATATCCAATCCTTTTTCCCTTACCCTGTGTGATAAACTGGACCAGCAAACTTCTCAAGACCCTTGATGTCGGGGTAGTTGGGTGTATGTAAATGCCCAGTGGCTAAAATAAGGTATGTGGTCTTATAAGTTTCGCCGGTAGAGTTGAAAGTAACAGTCCATGTAGATGTAGCAGCATCAAAGGATGCTGACTTTAGCTCTGCACTTAACTGGATATGCCGTCCCAAATTGTGGCTCTCGATAAAATGTTTTAGGTACTCCAGGTTATCCTTCCGATACAAGTAGCGTGTTGACCAAGGATAAGTGTTCAAGAGCTCCTTATCATCTCTGTATCTATAGATCTCGGCAGTAGTGTCGGTAGTAGCACCGGGATACTGGTTCCAGTACCATGTACCACCGACATCTGGAGCTTTTTCAAAGGCCTTTACAGAGAGGCCGAGTTGCTTAAGTTTATAGAGGTTGTAGACGCCTCCAAAACCGCAGCCAACAACAATGGCATCAAGTACGTTGGACATGACGAATGATGAATTGTGGTATATGGAATAGTTTTCGGTAACTTTCGTGAGAGAACAAGAAGATATATGGTTGAGAGCGCCGAGAAGAAACTGTCAAAAGCGCAACACCGCCCTATTTATAATTATTTAGCTTTTCGGACGGCATTAAAAGACGCTCAAGAAGAACGAACAAAACTTCTCGATTGGCGGCGAGGAAATTCTCTCATTGTCTTTGTCCCAAAGAGTAAAACACTGCATTGCGTACAAAACATCATCTCACTCTTCTTTTGATCCTCCAAGGCTGCCGGCCATCCAACATCAAAGCAGCTACTATTCCATTTCGGCCACCTTTATTATCGCACTATTCATTAAACCAAACGTACAAAATATCATCTCATTATTCTTTTGATCCTTCAAGCCGTTATATGTCACTAATCCTTTGATCCTTCAAGCCGTTAGATATCTCACTCATCCTTTGATCCTTCAAGCCGTTAGAACAGATTTGCAGACGGAGCTTCTTCGGCTTCTGAAACCTTTGCCGATAGGGTGAGGGTGGGCATTGCTACTATAAGCTTACCCTTGGGTAAATACCTGGGGGTGATTTAGGTGACAGCTGGGTGACCTGCTAAATATTAACCCCTCAACGATAGATAAACTGCCTAAATTAAAACTTATATAATAATTGCTTATTTAGGCAATATATTAGTTCCTCTTTTGTTTATTTTATTAAATCAGTAGTAAGCTTGATAAATCTTTACTTTTGAATTGTTTTTCTAGTTTAGCTATGTTTTTTTACAGTGTATATATGGCTTGCCAATACGATAGACTCGCAGACTGAGATACTTGGACTTACTATATTCAGACCAATAGGGTAATACAGATAAGTCTCGCTACTATAATCTCACCCAGGGTTGCATTCTCAGGGTGACCAAGGTGATCTCTAGGTGATCCTTGTTGAAGCTATCTGATTTCATAAGAGCAACCGGGGATTCTAATCAAGGCTTCGCTTAGGTGTTTTACCGATTTTCGTGGTGTGACACCGTTATCCTTATGCGCTGCTGCACAGTCCGCCAGGCCCTACGGATATGAGGAGCGAAGTTCAACAAACAATTTGATCTCGGACCCATCTGAAATCAACTCCCCCGTTCCAAGATTTAACTAAGTCATATACATGACTAGGTAATGAATGAGAGACGTCGTTGATGCACGAGACTATATCCTTCCCTCTATCATCTCACCCTAGCCTCAAGGACACGATAATGAAACAGCAAGCGATATCAGGAAGATAGTATCCCATACGTCGGGTTTGAAAGCATAACTGAGCCTTTTTTTTCTATCATCCTAATCAGTCCCAGTGCCGTGGAAAAAAAAGATTTGACATAGTGGCTGTTGGCGGTAAGTTGGCGTCCTCAGATCCTGCAGTTCTAAGATGATAGTCCTTTGATCGAGCAGGAAAAGTGGTCTTTCTTGCACTCTATAGCTTGATCCACGTACAGATCACCGGCAACATTTGACTCCCTAGATTCAGATGGAGGCGGCGTTGCCATTATAGCCTACGTAGTAGAACCAATTTACTACGCTCGGACTCGGATTAGACAATGTTTAAAGTGTCTGGTAAACTTAGACATAGTTTTGTCTATCCTGTTCAAAAGTTTATCTTGGCGATATCATTGACAAACGCATATCTAGAAGAGTTTTAAAACTCTATCCAAACCATGAAGCAAAATTACAAAGTAGAACTTCAAATCTACAATCAATCTCATTGAGTTCCCTACATAGTAGAATAGCTACGGAACAACCACTACTCTATCATGTTGTGTTGTGTCAAAGCACGAGGGGCGTTGGCTTCACAGACTCGGTTTATAATTTGCCAGCTGTGGCGGCGGGATCCGTCGAGGCATCGTCTTCTCCCAAGCACTCATGGCTTGTAGAATCTTTCCCTCGTCCCCAGCTTTTGCCACAATGGCCACGCCGTATGCTCTACCATTGTAGTTGTCAGCATATCCCAACGGCGCCACTCCAGCAGGGTATCCTGCAGCAGCAGCAACGGTGACAATCCGCCCGTCCAATGGTCCTATGAGCACTTCGGCCCCTGTCTTTTCAAAGATTCGGTCAAACCCGTCATCCTTGGCTATCTTGCGGATGAACGAGACAATCTCTTGCCGCTTCTTCTCCGTCAGGTTGCTCTTCAATGTATTCTCGAGCTGCTGCTGGCCCGGAAATGCTGGGGAGTTGTCAGCTTCTGGCTTCTTGTAACGGCTTGTCTCGTTCAAATGATGTCGCTTACCTGGTGGGAGCTCCAAGTCTTTGTGATCAGAATTCCACTTAACCAGCTGCTCAACTGTGCGTACCGAGGACTTGGTGTATTCTTTGAGGAAAGAGTTGATTTCACCGCCAAGATATGAGTTCCATACCGTTTCAAGGGCATCCTCACCCTCCCAAGCGATCTCATCAACTTGTGGCAACACGACATTTTCCGTCACTTCTGCCCCAGACTCCCGGATAGTAGCTACAGCTTGGAGAAACTCCGAAATCTTTCAGATGATGAATATCAATATTCCAATAATTGGCCCAAATGAAAAGCATGGCTTATACTTACTTGTTTTTCGCGGACGATTTCGATCCGTTCACAAACAGCTGGATGGAGCTCCCACTTTTTGGGATCCACAAAGGCAACTTTCTGCCCTGCCCACGTCTTCGTCAGATAAGAAGAGTAATCTTGCTCCATCATAGCTCCGATAAAGTTAGCAAGGTCTCCAGAGCTTTTGGCCATGCCGCCAAGACTATCGGTAATTGGAGATTGTGGTGATGTCCCCTTTGTGTCTAATGCTCCAACGGTAACTTTCATTGCGTACAGAGAAGCCCTTCCAGCTGGCTGTGTGATGGATCCATCAGATTCGGTCCCCATTGCTACAGGTGCAAACCCAGCGGCCACAGCTACGGCAGATCCAGATGAAGAACCGCATGGAGTGCTGTGTCCTAAAATCTTGTCTCCAAGCACATAGCCGCCCTTGACATAAGGTGACTGTGTCTGGCCGCCGACTGCTGACCACCCGGCTACCATTCCGAATCCTTTTGAGCCAGCCCATTCCTGACAAAAAGAAACACGAGTCAACATCCGTAGCCCAGGAGAGTGCACTCATGAAATTACTTACAGATAGATTGGCTTTCGCAATGATAATCATGCCAGCCTTCAGAAGACGATTTACTATCGGAGCGTTTGGTGCCTTGGCTCCAACAAGAGCATGGGAGCCGCATGTAGTGTCCATGCCTAGTGAAGAGTCGGTCATTACATTGTCTTTGACGACAACTGGAATTCCGTGCAGAGGACCGCGTATCTTGCCAGTGGCTCTTTCTGCGTCAAGAACTCTGGCTTGTTCAGCAACGATGTGTTGTGGTGCAGTGGAAATGATTGCATTCAACTTCAGACCGTTCTTGTTGTGCCGCTCGATCTGACCAAGATAAATATTGATCAAATCCAGGCTACTTAGACTACCTGATGTCAGAAGCTTTTGTAGTTCCTCGGTCGTGGTAGTCAACGGATCGATTATGCTATGTGATGCGTTGGAGACGATGCGCTCGGGGGTTGGCGGCGCTTGGATATCCATCTTTGAATGGTTAGGGATGCGTCCAGGAGAATAGTGAAGGAGAATCAAAATGAAATAAATAATAATAGGAATCTATGAAGATGAAACGAATCTGTGAAAAGATCAATTGGCTCGTGTTCCTGCCGAGAGAGCGATGATCGGATGCTCAAGAAGAGGCTCATGTGGGAAAGGATGGGTTGAGACAAGGGAGCCTTGAGTTTCAATGCCCCCGTGTGACGATGAGGTAACGCATTGGTCGGTTATGCCCTAGCAGCGGGTATGGTGTGTATATAATATAACCTCGCCACAACGCGGCATTTTCTTTTGTAATAATACAAGGCATTTTGAATGATCCTTCTAATGCGTTGTCTTTGTGCGACCGCATATTGCAACACCCAACGTCTGCCAGCACATTTAATTATGGGGCACAGTCGTTGAACATGCATGTGAGAGGATCATAACTCGTGAGGGAACTAACGGGTCCGATTTTTATCCCCACATAATGTCCGCCGCCAACAACACCCAGCCTGCTCATCCTGTTGAACAGACCACTCTGGCAAAAGTTGAAGTGACCACTTCTCTCTGCCTAGTGATGTACTAATACATAAAGTATCCTAGTTCTTCCAACACATCCACACCAGTGCGCGCAAATGAAGGTGGTGTGTATTGGCATTTTTAGGTCCTGAGACAACTTGCCTAAATAGTTTTCGGTGACAAGCTTAACATAGGTCATCTATATAACCTGTATATATATATATATATATATATATATATATATAATATAGCTAATCTATTTATAATAGTTTTAAAAAGAAAAATAATTATAATAATAATAACTTTTATATTTATTAATTATTAGTAAATAAAAAAGTTATTATACAAATATATTATATTATTTTTAAAGGCCTTATTATACAAAAAGTAAAATTATATAAATTCATATATTCCTTATATTTAGTTAAATATGCCTTCCGGCCCTAGCTACCTGGCTGTAACACCTGGTCTAACAAAGCCTTTATTATCCATGAGTCTACTACTCCTTATGATTAAAGACTAATGTACTTATTAATTAACTTAGCCAGAAATTTGCAAAATTGCTATCACCAACCTCCTGTTCTATCGCCACCTCGCCAAAATGGAACTCCAGGCCTCGTTATCATTCCTTGCGGATCATCCTCGCTATAAGACAGAAAAGCCGTTTTACGCTCTGCTTCGCGCCCCACCGGGTCTCGACGTTGAGTTGATCACGGACGAGGCTGCTAAAGCTTTCAGAAGAAACAATAATCTTGACTTCTCTTATAAAGATGTGCCCATACAAAATATCCGTGGCAGGGAGGATCAGTTCCACGTTGAGCAATGCGGCTTCGAGATCATGCATCATTCATCTGCGATGATAGACCACCTCGTCAGTTCATCGGAAGCAATAGAAGCATACAAGAGGGAGACAGAGGACATGTTGAAACAGAAGTTCGACGCCGAATATGCCTTCTGCTTCGAGGCTCGTGTAAGTTCAATACGTTACGGGTGGTCGAAAAGCTTGAAAGACCGTTGATCCTTTCTAGTTGAGGAAGAACCAGCCGTTTTCTAAACGGCTCTACGATCTGTCAGATCCTCTATGCGTAGAAGGACCTGCAATTGGGGTACATACGGATTTCACGATCGACAGCGGCCCACGATCTATAGATCACTACCTTCCGAGCGAGATCAAACAGACATACCTGTCAGAATCAGGACATAGGTTCCGAATTATCAAGTTTGTGATCCCTTTGGGTGACCCAGTGTTGTAGTTCGCGAAACTATGCTGACAACAAGTAGTACTTGGAGAGGCCTGATTCCTGAGATAGAGGATAACCCGATAGCTATTTGCGACTACAGAACAGTTGATGTAAACGACCTCATTGCGGCGGATCGCATCATTCCAACCCGAGTTGGAGAGATCTACTATGTTCGACACAATCCTAATCAAAAATGGTATTGGCTTGATAAAATGACACCGAATGAGCCCTTGATCATGGCAATGTATGACTCAAATGGAGGCCAAGATGCAATATGTTCGTTGTCATAGTCAATCCTTAACCCGCCATACCATTGCTTACGCGTGTAATTATTTAGTCTGCCCTCATATCTCTTTCCAGCATCCGAAAAGCCCAGAGACGGCCATTGCGAGAGCGAGCATCGAGACGAGAACTATAGTTATCACAAAGACATAGGCAAATCTGAAGACTGGTACCCTTTTTTTGCATCTCTTTTCCTACATATTGAATGAGCGGGGAGGTCTATCAAAGAGAATGAACAACTCCATTCACCCCTCTCGTTTGATTATTGCCATGAGATTTTACAGTTCCCGCGTCATTTTCGTGAAATTTTTGGCTAGCCATGTAGTGGCACCCCAAAGCGTCATTTTTTGATGCTCCTTCGGCTACGTGGACAAACTGCGAGAAGTCACACAAGGCTGTGCTTGCAGCTGAAATTCATTATGCACCAGGGTATGGTAATGAAACAAATACAAAAGACCAATCATACGTAGTATACTTATCACCGACTCCCGGAAGAGCCTCATCCGCCCCCTCTCCCCTCCCTCCATGAAAGATAACCAATTTTGATTACCCCATAACCAAGTATCATTGGCGGCGATCTCTCCAGTGACTCAAACGACCAGCCGGCTACATGTAACACAACATGTTGTCTCACACAGGGTGATTGGAGGTTAGATAGCCTAAGTCAAGGCATCTTTGGGCATAAATAATGCGTCCATTCCAGCGTGATAACCTATCCAACGCGTTGCCAGAGGAAGACTCGACCGAAGACCCGGATACTTCACAGCATAAGGGATTGCCCAAAATTCCATCAAGCATTCTCAAGACGTTAGATTTTTGCGACCACTAGTCCCTCAGACGTTAAGATATTACAAGACAACAAAATGGCCCTTGACAAGAAACCAGCGCCACAAATGGTTCAAAGTGCCGTGGCCCTGTTTCAGGGTGCAAAGGGATATCCGGAACGGCCTGAAGACAAAGCCCAGCCATGGAAGAAGTGGTTTAACCCCGAGCCTCAGTCCGACAATCCCGTGGTTGTGTTGGTTCCCTCAAAGTACGACTTCGGCTCGGCCAACCTGGGCGGGTTCTAACCTACCTTGGACTGAATGTAAGTCTGCCTGCCATTCAGAACAGAAGTATGCTTTACATTAAAGTGCTAATAGACGAGTGCAGATGCCAGGTCTCTTCCAGTCAGATCTTGGAATTGCTGCAAACACAGTGGGGGGGTTTTTTTTTTTTTTTTGGGGGGGGGGGGGGGGGCTGTGAACTTTAGCTTCGTACGATGATGGATTTCAAGGGGCGATGGGATCTGTGTTTTCGTAGCTTAACATGATCTATTGCTGAACCAATTTCCCAACAATTTGACACAGTTGAAATTATGCTGAAGCGAAGGTCTCATCTCCTGCTTGAGTGTGCTACGTGTAGCAGTGCTACTGCACCTACTTGAATCCTCAATGCAAACGAATCCTAGTGTGTTGTCCAATACACACATGCTGAAACTATTCGATGCACCCTGCAGCTGCATGCATCTCCGCAGGGGGCGCAGCCCCCTCCCGTCCCTCATTGACCAATCTAACGCCCAATGTCCAATGCACTGATGCCCGGCTTATGTAGTAAAGAGCTGTGGCTGGCCACTGGGGTGCCACCAGGAGGTCAGCTGTCCATTTTGGTGCAACAGCGAGTTATTCCTCCCTCTATGGCCATCGCTTTCTACGGCCGTTGGGCTTCAAACCTGACAATCATACTGGAACCTATGACCTACCACTTTAGCAATGCCTTGTGCGGCTGAGCACCGGGTGGCTTGTCAGGGCATAAAATTTTGAACAAATCAGGTAGCAGATAAATCCAGCCTTGCAAAGTACCAATCTGCCTTGTTCCGAAGGAGGAGGAACCCGAAAGCCACGAACATGTCCGAGATCATCATAGACTTGGTCAGCTTCCACTTAAACTCTCACTATTTCCTAAACCAACTCGGCAATTTCATGTCTTAGTCGTCAAAATATGGATGAAGCCATTGGTTCCGCCAAGCCAATGGATTCCATGTGGACAAAATGGCTTCCATGGTCACGACGACGCCTACCGCCTGATGAAGAAGAAGCAGTTATTGAGATGACTGGTTTGTGACAAGGCTGTTCAAGGAGTGTTCGAGTAAAGCCGAAAGGTACTAACGAGAGGCTTGCCTAGATTCAAAATACACCGATCTCAAAGGCAGGTTCCGGCATGCTATAACGGATTGGCATTCTGATTCAGGCGTTTGCATCGAGTTTGAATTTTATTGGAGTCTTCTAGAATCATATTCTGATCTAATCTTGTCTGGATTCTTGTGCCAAGACTTCAAACAGTCGGACAATGCTATTAAGCTCGATGGATCAAGGGTGGAATTTCTAGAGCTACTCGTGGTACTTGTAGAGGCTCTTGTCTCTTCGACACAAGGACTTACGCTAGAATCTCTCCGGGTGGATTTACTGCCACGGAGCCAGCTTTTGAGATCGTTACGCGATGATTTCAGAGCCTACACGATGCTGTTCTGTGTCATTGGATGGCTTTCTATGATATATACACCGTCTCTTCAAGAGAGTAATGAATCTATTCTTGCTATAGAGGCAGTGGACTCCACGGGGCGCTCACTGCAGACCAAAGTATACCAACAAAGACAAATAAACCTGAGAGGCGGGAAGACCGCGAAGCAACCATTTCACAACATACTCGCCCCTTGCGGTATCTTAGCTCCTCGGCCTCGTCCACAGCCACCACCTCCTAATCGACAACAAGGTGTGTTTCTGGAGCAGATTATGGTCAGCTACTTGAGATATCAGACATTACATGATGTTGCCGGTGTCAAACTTGTATTTGTTGACTGCATCAGTCTTCATTTAGATTTCGACGAGAAGTCCCGTGAGTTACGCATATTTCGATTCCCATCGTTATGCAAACTATTGTGTCATTCAAGAGAGGTGCTTGGACAGGATGATCAGGCATCATTCCCGCGTTTCCTTTCAAGGTGTGCAATACTGATACATCTGCCTACTTCCCTTGCGGGCTAGCGAAAGCTAATAGACCAGTACAGATGGCTATATTATGATCCCCGACCCTCGGCATCCCAGACCTCTCAAATTGGTTTTGAGACAGGACATTCTCAAGCATCTGACATGTATCGCGAGGTGCTTCTTTCTTATAGGCTCATCTTTGGACAGGATAAAAAATCGTGGAAGGCCTGGAGAAACTTCTACAAAGCACAGAACGTTCCTCCGGGTATTGAGGATCCTCTCTTGCGGAGACTGTGTGGGCAAGACTGCCGCTACGAAACAACTTACGAGGAGATCAAAGCACCGGATGTAGCAGCGCAATACTCGGCATCAGAAGATTTTCCATTTTGGGGAGCACGCCTATTAAAGATCCAACAATTTGTGGTCAACAAGAATCCGAGTGACTGGAAGACGCTGTGGAATGACCGCCGGGACGTTTGTGAGTCGACTTACTCATCTAAAAATGACTCGTGAGTCACGAGACTGACAAATGACAGTGCGCTTCTATACTTTCTGGGCAGTTGTGGTGGTTGGGGTCATGTCACTCACCCTTAGCGTTATACAAAGCATTGAAGGTGGTATACAAGTGGCATATGCTATCAAAGCATACAATGGGCAAGGCAAACAAGGGGCTTAAGCATTAGAGAGCAAGAAGACATGTCTCTCTAGTTTTTGCCAGTTGTGCACGGCGGTTTGGGAAGCGTGGCTTTATGACGCTCATGTTTTGTAGTGCTTTATCAAGACATCCATGAAGCTGGTAGGGTTCCGAAGCTTGCTTCCTGAGAGCTCCCGTCCTGTTACATAGGCCAGATAAGTTACAGTACCGGGAATTCTGAAGTAGGGTAGACTCATAAATATACTACTACATTTGTTTTAGCCTAAAGCATTTATTATCTTTTTTATATTGAATATTGTATAAAATTAACTAGTTAAAATAATAATAATAATAATAATAATAATAATAATAATAATAATAATAATAATAATAATAATAATAATAATAATAATAATAATAATAATAATAATAATAATAATAATAATAATAATAATAATAATAATAATAATAATAATAATAATAATAATAATAATAATAATAATAATAACACACATTGCGTCTATTGCACTATACCCCACTCTAACTTAGTACCTTAATTAAGATAGCGCCCAACTTCCCCAGTGCCGATCTTTCTAATAACCAAGAATCGAGCGCTCCAAGGACCATGTTGCCTCCGCCATATACGGCCTACAGTATTTTGCGTCGCGCCATATTCATCTTACTCCTTATGTGCTCTATGGCGCATTTCTTCCGACTGGTCTGGCCATTCTCGTGGCCCCCGGGGACCCCACGGCGATCGATTGATCTGTTGACTGCAACCGCGGAAGATCTTCAACAGCTCTTGAAGGCTGGCGAGCTCACGAGCGTTGAATTGGTTGATAGATGCTTCGCTCAGATTGATAGGCATGACAATTATCTTAGGGCCGTTCTACAGAGAAATCCACAAGCCAGGACAGTAGCGGCCACCCTGGACCTTGAACGCAGGAATGGCCACCTACGTGGGCCCCTTCATGGGATCCCCATCCTCATCAAGGTTTTTTTCACCTTCACTTAATACTCGATCTACATGTGTATGGCAAGAATAACCAGCTCTTAGGACAATATCGCAACCCACCCAAGCCTGGGAATGAACACGACGGGGGGCAGTCTTGCCTTGCTTACATCGCGACCGTCAAAGAGCGCTGAGATTATAGAAAGAGTGAGTCGTTGGACACACCTTCTCCTCTCCATTGCGGCACATTTACACCTCTAGCGTGTCTTGTTTTCTTTTCTGGCCTTTCACGTCATCAAATGCAGTCGGCAATTAAGCATTTCTAGCCCTATGACTATTAGTTCCGAACCATTTGTGTTCCTGTCTAACCTCACGGCGAGAAAATCCTAACAAAATGCAGATTCTGGGAGCAGGGATGATTATCATAGGGAAAACACAGTTATCAGTGAGTACTTGCTTGAACTGGCTATATTTACCGTATCTAATATACAGATCACCAGGAACTCGCTGGGTTCAAGTACGCAACTGACACGGCTTCGTCCAGCTTCGTCTAACTACTTATCCCTTCTCCGTGCACTGACTAATGCTTCCTTGCAGAGGCTCAAATATCATGCCTGGATGGTCGGCTTTAGGCGGTCAAGCGCAATCTGCATACACTACCGGTGCTGTAGATTTGACCGACCGTGTCCTTGGGCACTCGGTGAGTAGCGGAAAATGAATACTCATTAGCCGAGATGATATGTGTCAAGAAGATGGCAGACTTGACGTCCTAAAGTACTTACTAACGCTGGCAAACATCTATAGTCACCCTCTGGCTCATCAACAGGCTCTGCCGTTGGCGTCAGCGCAGGGTATTCCCCCTTGGCGATAGGAACGGACACTGGAGGGTCTTTGATCACACCGAGCACCCGAGCAGCATTATATACTCTCCGGCCAACGATGAACCTGGTCCCACAGGATGGCTTGATACCTCTGTCCCATTCATTCGATACTGTGGGACCGATGGCAAAATCGCCTGCTGATCTGGCAAACCTTTTGGATGTCTTGACCACTCCAAAGGGAAGCGAAAAGAGGAAGTTTTATTCTCAAATAACAGCTGGTGACTTTAGAGATTTCAAAATTGGGTTTCTCTCTCCAGAAACATGGTTTTTTGACTCTGATCTACAGCGCCCAGTGCCAGAAGCCACGGCGCAGATAGTAAGATGAACGAACCCTGGAATTCTTTACAGAGTCACTAAACAAACCTTTCCAGAAAAAAGACACTCAGGCTGCTTACGCAAAGCTAGCGCTTACGGCAAAGTCCTTCAAAGAAGTAGAACTTGTATCCATCGATGCATTCGAAGTGAATGGGCGGCATAGTTTCTACGACATTCAAGGTTAACAGCCTCTTGCTCGACTGCCACTGAAATATGATCTAACTTCTTCAGCGGCTCGGTTTAAACCCACATTTGAGGCTTACCTTGGAACCCTCGAAGATTCCCAAGTACGGAGCCTGGATGAACTCATTAGGTTCAACCAGAACCATGCAGAAAAAGAGCTTCCACCAGGCAAGTCGCCATTCATCACACAAGTCCTTAGTTTCCCGCTAACCCTACTCAGACTACGACAACCAAGACCAACTCCAGAACGCCGCCACAATGACAATGTCCGATCAAGAGCATGATTTTCTTCTAAGACATGCGCGCAAAGTTGGCCGAGACATTGGCATTGACAAGACACTCAAAGAATATGACGTAGATCTAGTCATTGCGCCAGCTGACTCTCCCGTAAACCTGTTGGTGTCGGCTGCTGGTATGGTTCCATGACACCTAAGTTGCTCGTAGGCATTTTTTAACCATCGACAGGCTACCCCTCCGCAACGATGCCATTGTCATACCTCAAGTACAACGGCCGGCCCATTGGTTTGGTTGCATTTACGACTGCCGGGGGTGAAGAAATGCTGTTAAACTTCCTGCGTGCGTACGAGAATACCTTCCCAAAACGATGCCCCCCTAGTCGCCTCTAAATCAAGACGTTATACAATAAGAAGCAGTAAGGAAAGCACACAGGGTCCACAGGAGACCTAGCAGATAATAGGTTCAATTGTGGTTGGATTAGAGCAGGATAGCCCTTGTCGCGTGGGCTATAGGCCTTTGAAGAATGAGCTCTCAAATTATGCACCGCATGAATATCACCATGAAGTACCCATAGGTCTTCATAAGAATGTTTGTCCAATTAAGATCAAAAGAGGAGAATTGTCTGAACGCAGGCTAAAAAAAGCCTAGCAACGTGTACAATTCACCTTCTGTCATCACTAGGCACACTTCAGTTTGATCAGAATTTGTAATTCAGAAAAATACAAAAGTCAATAGGCCGTCAGGTCCTCCTGACCCACGTCACCGCAATAAGGTAGCAGAGCCAGTGTCTTGATCAAATTGATAAGACAATCAGGTAGACATATACACACGCACGTACACGCATCGAGAGAAAGCATCAAGGCTACTTGGAGTGAAATACGTCATTTGCCCAGACAGACCTCGTGGCTCAGTAAGCTATAAGCCAAGTCAAGAAACTAGTTTGAAAAGGATGAATGTAGGAAACCAGCTAACCCTAGGTAGTTCTGTGCGGTTGGCACAGAATCTATCCGCCAATCCCATTACCGATATATCACACACACTAGCTTATCATATTGGTCTTCTTCAGAAGAGTTTTCTTCTTTTGTTATACCAAATTTTCCCTCCAAGCTCTCCTTCAAGTGGCTTGCTCGTGATAGTAAGTTTTCGATTTTTGACAAGTATTCCGTAGTTTTCTCTAATCCACATAACTCGGCTAGTTTTCGCAACACTCTTGCTTCTTCTCCTCCAGAACCTTGCTGTACAGCTTGACGTTGCGCATCCTCGAGTTGCTGCCTTTTTTGGGGGGAGAGGGGAAGAAGATGTTAGCAGACTTATTGGCGTTTGGTAGAATTGCATCTTACTTTGCAGTTTTCAGGTCTCCAAGTTTCATATTGACACATGCTCGCTTGTAGAGGAAGCTAGCCATGAATATGTCATGTTTGTTTTCTTCTCTCTGCATCTCCTGACCAGTCACGTAGCACCTTTCCGCCTCTTGTAGGTTCTCTCTTTTCATTGCAAGATTACCAAGTTCGAAATAAACACTATTTGGTCATCGTGCTCAATCAGCAAGTACGCGCTAGGTCTAGGAACACCCTGACGCGCGGGGTCCGTTTCTGAATCTTTAACTTACTGTTGCATATACTGGCCGTTTTCGCCATGTTCTCTACGAACAATCTCTCGCGCGTTGTTGAACCTCACTTCGGCATCCTTGAGATCTCCCATTCGGCAAAGTAGACGGCCAATAGCAAGGTTTACGAAAGCGAGAGCAATATTCTCGGGGAGGTGAAATTGCTTACGAGTATCTTCCACCTGAAGAAGAAGCTGGAGAGCCTTTTCGTCGTCTCTGTTCGAGGCTAGTAAATTTGCTTGGTTGGAGAGAATTCCAACAAATTCCTCAGAATTCTCCTCCCTGTGAGGCTTCATAGCAGACAAAACCACATCGGAATGAGCAAAGGCATTTCTCAAGTCGTTTTTCAGCCATGCCGTAACGAGGAGCGAATTGTGAAGATGCGCGTAGAGATATGTGGTCGGGTCAATGGCCTTTAAGACAATCTCACTAATGCGCTGGACCTCGGAATGTTGTCCGGTTTCGACTAAATACCTAATCAAGGCTTAGTTCTTCTGCCAAACCCGTGTTATTTGAGATGGAATATACCAAATGCAGTTGGAGAGTAGTTCTGAAAACTTTTGAGAGGGATGCAGCTTCCTATTTGACGTTAGAGAATCTGCATACATGTTGGCGAGCCAGACGCCATGCTGGATGAACATGTGACACTTGTCCCAGTAGCGATGGAGCGGGCGACCTTCCACTTGTTTCGGGAAAGCATGGTGAACCAAAGTCACCGCGAGGTCAAAGAACTTTTGGGCTGTCTCGTCAGTCAAATCGTTAAGAAATGCACTTTGGACTAGGCGGTGTATAGAAACGCCTGTGAAGCCGGGATTCGAATTGATCAGCCCTTGATCCCGAAGCGAACCCATTGCAACTTCGTATCTAACAAGGGTTGACGCGGTCAGACCTGAAAACTACAAAGGGGGTTTGGAAGTAACTCAACTTCTCAGAGTCTTCGCAGAAGTTAGGAGCATCATGAAGACTTTCGCTTATGAATAATTCCCGAGGAATTGAATCCGGAGAACAGAATGACAGAATTCCAAGCAAGCTGAAGCTATAAATTTGCCCCCTTCTCTCCTCCTTCTCCAGGACTTTGAAGGATTCATTCCATATCGTTTCCATTGTCAGATCGTAATCAGCTAGCTCGCCTTTGGCCGATCCCAGTTCACCTTTACGGTAGCGTTTGAGGAAAGTTTGGATAGACTGGCTCTGAGAAGCGATTCGTGTGGCTATTGTACATATGCCGATCGCTAAGCCATCCACCTTTCTGAGTAACATCTCGGCAGCTTTTAGTTCTTCTGGGCTGTCTTTGATGTGGTGGTAGTCAGGACCCAAGGATTTCGAAAAGAGTTCCTTCGAGTCAGCAAGAGTGAATTTGGCGAGATTCAAGATCCCTCCCCTTAACCTAAAGAATGCTAATTCTTTGGGATATCTGGTCGTTATCAACATCGACGCTGACTTTGAGTTCCATGATAGATCCTTGAGATGTTGCGCAACAGACACGAATGTCTCAACGTTGTCCCAGATGATAAGCCAACGGCCACCTTGTGACGAATTAACCATCAGCCTGAGCCCAAAGAAGTGGTTAATCCTCCAAGTAGCAACTTACTGTTGAGTTTAAGAAAGTCCAGTATAAGCTGCCGATTTTCTTCCGAATTGCTACGCGCACCTGGCAGTCGAAGCTCAGTGGCAATCTCAGTGAAACTTTGGCTGAGTGAAAGAGCTGTCTGTGCTTTTACCCAGAGTATAACATCAAATTGGCGGGCGTATTTCTTTGCGTAGGCCATGGCTAGTTTGGACTTTCCGACACCTGCAAGACCGCAAATGGTGAACAATTTGTCACTCTTGTCAACTTGCGAACCCAAGGCTGCATTTATCTTTTCGAGTTCGACTTGCCGGCCATAAAAATCAACGTCGCTGTAGTATGGTGCTTCCCCACAAGGCAATGATAGGTCTTTGGGCAGTAATGACCGGAGCGGCACGTCACTTGGGACCACTGAGGGGTTTGGTCCGGACTCCGGCATACTAGTAGCACACACTTTCAAGTGGTCGAACGTGTCGTTTACTTTTTTGATCTCTCGTTCATAATCATATGAGGTGCCCTGCTCGTCCTTTCCTGTAAAACCCGTTAGTCGTCGGGTCTTGTGATTTAGACAAGACATACCATTAGGATACGCCCGCATAAAGCTGACCGTGTCTGCCCAAAATAGAATCAGAGCAATAAAGGCATCATTCAAGATCAGCTTCAAGTCTTCATCAAACCGGGTATTCTGATGAGCTCGCTTGCATTCCTCTAAAGACCTGGTGACTTTCTCTAGCATCTCGATAACATCTTCCTTCAATTTGTTGTTGTTCATCTCAGTCATCTGTCTCAAATGTTGGTTAGTGCAACAATCTCGGCCGCTTGTTGTAGGCTTGTCAGCTCACATCAAAGCTCACATCGACGAGGAGATAGACTAGACCCCAGAAGATGGAGGATTTCAAGGTTCTGGGAGACATCGTAACCACGAAAAAGGTGAGAAACGACTTCATCGTCCGAATGGGACGCCGGATCCGAAAGAGATTATGCTTGTCAAGAGGTCCCCCTTTGATATCTTCCAAAAGAAGGTCCGGCGTGGAAAAGCTTTGCAGCTTTGTAAAGTCCTCTTTACTTAGGGTTTTTTCGCATTGGGCGATGGCAATGGCCCAGCCAGCGACAATATCGTCGGAGTCCTCATCCCTGATTGGATTCGGTTTCTTTAGAATGGATTTCCCAACGACTCTATGATGATGGAGGGGAAGGACATACTGGCTCTCGTCAATGGAAACATCTGGCGTATAACCCAACGTTGCGGTAGTAATGCTGTCAGAAATGCTTAAAGTTTCCATTCTATCCATTACGCAAATAGTAACTGCAATTGTCAGAGGCTATTTGAACTAGAGAACCAGCGAGAACGAAATGTATTTGTATGTTGGGTGGCGGCAGGTGAGGAGGGCTAGGAAAGCCCTACTAATGACTCGAGGGCTTTCAGCACTTTCGAGTTGGACGGCCCTCACAAGCAGAACTAGTAACACCCGGGGTGTAACAACCGCTAGATACATACACTCCTTCTGAACACCTAAAGCGGCGTGCTCAGGTGAGCATTACGCGAGCGAGCTCTGCAAGTTTGTTATATTGTAATGCCATCTACCATTAAAGCAGCAACGATTTCATTTCGGCCACCTTCAAAATCGCACTATTAAACCAAACGAAGAAATTTTGAACGGATGACTATTTCTTTAATGCTGAGGAGATATTGAAACGCAATAAAACCCTGATTTTATTGCAATTTATGACTTGACAATACCCTGCGCCTTCTAATGGTGCCTGTTTGTTTTAGTGGTATCTTCAATCAGATCAGAACCTCATTTATTTACATGCATGTAAGAAATACGTCCACGCGCATATTTTAAAATTCTCATTGTCCGGATAGATTCCTAGGCAACCGTGTTTCAATTCGCTTTCTACTATACGGCTAACCTCATGTAATTAAACCCAATACAGTTAAACATACGATTCCGAGATCAGTGATTAGCCAGCATCGAACACACTTGAAGAAACAAAAGAAAAAGCTAAAGAGTCGTCCAAGTTCAGCTAAGTCAATCCGACGTGTGGCTACCCGATTACATCTACCCTTTGCAAAATCCGAGGCCTATTCGACCCCCCCTCATGCAGTATTGTTGATCAGTTTATCGCTGTTCTCCAACTGGCTTTATTGGTTGGAGACGCAAATGAGCAATGGCTTATGGGCAACAACTGGACAGTGGCTTACCTCTCCACCACGTATCGCGCATTCCGGCCTTGGGCTTTGGCGAAAACGCAAGGCTGCGGCCTGCATTATTGGCAACCTATTCCTTTACGGTGACCAATTGACGTCTAGATAGGGTAGTATCTATTGATCTTGGCTCCACCACCACCGTGGTAGCCCCTCACGGGCTGAGCAAAGGCTGATTTCGTTTTCGTAAGGAATTGGCTATTATCAGGAGCTTGCTGACCGTGTGGTTACACGATGTTGGCCATGACGATTTATCACCGAAATAGGTTTAATATCCATCAGCGAAGGATATTGATGGTCAGACGCTTATGAACGGTTAGAAAGATATGAGCTTTTAGGAGGGCAACCAATCGAGAGCGAAGTAGCAATTTAGGCCAATTTATACCAAGCTTCGAACGCTCTATTTCGGCTGATGTTACCAAGAAGTGAAAGCGGCCGTGTTAGCCGTACTTATAGTGCAGATCCCGGTTGAAATTGGTCTAAACTGCGGTTCAGCCTGCATGCAACCAATTCCCTTTTCGGCTGCCCGAAGACTTGCAGCACGCATAATGCCTTTCCCAGTACTACTACGTGGTACCAATAACAATACAGTCAACCGCTACTCGGGTACTGCATCTTGCCGTGTCTCTGCCGCTGTTGATAGAGAAAAGTAGTGCGATTGGTTGATCGGATACGTATAGACCGAGTTCCGCGGGTGACTTACTCTATTATTCGATCAAAGGCAAGCCCCTCTCCCTTTTTTTTAAACTTCTGAGATTCCAGCTTACAAAACAAGTAATCCAGCTACGTTTCGATAGCTTTCAGTTCACACAGGGCGTGCTACAACAGCAGGAATATATCCTTGTCGCCTCTGCTTTGGCCATCTAGACATCACGATTTCAGGACCATTACCGTCCAGCGAAAGTCAGTAATGCACCTCAGTGTGAGCATGTAAAATAAATGCACTACTAGTAGGCAAATCTAGGCAGGGATACCATGTACATTACATGGCGCGATCCTTGCTATTCAGCTCTATATTGTGCTAGATATGGAAGCCAAGATTCAGTTGAATGCCTATTTGTTATGAGGGTCGAGTAGACCATTCTAATTTGGCAAACCGTTTGCCTTGCGTATGCGGGTGCATTCAGCTCGGATGTCTCAGGCTGAGGATGAGCTATCGCTCGATGTATTGTGCGGATGGAAGCTGCGAATTAATCGCCTCACCGAAGCCTCGTTCTATTGGACAAGATAATTTTGACAATGGCAGTGCTAAGAATATCTCGCCGCATTTCATTTCATGTCTTTGGAGCATATGATAATGGTTCCTGTACTCCGTAACAGTGCTCAAAATAAATTTCACATACATATACCTGCTCTCCGACGCTCAGATCTGTGTCAGATAACATTCAACGCGCATTATTAGAGAATTCTCAGCTTTATTTGTTTCATATCAATACCTCAATTTGATCGTTGCATCATTCGTCATGGCAGAGGCGAGCTCTTTAATGGGCACACGCCCTGTTCACATTTACGCTCCACCGAGCTTGACCAGTTGCATCGACATTGTGAATCGAGCCACCGCGCCTTATCACAATGAAAGGCCAACACGTGGAGCTATAATCTCATTTGATTTCAAGTATCCTTCAAGTATATTCTTTGTCGAAAAAGAGACCGAACCGAAATTCGATCTGAACTTTACGATTCAAATCGAAGATGAGTATCACGGGCCTGTGGAGATCCAAGCTGTGGAAGTCAATCACTTCAACCTTGACAACAACATCGCCGAACTACTGAACGAGTCAAAAAAATTTCCGACGTTCGAAATTGAACGTTTGCCAGAAAATAGAGTCAGAGCTCAGATTCACTCGCTTGATGATTATTGTAATTGGGGAGACAATAACGTCCGATTCGTGGTGCTTTCAAACGTCTATCCATCAAACATCGACGTCTCGATATCGTTGCTTACTAGAGATGGAACTCATCAGCTCAGGGGGGCTTTTACCGGTGCTAGTCGCCCTTATATGGCCTCATGGCCCAACGAAGAAAAGCTTCACGAACTATTATCTTGGTCAGCAGGGCTCGGATATGTCGAATTGTTCAAAGCATATCTCGATCAAGCACCACTTGGACTTGAAAAGGAAGATGCATTTGGGATGACACCGTTCTCTTGGGCAGCCCAAAGTGGTTGCGCTTCAGTAGTCCGTGTGGCACTGCAACAAGCTGGCTCTATTTATGCCAGGAGAAGCACTGCTCGAGGTCCTGCCCCTCTCGAAGCTGCAGCGCGGAGCAAGAATAAAGACATTTTTGAGTCATTCCTCAAATGGCTCAAATATCTTGAAAGTCCGGTAGCAATAGATAAGCCACCTGAGCCAAACGAGATTCCCGAACACGGCTCCAGCCTCGCTGATGACGATATCGAAGGAGAGATTCATTCAGCGATCCGCAATAAACAAACGTTTACTACTCAAAGACTGGTTGAAATACTCTACAAACTTCAAGGTGGACGTGATGAAAAAAAATGGCTAGCCAATAGAATCGTCGAGGCGGCGGAGAAGGGAGACCTCTATTTGGTTCAAGCATTGAGATCTTGCGGCGCGGAAGTTAACTGCGAGAATGAGGGTAGTGTTACACCACTTATGGGCGCTATCAACAACAAAAACAACACAAAAGTTGCTGAGTATCTTATTCTTCAAGGTGCTGAAGATGACGATGATTCTTCTGCCTTGAAAAGAGCTGTGAAAACTGGCCAACACCGTACGATTCGAGCATTATTGCAGGTCAAAATACAGATGGAAGAGGGCTTAAAAAAAAGATTACAAGACATTGCAAGCAAAAAACAAGACTCAACAACTCTCATGCTACTCCGGCTGGAGAAGGGAACCGAAAAGTTAGCGGCGCCCAAAGACTTGGACCAAGAAGTCGACAAGCTTTTTGGAGCAACAGTGGTGGAATTTTCCGAACACCAAAGCCCCAAATTTACGGAACTTACTGTAAATGCATTGTTGCAGGAATCGGAGGACTTGTTCGATTTAAACGACAAATCCAACTTTAAATGGTTTCATTTGCCGGCAAATAATGTAAGTGATGACATCGCCCTTCCTACGGCCTAGTATCAAATGAAAATGCATATTTTACTGATTACTCACAACAGATGAAGTGGGTTGAGGTAAGCCAATTATATTAATGAATAAGAAAAGAGATATGATCATTGATTGTCAAATCAATAGGCTTTGATGGGTAAAATCTATTACGAAGATCCATCGTTAGCTTATAAAGTCCTAGACCCGAAGAGATGGATAAAGAGACAACATGAAGGAGCCAATGGCTCTTCGCATGCCCGCTTTATGATGTCAGCATGTCACGATTTCCAAGAAGCTTTTGCTAATAAAAAGAGTGGGAATTTACCTTTTAATTCTACTTGTTGTTCAGAAAATTATTTTTGCTAACCTTTATTACAGAAAATGCAGGCGAAAAGGAGGACAGACACGTAGTTCTCTTTGTTAGTACCATGGACGATTGGGTGTGCTAATATCAGCGTAATCGCTAACTGTGAATGGAAAATAGATGCCATATCTACATTGGGATGATGAGGTGGCAATGCAAAAAAGATCAGAATTACTCGAGCCACCTCCTAAAACCTCAACTTCCAAGACCGCTGCAAATGTACCGTCCACCAGCTCTACGACCCCGCCACTACCAACTACTGAGACACAGAATGAGCCTCATGAATCGATTTTGCGGAGGGAAAGCATGCTCATAGAAAAATATTTGTTGTCTGAACTCGACCACGATAAAAATTCTCGCCACCTTCTCCATGTTCGGCGGACGTTGGATCAGTCTCTATATCATAATCTGAAGGACACAAAAATTCGAGACGCTGATCAAACGGTTCGTCGGTATCAAAAGATACTAAACAAAGACAAAAACCCCGACGAGGTGGTCCCGTTCACAGTCATAATGGTAGATCAGCTTTGGCTGTGGATTCTTCTTGGCCCATCAGGAAAAGCGCAGGCAGTCGTAACATGCTTTCCATCCAGAGATTGGCTCGACGTTAATGCGTCAAGCAGCAAAATACTTGACCCACAGCGAACTACCGACGTTTTACAGACCACAAAATCCTATATTCAACAGAGGCCTGACGCTGTTAAAACACCATATGATCTTGCAGGGGTTATTGCCAGCAGATGTTCAAGAGCGCTTCTGGATCACTCAACCGATATGCTTGACTTCACAGAAGTTTATGAAAACTCTATCAGTTACATTGTACGTTATACTCTGGAGTTTCTCTACCATGGTGCTGAAAGACGCCCACTAACGACATGGCCATTTCGGAGTAGATGAATGAAGAAGTCGTGCTTTTCAATACTTTTAATTACCTAATGCAAACCCGAACAGGAGCAATAGAAGAACATCAAGCAGGGAATCAACTAAAAAAAAACGCTAGTCAATCAAAAATTGACTCTCGTTTAGCGATGGAAATTATAAAGAAAATAGACACTCTGAGCTCTAACCCCGAAATCATCGAGGAGATGAAAGAGTGCTGTCGAGAATATCGCAAATACGCCCGACTTACCGAAATCCCCAATGAAAATGAAATCAAAGGATTAAAGGAAAAATTGGCTAACGACGAGGCGCGCCTTACCAGGCTTCTTGCAAAATTCGGTCGGTTTTTTGTGCTTGACATCACCAGAGAGATCTTTCTCCTCAGGCAGATCAAAGATATCCAAGATGAATTAGGAATGATGGGTAAGGTCTTTGCTGAACAAAAGGAAGTGATTGAAGCTATGGATCGAATCATTCGCGCCATGATTCGGCCTAAACTGGATCCAAACGACAATAGGAAGACCAGACCTCCGAACACTGAAATCAACCCGAGAAGAAGTCTTATCAACCTCAACCCGCAAAGAGAGCGTAATGATAGCATTCATAACTTTTTCTTTCAATACAGACAGTCAAATACAGATGGGTCGGATCTAATCGACGAGTCTAGCAGCATTGACGAAGATGAAGACTCAATCGCATATGGGCCACTGGGGCATCCTTCTAGGGACGCTCAGAAGAAAGAAGACTTCATGAAACAGGCTCAAAGTATCATTTGGCACGTTCGTCACCAGAAGCATAACCTACCGCTTCGTACTGTCGATAGATTTGCGAACCTTGTTGAGAAAATGAATGAGCGAGCAAAAAACGCCAACAAGGCAGTAAGTCAACTTTCTTTTTCTTTACACCATCTGTTTCTGAATGTTATTTCATTCCAAATGCGAGATCAATCCATTGATATCATAACTAAACTTACATTTTATACGAAGAAAGAAAAATGAAAAAAGCATATACGCTAACGAGATAATATATCTAGTTGACGAATCTAGTTGATCTAAAACAGAAACAGAGTAACATGATTGACACCCGAACTACTCGTCTCCAAGCCGAAGAATCTCACAAAATGGCATTGGAGTCTGAAAAACAAAGTAGAACACTTATGGTATTCACATTTGTCACAATCTTCTTCGTAAGTCTAATAAATTATGATAGCAAGCAGTTCACTGCCACATATTGACATACTGACGCTGCCTCTCAGTTGCCTTTATCATTCATCGCTGCTTTCTTTGCCATTCCCGTCGAAGAATTCAACAATATAACATTGGACTTCGTATCAATGATAACGTGTAAGCAATATAGTCATTTAATATTCAAGCTAGAACTACTTTTTTTTTTTTTTTTTTTTTTTTTTTTTTTTTTTTTTTGGTGCTTTTATCTTCTTTCTGTTCTTCATTCTACACAATTTACATTTTGAATGACACGAAACTAGCAGACTAATGATCTCTCACATTGCTAGTCCCGGTGTCAATAGCTATATCGCTCTTAATTATCGTCATTGGATTTGCGGCTTCTGAATGGGAATGGGTCAGAGAAAATGTGAAGCCTAAAGTCTCAAAGTGGCTGGGAAAAGGTTCAAAGTCAACTGATGGGGACGAGCGAAACTCAAATCAGAATGACTCTAGCATACAAAAGAGCGATGGAACATTAAGTCACATAGTGGACCTGATTCGGAAGTTGAATGATTCGCCATTTAAATCACCGGTTTGAATGGCGAAAGCAATCAGTAAATATGACAGCCACCTATCTATAGAGCGTTTCATGAGTACTTGCATGCGTATATACACCTGGCTTATCACTTTCATAAATGTGTAATAATACAAGTTATAATAGATAAGATCACTTTCTTAAGAAGACATCTTCCACAATATAGGTTGCAAATGCATCTTTTGCATATTTGTTTTTGAGTGAGCAATCCGACACTAGTATATTCAAGATCCTTCTATGTCATGTAACCAGGAATTACAGGATTCTATGTGTAGACTCATGTATAATACCCGTATACTACACGTCTCTTGCTTCCCTCCGCATCTGCCAAAGTGATGCAGGTTCAACAACCTGTAAAGGCAGCCTCAAATAATAAATGGCATCTCCATGAGATCCAACAGTCTCTCCAATATGCTCGTTTCTCACATCAAGTCTGCAAGACGGAAATGTCGACGCAACGTCCTGCCACGACTCAACTATACGAGGGCTCATCACCATGTCCCATGTGCCGCGCCATGTGATGGACGGATAGTCATTCTCATCCACACAATACATAAACGCACAGGCATGGTCTTTTCCGCCATTCCAGAGCACAAGCGTTCGCATCTTGGGCATTTGCCGCACAAGCTCTCCAGCCCGACAAAGCAAAGCTTCAATCGCCCCGCGCTTTCCGACATCACTTTGCAGTATCAGTGATGTGAGCGACAGAGTCTGAAGGTTTGGCCAGATCCAAGTCGGCTGGCAATTCGTAAACATTTGCTCAGCATCGACCATGAAGGAAACGGCAAGATGGTGCAGCTCCAAGCTTTTGTGGGCAAAGGCCTCGTCGTATCTGTCGTGGTGGCCCAGGCGTTGTCTTTGGCCGTCAAATGACGATAATGCATTGTAGAGCTCGGTTGACTCTTGGAACATGACCACTCGTTGGACAGATTTAGGCAGGCTACTCTGAATGACCCAAGAGAGATCTATCCTCAAAAAGTTAGCAAATGAAAAATTAAGTGAATTTCACGATTTCCCGCCGCAGGGTATTGAAAACATACATTGGTCGTCGTGTTCTGTCCAACGGGCTTTCGAATACCACGGCTCATAGACGATATTCTCAAGACAAGGCAGCTTTTGGAACAGCTCGGGCAAAGAAAAAGAGACAATGCGACGACGGAGCTGGCGGCGAATCACAAGCTGAGTGATTGCTTTCACTGTTGGCAGCGGGTTGGAGGCGAGTTGATGTTCATCCAGCCTGACAGGATACAAAAGCTGGTACATGGCTGAGCGTGCAGGAGCCTCAACCTGCGCACCGTGAAGCCAACCATGGCTTGGATCGTGATGGTGATGGTCAGCTTCGCCACGAGTTGCCAATTCTTCGTCATCGACACAGTCGGAAGAGAAGTGCAGATTCCTGAACCAATGCTCCGAGTCGCTAGGGCACACCACGTTGAGCTCCAGCGTCAATCCATTCCCCGCCTCCCAGTTGCTGAGAATCGAAAATATTCTCCGTATCGCCTTGGTCACAGTGGGCCCCAGAGTCTTCAATTGTGAGTTGCGTTTAGTGCAGCATCTTGTGCTATATCTTCGCAACTCAATGTCGAGCCAAACATGGCGAATGAGATGCCTCTTCTGCGGCGGCACCATGGACTCAAACTCGCCAAGGCGTGACGACCGGAGCTTGATCTTTTTGTAGTTTTCCTTCTCGAACACAGGCTGCCATTCTTTGCATACAGAGGCAAGGGAAGTCCAGCCAGGGGGTTTTTCGTGGATGATGGGCTCCAGGATCTTGAGACGGAGCTCAGCTGGCAGAGATGCCCACGAAGTAGGGTTGCGAGAGGTCATTTTATGGTTTGTCGTGAGAAATTCCGTAGTTGTTTTGAGCGTTAAAATGCGTTTAGACGCTACGTGTACGTGTCACATACACTTTCAAAAGAAGGCTGAGGAATTTACAATGACTTTAGTAATGAATTATTGAAAAACTACGGCTTAGATATCGTATATACCTATCAGGTATGCTCTGAAACTAAGCCTAGAGAATTACAATGACTTCAATACTAAACTATTGTACACTGCAGCTTGACAAACAGAATGATGAAGAATGAAAAAAATCTGCGAGAGACAGAGGAAGGTGATATCCTTTATATACACGACCTTTCGCGCCTCTGAACAGACTTTTTATTTACTTTTGCGCCTCAAATCTAATAAATTGTAGCCATAGTTACTTCAGTAGTATTTATAGCAGCACTGGTTTAACTTTAGATAACGGGACTGAAGTAGAATAAAGTACCATTACGCGTCAAAGGACTTTCTGTAAACGTTTTCTACTAGGAACTCTCTCTGGTCACTCCTCTGGTGAATCTTTTTCGTGCCTCTACAAAGCTTAGGGAGGCAAAGTGAAATTATCTAACACCCTATTACAAGAGAAAACGTTCCCAAGACCCCCTTAGTGAGCGATGGTATACATTGGAATGAAGTGGACGAGATCCATATCGCGGGATTTTGGGGATGTAGCTACTACTTTACTTTGTCCACGTAGGTCGATACGATACGACTATTCTCAGTATATAATTCAAACCGCAACACTAAATCAGCCATATATACATCTCTTAGATCACTTATCGTTCCTATCACGGTCACCCCTCTTCGGTGGAAAGCTTCACAAACATAATAAACTCTGGTGAGTCACAAGCGCCGAAAAGGCTCATGCCACTTTACACAAGTCTCGGACATATACCAATATCAAGATAGCTATCCACACGTACCAGCAAGCAAAATATACTTTCTTTTAATCTACTCTTATGCTCCTAAAACTCCACCAACCATGAATGATGTCAAGCAAAAGAACCCAAAAAATGAGGTATCTACACAGTACATATGTGACTCTTTCATAGCCGACTTGAATGCCGGAAGAAAAAAAAAATGATGCTTCCCCCTTTACCCTGTCCTCCAATAAATACCAATATCATCCATCATGCTTACAGATACAAGCTCTGAGCAGCCACGATATCTCTCCTAATCTTTCCTAGACTCTCCTCAAACTTCTTCGTCAGGTCGTCATTGCCCATAACCTTGGCGGCCTGAGCCATCTGTCGCAGAAGCTCCTCAAGACGGCGGAAAATACGAATAAACGAACCCTCGTAGACGTTTGCCATTTTGCTATAGAACACAGTGTTAGTTCCAAATATATTTCCAAAGATAGAGTTTGTGGTTAGATAGCATTGCTTACCAAATCTCAACAAATGGTCGTCCCTGCGCCCACGCATAAATCGTCTCCATGAGCTGCCACTTCAAGCTCTGCGCATATTGGTCCTCATTGACATCCAGCTTAGACTCCTGGCTAACCTTGGCAATCAATCGAGCCTTGGCCTGGATTTCGCGATACGGCTTCTGCAACTCTTCCTTCAATGCCTGGGTCTCAATCTTCTCGTCAAAGACAAAGCAGCTAAGAACAGCGGCAATGGTCTCAGGGGTCATCTCGTTGAAGAATCGGTCAAAGAGAAGCTCGGACAGAAGCAGCTCATGGCCTTCGGTAGAAGAAATTTCGCAGGCTACGCGGGCTTTGAGCTGAACGACCTCGGCGTCGTTAATGAATCCGAGACGACGCAGCACACGTTTTCTGGATTTGAGTTCGTCCAGCTGCGCAATGCTATGGGCCTTGGCAATCTCCTTCTTCTTCTCCTTAATCTTGTCCAGGATCTGAACCTTGACGTGGTACTGATCCCACAGTGAAGGAAGCATAGGAGACATGTGCAGGGGGTTAGTTACGAGTCTGGACTCGAGAACCTCGATTTTTCGGAGAAGCTGCTTAAAAGATTCATCCGAGATATCCATGTTCTCCAGGGGATCCAAGACAGGCACGCCGTCTGGGAATCTGCGCTGTACTTCGCTCAAAGCCTTTGCGGAGTCTTTGCGATCGTCGTCAGACTTCAGGCCTTCCTTTGGCATAAAGATTCGGATCTGGCTGATCGCTTTGATGCATGTCAGGAGGCAAGGCACGACTGCGAACATGCCATCATCGTCGGTGGAGGGCTTAAGGCCGGGTGGCATTTCTCCAGATGGCTGGCCAGGAATAATCTCCGCACTTGACTTGGAAAGGTAGAGAAGAACCTCGATGATGTGGGACTCCTGGGGCGGGTAATCAGGCTCACCGAGCTTGGGAGTCCGTCGCGGGTATTGATCAGTAATGACGCCCCAGCCAAAGTCGAGTCCGCCACCAATCTTCTCTACAGACTCCTTGGGATTGTGAATCTGCACAAGTCGGCCAGGTTGTAAGAAAGGTAGACAGTAGTTCGGGTGTTGAATGACTGCCCGCATGTCCTTTGTGTATGTGTTTAACTGTTGTCGGATCGTGTAGTAATCCTTGACGGTGGCTTCGTCTGGTATTGTCAGAGCATCCTTCTCCTGCTGCAGTGCCATCAGATCCTTTTCGAGGCTTGGGACGCTGGCTGCGTTCTGGAACTGGTGGAAACATCTCTCCAGCATGAACTCAGGAGAAATAGCCTCAATTCTGAGAAGGTTAAGAATCATGTTGTAGCCCAGGTAGAATGCAGAGTTGAGTCTATCCTGCTGGCCAGTGACAATCTGCTTGGCGGTGTCTGGCTCAAGCTTGTCGTCAATCATCATGATGACAACACCTCGGGCATCAAGACCACGACGACCAGCACGTCCGGCCATCTGAACGTATTCCGATGAGGTGATTGGTCGAATATTGACACCATCCCATTTCGTAACCTGAGTAAAGACAACTGTCTTGGCAGGCATGTTGAGACCAATAGAGAAGGTCTCAGTCGCAAATAGCACTTTAATCAGAGACTCCTGGAACAGAATTTCGATTGTCTCTTTGAGAATTGGCAGCAGACCAGAATGATGGACACCAACACCCTTCTGCAACAACGGCAGGAGGTTCTGGATCTGCGGCAGCTCTCGGTCTTGTTCTGACAAGCTCTCAATAGCGCTCTGGAAGACCTTGTTTACCATGGCCTTTTCAGAGTCGTCGTTGAAGTTGAGATTGGAAATCTTGACCGCCATGTTTTCAACCTCCCGTTTGGAGAAATTGAAGACAATGACTGGGTTAAAATTCCTCTTAATCGTCATTCGGATAATCTTGTTGATGTCGGAGCCTTCATCAGCACCGCCCTTGTTGGTTTTCTTGTTCTTTCCCTTTCCTTTCATCTTGGCGGTGAAATCGGCAGGGTCAGAGCCCTTCTTCTCTTCAACTTCGGCCATAACCAGGTTGAAGTTCTCCTCGTTGAAGTAGCCCTTTTCGTCCACCACCATTCTGGCTCCTTTTCCTCCAGCCGGGTAGAAATAGTTTTGTAGTGGAGTAGGTCTGAAATCAGTGTAAACGACGTGGCAGGCCTGGTGGTGGATCTTGGCAATCCATTCGGCAAACTGGAAGGCGTTTGGAATGGTGGCAGACAGGAAAACGTATCGGACCTTGTCGGGAAGCATGATGATTGTCTCCTCCCAAACCACACCTCGAGTTTTGTCTCGCATGTAGTGGATTTCGTCGAATACAACCCAAGCAACTTCGCGCATAATCTCGGAACCGCGATACAACATGGATCGCAAAATCTCCGTGGTCATGACCAAGCAACTTGCCGTGGGGTTGATGGTAACATCACCAGTCATCAATCCAACATCTCCGAAAATGGCCTCAAAGTCTCGGTATTTCTGGTTACTCAGGGCCTTGATCGGACTGGTGTAAATGACCCTCTGGTTGCGCTTGAGACACTGTGCGACCGCGTATTCTGCCACCACCGTCTTTCCCGCACTGGTGTGTGCCGACACCAAAACACTTTCGTCGCGCTCGATCGATGCAACAGACAAGCTCTGGAAGGGATCCAGCTTGAAGGGATATGTTCGCGCGGGCTCTTCGGGCGACTTATGCTCGGAAAGAGGAATGTACTCGTAGTTGAGATCGGGCGGAAGCGCCACCTGATGCTGGATATTGTGTGACAGAACGAGCGACGCATCCTGTGAAACAAATGTTGAGGCGCCCGCGACTTCTCTTGACTCCGCTGTCTGGAAGTTGTCGGTCATGACCGGCCCAGCCTCATCGGTCTTCTTGCGTCGCTTCTTGTCCTGGTGATCGGGCGCATCTGAATCTTCCTCGCCCTCGGACTCTTCGTCTCGAGAAACCTCGGCGGCATCAGCCATACCGACGTCGGCATCGTCGTTTGCCGCATCCGCTACCGCACCCGCGCTGCCATTCATCGCTTCGTCGGCCTTTCGCTTCTTGCTCTGGGCTCTGCTGCGGCTCTTCTGAGGCGTTCTCTCATCTTCGCTGTCGCTTGGGGCCTCCGCCTTGCCGTCGAAAACATCAAACATGTCATCCATCTTGCCGATTCTGTATCGTAAACGAAGCTATGAATAAGCAGAAGGGTATGTCGAAGTCGGGGAAAAAATCGGTATGCTTTAAAAAACCGGCGTCGATCGATCCTGGTGAGTGTGGAGCCGGTTTGCTGCAACTTGCTTGTTTATAATCGCAATGCAAAGCGTTTCACGGCAATTAAAATTTCAGGTTGATGGCAAAATCAGAATAGCAAGTCAACCAAAGAAGCCAGCCAGATTAGCCAGACATTGAAGTGAAATTCCACGTGGAAGGTATCGATCCTTCAAAATGGTACAAAAACGCAAAGATTGTTTGACGAAATATTTCCCTGAAAAGAAGTGGATTTAGAGCGGCAGAAAGAAAATCGTTCTGCTTATCAGAGAAGGCGGTGAGGAGCATCGAGATCCACGGGTACTTTGAGCCCACCGTCTGTTGCGTGCAAATTCAGGTACCTCTGTTTAATTCTCCGTACCAGGATTTTGGCAGCGGCATTACATAAGCCCATCTCGAAGCTACAGCTGCACGTGACGAGCAAGCGGCGTTTTGACCTCAATCGAACGATATTGATTCGGGAAGCTTGATACTGTGAAGAACAATCTCAACTCGCCTCAACCGCCCACGTCACACCAATCCCGACGTCCGCAAAGGTCAGCCTCGTCCAGAACTCACAGCCATCGCGGCTCAAGACTCCAGACAACTAATTGGCCCTCGCTACAGATGATTGCCCGCGCTGCCACCCGCACCACCTCCATGGTCGCCCGCCGAGGCTTCCACACCACCCGCCCTCGCATGTCCTCGCCCTACCACTATCCCGAGGGCCCCTACTCCAACCTGCCCTTCAACCCTCGCAGCAAGTACTTTGGTGCCGGCTACTGGACCTTCATGACCGTTGGCTTCTTCGCTCCCTTCGGCATTGCTGGTGAGTCGAGAGCTGCCCCGCCATGCGTCGCGATTTTCGGCTATATAATGCGGCTAACACGCAATGACAGTCTACCAGACCTACAAGACCCAGTAAATTGCTGGATCGATTTGGATCATCATTATGAGGCGGATGCTGGGCGTCGTGCTGTACGGATAGCGAGTTGCTGGGGTGGAGTAAATAGCTCGAATAGACGTGAGGCCAATCGCAGTCAAATATGTAACAAAATCTTGTCTTGTGCCAAATCTACTCTGCGACCACTCAGGGCTAAAACTGGGTTGATATTCATCGTCATAAATCGTCTTATACCATAATTGTCCCAGTCTATGAATGGTAGGGGCAGTCTATATATTTGTTACATGCCATCTAAAAGTACAACTACATGAATGCTGAGATATTTACAATCATATCGCTAGAAGCTCCTCACAACCATGACGTATCATTGCTACGCCGCTGTAGCTGGGACCCGTCGTTTCGAGTAGACCGCAGGTCTCTGTCGTGGAGAATGTTCTCAAACAGTGCGTGCATGAACTGGTGGCGGTCCGGCGGTATATCCCACCTCTGAGACATGGACTCAAACGTCCGGATGAGAGCCTCGTTGGAGCAGCATTTCTTCACCGCTCGCAAAGCCCAAATGACCACCCAGCGGTCTATGCGAAATTCCTTTGCATAGTCATCGTGAGCTTGATAAAATGCTGCCAGTATGCCTTCCAGGCGCTGTTCTGACCAGTCCGAGCCGGCAAATCCTCCATGCGTGTAAAACCCCTTGAATAGGGCCAGGAAAATGGTAGGATGAATTGATATCTTCAAATGTTTCATCTCATCCAGATATTGGGCAACTTTTTGAAGATTGCCCACTCTGATGGCATAGTGATCCACCAGCAACTTGTAGGTGTGCGAATCCGGTGTCAGACGAACGTTTGTCTGAAAGGATTTCTTCAGCTCTGGATGTTTCTTTCCGACTCGCGTAAACATCATAAGGACTTTGGTGACAACCTTGTTCATCAAGTAGTCCTTTTGAGGAATCTCCGACGCCATATGGTGATCGTTTCTCATCCGCTGATATGTCTCTTCAGCTGCCGACTCTTCGCCACACCTGAGAAGGCCTGAGATGACACAATTGAGAACAACGGTATCAATCATCTCGCCAGATTCGACCATCTCTCGGTATGCAGCTCGAATGCCACCAGAGTCAAGCTTCAATCCAAAGTAATGGATAAGACTGACATGGTGAAAACGGTTAAACTCAACTCCTCTCGTCTCCATCTCCTTGTATATCATATCAGCCAGAGTGAAATTGCCCGCCTTGGCGGCAACATCAAATAGAACGTTAAACGTCACATCGTTTCCCATAATTTTGGCGTCCCTCTCCATTTCTTTCCAGATTCTCAGCGCAGACTCCATCTCCTGGGTCGTAACCTTGGCAGTATATTTGGTCGCAAAGGCTAGAGCGTAGTTCCATTGTGAGCGGCGTAGAGTAAGCCCTGCATTCTTGACATCCGCTACCAAAGCAAAATAACGCAGCATTGACTCCATATCACGCTTATGAGGCGTCCCCATCACTCTCAAAAGTCTGTTGCGCCATTGCCACGTGAGACAGAGCATGCGTGGCTCGGGAAGCTCCGAGTATAATTTATGTATCCCATCCAGAGCGTAGCGATTGGGATGCCGCAGCCTTTGGCCAATGGCAGTTTGAAGCCGACCCAGTATTTCTTGCGTCCCGTTGTTGGTCATGGCCGTCTCGTCAGCAGAGGGATACTGCACATCGCTCTTCTTCTCGGACACTCTCAGATTTGGCCCATCGGGAGCCGCATATCCACGCCGGTACGGATCCTTGTAGAAATCGATATACTCCTCCACAGTACCCACATCAGATTGGTCGACATATAACAACATCTTTCCCTTATCCTGAGCGATGGCGGGAGGCGGTGGCTGCGGCCGCTGTCGTGAGCCTGAATCGTGAGAGGCAGCGGCCGTCCCGTAGCAGCGAGCGGTGCGTCGCGGGTTCTGTGTCGATGCGGTGCGGTGCGTATCGAGGCCTGGCACAAACGTCGACAGCAGCCATTGCGAGCTCCGCGGACAGGAGAGCGGCCGTGGCTGGCGACATGTTACCGGCGAGGCTGCTGGTCTTTTTGTGTCTTTTCGAGGCTCATGGCCAGCCACACTGCCGCGCAGACGGGCTGCGACGAGGCCGGCTGATGATCGGGTCGACAGCACCGCACCGCAGAAAGAGCCGTCCACTCGGCCGGGGAGTTTCATGAGCGGCTCCTCATGATGCCGCAGCGGATTTTGCTTGGGGTTGGAGATTGGGGTTTGAAGGCCGAAAAAAGCACTAGAATCGTGATAATTAGAGGTGGGGCAGGTTGGTGGGATGTGTTGTGAGCTCCAGCCAATGAACGGGCGGGGCGACTAATGTGTGCGTATGGGAATTTTATACAGTGCACTTATACAAGCAGGTTCTCACATATGCTGGCATGGGATTATTCAATTGAGCAGTTATTTGCCATATTGAAGAATACATAAGGGAATACAGTAAGCGACTCATAATGGATTGATCAATTTTTAACTTATCTGAAGATATTTTTATTTTATGCTCTACACTTGACAGGCAAATGTACCAGTTTCGGGGCAGCATATGAGGCTAATCAGCCATTATTAAAATAAAATTTACCAATTAAACACTATATCAAACCGCATTCTAATTTTCAGGTCCATTATTTAAAGTGTCATTATAAATTATTTGCGCGGTAGGTTCATGGGAGCAAATGGTCCCGGAAAGCATAGTCGCTAGGAGACAGAGCGATGCCCTGGTCAATAGCAATCTTTCTCTGCTGCCGGGCTATAAGTGATGCCGATGTCGATGAGGCCGGACTGGAGATACTCTATGCTGTAGGTGGTGTCACTGGTGTACTATGCCACGCGGAAGGGCTTGGTGCCGTTAGAGACAGTATCTTTAATAGGTTTTGGAAGTCAAAAAAAGGCCATGGGAAAATGGTTTCCGCGATGAGAGTGGTGACACGTACGGGCTACTATATGTGTTGTCTCAGTTCATGTTGTTTGGGGGTCTTGGCAAGGGAGCTCTGTTTGTTACAGGCGAGAGATGCGGCCTTGTCCTTGCGTAATTCTGCATTAGCCACGTTTATGCTTGGGTTGGAGCAATGTGAAGAGAGTTTAAGTCAAAAAATTAAGTGCTAGCTCTAGGTATAATCTCTATGCCTACTTGGCTCTGCAAGATCTGTCTTGTGATCCTGGGCTTCACACATCCGTGAGATTGGGTACATGTATCTACTGTGGAGATTTCATGTTGCTAGGAGTTGTAGTACTTGTAGGTAACTCCATAGATTCCACGGAGAAGGACCAGCGCTCGAGTCGGAGACGGGAATTTAGAGAAAGCCGTTGCAAATCCCGGAGTATTGTCCACTCGCTCCCGGGCTGTCCGCGTTGTTCTCTGATGCTTCTTTTCCGCTACGCCTCATTTTATGTTATGGCGTATTCAAGATTTGGCTTTCCAATTTGTTCAACACTAGCTGTCTCTTGTGAATAGCACAGCTCTGGACACGGATGTCAATTACATGACGAGAAATCAAATATTGCGTATTACTCCAGGGTAGTATTGGCGAATGCGTACAGTTTTTCTGACTACAAAATATGACTACAGTACGTAATTACTGTCTATAGTATTACAGTTCAGGGGCCTCATCATGTCGGTGAGACTCGCCTTTGCATTATTACTACAATAACCCTGCTAGGGAACCAAAAGTGATGCGCATCATCAGGAGTCTCCAACTCTCAACCTTCTCCAAAACAGAAACAGGGTCGGATTAGAAATGTTCCGACAACTTATAGGTCACCAACAGCTCTATTGGGCAGCCATGGCGTTAGAATTGAATCAAAATTGAGACACGT